AATTATCAAATATATCTAGTGGCCAAGTGGAGTCGTACACAGAGCCGAGAAGCCGAGAAGCAATCACATACTCAACGCTTTCTCAAACCACCTATGTTGGAAGGAATATATTACTGTTTCAAAATATATATAACTATATCGTATAATACCACAATTATATAACATTCCAAAACACATTAAAAAATAAGAGACATTCTAAAACAATTATGTATTACAATCCAAAAACCACAACAATAAAAGTTTTCATAAATCAAAAATCAAAAATCAGTGACAATCAAAAACACATTCCAAAAGAAAGCCAGACTAAATGAAAAAAAAAAACATAAATTTATGTACCTTAGTTGAAATCACACCATGTCTTCATAAACTTTCTTTTCTTTTCAGTTAAGCATTTCTAACACGGATTTGAAAACATTTTGAGGATACTGAACCATAGTATAACGCGTTCCTAAACACTTTCTCTCTACAACTTCTTATAAGTAGGTAAGCAAACATGTAAAAGCAAAAAAAAACATTAGTGTTTTAGGAAGGAAGAACAAAAATATATCAACTAATTGGAGGAAGAAATGACTCTGTATATGATTTGAATATCTCTTTGAGATATTTTTTTTCTATCATCCTTATTCATATTGTTGTCGAAACCATTAACAAAAACAATTTGTCTCTTGTTTCTAAATCAGATAACAAAAATGTGACAAAACATTAATTTTTCATTCATCTTAACATGTTAAATAAAAAAATTGTTTTTGTTATACAGAAATGAACTACAAATACAAAAAAACTTCATAAGTAAACTCACGTATTTGTTTCTTGCTTAGACTTGAACTTAACATAGGCTGCCTTTGCATCTTTATTTTCCTTGTTTAATGGTTGCACTTTGACAACATAAACAATCTCTTTAAAGAACGGTACACTAAAAAAAAGAATAAATAATATTAAGTCAAACCATATACATATATATGAATTAGATTGCACAATCTTTGTCCAAAACATCCATAATTTTCTTTTAATGTTCATTTATTCTTTTCACTTGGTTTGAAACATACTTATGTAAACTATTGCTGCAGACACAATTTTGATCATTTTTAGAGAAAATTTTGAGAGACAATGAATAACAATTTGGAATATATCTTCCAAACTCCACAGAGACAATGAGTAACAATTTGATCATTTCAATTGTACACCAATTTATTGTATATGTTCTTTATTTTCATTAGATGTTATGTGAGCGAAACCGTTTCTCATCGTGCTATTATCTTTTAATGGGATAATTTATATAAAGAAATGTAGGTGGATATCAGCTAAGAGTAACATGTTTGATGCATTTATTTCGGCTGATATGGTATGAGATTAATATTTTAAAATTCAATATACTAAACTGAAAATGTATATATGACAATTTTAATGCATCATATATTGGCAGGAGAACGTTTTTATGTTATGATTATGCAGAGTCGATTTCACTTTTTTAAAAGAAACGATGTACTAAAGTTAAACAAAATGTGCTTTACATATTTAAAGATAAACAAATGTAAATCATTATTGTGGTTAATGCCTATTAATGATGCGTTATTCTAGGGATAATGTTAAAGCCTAAAAGTGTATGACCCTAATAGAGTCCAAAAACACACTAGAGTATTATCTCATGTTTCATGATTTGTCATATCAATATTTTACATTTTTAATGCAGATCTTAGCTTGTTCTTGTAATGTAATAATACTTGGAGATTAACTATTCCAAAATTATGTGTTCGTTCTAGAGCCCTTGTTTTTACAGGATATCAAACACCGTTGGCAAATGATTGAGAAATGGGAAGAATTTTGCGAATTGTATTTTGATAAACTAAAACTTTGTATTCTCAATAATAAAAATATTAAAACTCATTGAAAAACTAAAAGCAAATCGGATAAAAACAGATAACATAACAATGAGATGTCAAGATACACAAAACCTTACATGACAAAAAAATAGAATTAGCTTCCAACAAAGGCCAAACTCAAAAAAAAAAAAAAAAACATTTGAGAAATTATAAACAAATGAAACTCTTTTGAGGAGAAAACTTGATCAATTGCACATATAGATTCCGGTTTCGTACTTGTGATCTACCTCATAGAAATCCGTATTTCCCTCAGCAGCTGCACGTAGACTGATACCAGACAATGAACTACTTCCCTGAACCGAGAATTTCACATAGCAAATGATTTCCGGTTCTTCCTCGCCGTTCTCTGAATCAATAGGCATCCGCGCTCTTAATCTCCCGGGACTTCCAGTCAGAGGAATCTCAGGGATTTGCCATTTCAGTTCTCGATCAGTTCTGTTTAGTATTGCTTTAGGAGAAACCTTAAGCAATGTGGGATCAACGGGGAGTTTCAGAACAAAATCGACGTTTTTCAGAGGCTGAGGTAGCTCCGGGTTTGATACGTATTGTATCATTAGTGAGAGTAAAGTCCCGCTGGTTCGTTTCACCATTCGTACTCTAAGAGGCAACGGGGTTACCTTAGGTTGCAAGCTATACTTGAGGATAGGGATTGGTTCTTCTGATGGAACGGTTCTAACGTGAAACAAACCGTTCCCTAAGCTACTGATCTTTGAACTCTGCATCGCGAATCTCTTAACGGCACTAGTATTCTCGACACGAAACGAGAACTCGGTTTCTTTCTCTTCACCAGAGCCTTTAGGTGGCATTGTTTTCAGATAGATCACACCCATTAGTCCTACTCTAGCAAGCAAGGATTCTCTAAACTCGGTTCTAATTTCCTCAGAGATATACATTTCAGGACCTTTCATCTCAGGCTTTTTCACTAGGTTATCGAGATTACCTCCGTCTTTGCTTCCACTGCCTTAGGATCACTGGTGTGCAACAGCTCAAGCCCGCCTAGTCCTTCCTTCTTTTGAATCTTCTTAGGTCCCATAAACTCTGAAGGATCCAATCCACCTCCCCAAGCATCACTAAACGCTTCAAATGTTTCTCCGATCGTAGCCTGTTCGTTGCTGAACTCAATCCCACCGTATTGCCCTTCGAACCCTTCCACGTTGATGTGCGTAGACTGTGTTGCTTCAGCTGGTGGCAATGTTGTAACCTCGAGTCCAGACAGTGCCAAGGTCAAGTCCGTTGAGGAAGGATCCTTGGTCTTCTTGAACCCACCCACGAGTTCTTTCTCCTTGTTGATCGTTTCACTTGCCGCAAAAGGATCCTTGTTCTCCGGTTCCGGTTCTTCCTTCAATTGCTCTGATTCTTGCACCACTGGAGCCAGACTCGCCGCTAGCTCGTCTCCGGCGGCGATGGTCTCTGGAGGGAGTTCGAATCTTGCATTGGCGAATGCGTTCACAGAAGCTTGATGCTCCGCGGAGTGAGATTCCACCGACGTCCAGTTATCTGCTCCTCGGATCTTACTCTCGGTGTCTAAAGCCGAGTGTACCATCTTCGCGATTCCATCTCCGTGCATAGCACCAAGCATCGCGGCGAGACGAATGTTGCTGACACCGCGTAAGACGATGTCAAGCGCCATGTAAACCTCCGCGTACTTCCGTCCAAGCTTCTCCGGAGTCACTTCAACTCCACGGCAAGCGGTGACGATAACGCTAACCGCTTGATTCACGATGTGGATACACTCAAAGACATTGATCGAGTTGTCGTGATCCGCGACGGTGACGCCGAGGATGTAGATCGAGTTCACTACCCGATAAACCACCCGATACTTGCTCTCCACACCAACGATCACCTGTCCATTTGAAGCCGCGAGCGGATCGTCACCGACGAATTCCGCCGCCGCGGCATCGTCAGCATCCGCCGCTGAGGAAGACGACGAAGCTTGGTTCTGTTTCTGATTCGAATGCTGCTGCTGCTGCTTCGAGGAGGCGAATGCCTGACGCGTTTGGCGGAAATACGAGAGAGCGATCAGGGCTCTTGCCGGCGGAAACCACTCTCTGGTTTGGAGCAAGATGTCAGATCCATTTGTGGGTTGCAGAGCTAGGGCTAAGCACGACATGATCGCGATTCGAATTTGATCTGGAAGCTTCTATAACTCGCGAATGTTCAATATCGATGAAGCCTCAATTTGATTAACTATTCAGAGCATCATCGGATCAAAATCGATCAGATCTGAGAAGGATCGCCGAAGAAGAAAAACCAAAAGGGAAAGAGAAAGGAGATTCCTCGCTGTGAAGCAAACGACATCGTTTCTTACTGGGCCTAATGGCCTAATTGGACCTAAAGCTGATGTTTGTATAGAAAAGCCCAATTAAGATGAAACGATACATACCATAATATGCGTTATTTGAGAGAATCAACTCTACATTAAATGGTACTGCGTAAGAATACTTGCCTTGGATGTTTTTGAATCGTAAATTGGGTGCATTATTTCGTAGGAGCATGATCTTTGATAGCCTGCCTTTACATGGCTTTTGATGTATCATAAGTTGGAGAAATTTTGTTGTGATTCTTGTGTCATCTAGTTGAATTCTTTTATATTTTGTTGTGAATTCTTTTATGAATTGTAAAACATCACCAATTCTTTTATATTTTGTTTGTGCACAATTTTTTGAAAATGTTCAATTTTTCATTGAAAAAAAAAAATTATTTTTTCATTAAGAAAGAGTAGCTTATACTATCATGGAACATATATTTCTCATGAAACATATACTTTTTATATTTCTTTTTATTATACATTAAACAAAAATAACCTGAACAAGAAAAACTAAATTAATTATAATAAATTATGCTATAAGTTTAAATTATGGAATATGACCCAATAAAAATAGATTAGAGTAAAAATTTGAATTAATGAGGAGAATGATAATAAGCCTTAAACGTTTTTAGGGGATCAATAATGTTTTTTAAGGGAAGCAAACGTTATCGTTTCTTACATTAATCGTGTTAAAAATTATTGGGCCTAAAGCGGACGTTTGAATATAAAAGCCCAATTAAGGTGAAACGATGCCGTCTAATGATCTTTTTGAATTTCGTTGCGCTTGAAAATCGATACGCTTTTGGCGGTGAGATGCGAAAATGAAGCCACAGAATCTCGGCCGACAATCGCCGACGAGCCGCAAGCTAACCACCGGCTGTGAGATCATCGACGGTTGTCTTCGCGGCGGATTTCCCTGCAATTCTCTGACGGAAATCGTGGCGGAGAGCGGCTGCGGAAAGACTCAACTCTGTCTTCAACTCTCGCTCTGTGCCCAACTTCCGATTTCACACGGCGGACTCGACGGTTCTGCCCTTTATCTCCATTCCGAGTTTCCCTTTCCGTTTCGCCGTCTTCATCAGCTCTCACGCTCGTTTCACCAATCGAACCCTAGTATTTACGCGAATCACAATGATAATCCTTGTGATCATGTGTTCGTACAAAACGTCAATTCTGTAGACCACCTGTTCGACATAATGCCTAGGATAGATGCTTTTGTCGGGAATACGAAAAATAGGTTTCCTTTGAAGTTGATTGTACTTGATTCTGTGGCGGCGTTGTTCAGATCGGAATTTGATAACACCCCGTCTGATCTCAGGAAGAGAGCGTCGTTGTTTTTCAAGATATCGGGGAAGTTGAAGCAGTTGGCAAATAATTTTGATTTGGCTGTGGTGATTACGAATCAGGTCACTGATTTGGTGGAATCTTCTGATGGGTTAAGTGGTTTGAGGATTGGGAATTTGAGGTATTTGTATTCGTCTGGGAGACGAGTTGTTCCTGCTTTAGGATTGGCTTGGGCCAATTGTGTGAACTCGAGGTTTTTCATCTCACGAAGTAATGAAACCATCTGCAAAGAAAATGATGAGAGCGGTCGGAGTTCTGTGTCTATAAGAGCTCAGAGGCGTCTTGAGATTGTTTTTTCACCTCATTTGCCTGGTTCCTCTTGCGAGTTCAAGATCACACCAGAGGGGATTTGTGAGGTTTAGTGTAGGTGATTCATGGTGCTATGCAGGATAATTTTTGATTCGTGACCATCACAAGTTCTCTTTTTGTGCATTATTTATGTATATTCCAGAGGGATAGGGATCCTGGAGATGGGTTACAGAAAGCCAGGTTCTTTCATATTTCTCCTCTTAAATCGACGTGATATAGAAAATCTGTTTTTTGATTGTCTTAGTTTTTATGCATTCTATAAAATAGTCCTCATGCTATTACTTCTCAGGCTTCTGATGGTCTTGATAATGATTTGCAATGGAAAGCCGCATTTTGCCCCTTCTAAGTGTACTGCATGCTTCTCACTTTGTTCTCAGACTTTGTTTCCTTTGCATAATTGCATTTCCCGTTTGGTAGCCATCTTCAAATATATCATTTCTTGACTAAATTGCTGAAGTGACTTTTATGCGGTGGTAATATGAATCGTTATGGATATTGTTTTGTATTTGCCTTCACTTGATCCATATGAACTCAGAAAAATCCAGTATTTAATATATCTATCAGTCTAAATTTTCTCGGTTCTAACTAACCAGAAATTAAATGAAATCTATCAGTCTAAAGATAACATACTTCGTTTCTTACTTGAAACAAGAGAATCTTTTCCTATCTTTTGACCCTTTGATTCTTTTAAGTTTCATGGAATGGCAGAGAGATGACTGAGGAGTCTATGGGGACGATGTTTCTGGGAATCAGGAATGGCAGTTCGAGAGCATCAAATCGATATCTAATCGTAGACAAGAATGAGAATTCAGGCTAAGGCTGAGGCTAGAACATGTGTTGAATCATCTCTGGGACACGACTGATGAGATAGTGAAGTTTGGATTTTGATGCTACATACGTGTATCAATGTCGATAGCCATGTGGTCATCACTTAGGAGAGAATGCTGTTGCTAGAGCCTAGAGCAGAGAGCCGTTCTTCGGGATCTGCTATGCTGAGCAAATACTTTTAAAAGCTTGATTTATTTTGTAGCTTTGTATATGATACATAATGTTTTCGCCTGTTCAAAAGGATATTATTTTGATCCGTGAAATGGTAAGATTATAAAGATGAGAGTTTGTTAATAAGATGAATGAGGAATCTAGCTCCTTCGCCTTTGCGAGGCTTCTCATCGTAAAGAACTTTTTACAACAACGTTTACAACATGACCACGTATTTTTTGTTGAAATTATTTGGAAAAAACAACCAGAGTCGGTACGAACCGGTTATCGACCTCACTTCTTTGAACCGCTCGCCTCTTCAAATTCAGCTTCAGGCGTCTGCTCAGTCCCACTTGTACCATCGCCAGAGCTCCCAGAGGAACCAGAGGATCCGGATCCCTTAGACATGTGTTCTCCGATCTTTGACACTGCCTTGTTTGCAGCTTCAAGCTTAGCCTTGATGTCCTCAATGTCTTCACCAGCCATTGCTGTCCTGAGATCAGACACTGCAGTTTCGATCTCAGAGGCAATCTCTGCAGGAATCTTCTCTCTGTATTCACTCAGGCTCTTCTCAACACTGTAGATTGTAGTATCAGCACTGTTCCTAACGTCAATAAGTTGCTTCTTCTCTTGATCCTTGTGTGAGTTGATCTCAGCTTCTTTTACCATTCTGTTAATCTCATCGTCTGATAGACCACCTGAAGATCTGATTGTGATCTGCTGCTCTTTAGCTGTTACTTTGTCTTTGGCTGAGACAGTTACGATACCATTTGCATCAATGTCGAATGTAACTTCGATCTGTGGCATTCCTCTTGGTGCAGGTGGGATCCCACTGAGCTCAAATTCTCCAAGCATTTTGTTGTCAGCAGCCATTTCACGTTCTCCCTGAAGAACTTTGATTCCCACTTGCATCTGGTTGTCTGCGGCTGTGGAGAAAACCTAAGAAGCAAAATCAAAAACTTCGTCAGATCAATAATAAGCTTAAGATACAATCTGAAACCGTTATCTTTTTTTCAAGATTCATTACCTGAGACTTCTTTGTGGGGATGGTGGTGTTTCGGTTGATCAACCTAGTGAAGATTCCACCAAGTGTTTCGATACCGAGTGAAAGAGGAGTCACATCCAAAAGAAGCAACTCCTTGACATCACCACGGAGTATACCACCTTGAATAGCAGCTCCCATGGCAACCGCTTCATCAGGGTTCACACCTTTGCAAGGGCTCTTTCCAAAAATCTCAGCAACTATCTCTTGCACTTTGGGAACACGAGTCATTCCACCAACAAGAAGAACCTCATCAACTTCTTTAACCGTGATTCCGGCATCCTTGAGGCAGTTTTGGCAAGGGCATCTTGTTCTCTCGATCAACTTGCTGACCAAAGCTTCAAACTTTGACCTGGTTAAGGTTATGTTCAAGTGCTTCGCTCCAGAAGCATCTGCGGTAATGAAAGGCAGGTTGATTTCGGTCTGAGATGTCGACGAAAGCTCGATCTTGGCCTTCTCTGCAGCTTCTCTCAGCCTCTGAAGGGCAAGCTTGTCCTTAGTCAGATCAATATTATCTGTTCTTTTGAACTCATTAACCAAATACTCCAACAAAGTGTTGTCAAAATCTTCTCCTCCCAAAAAGGTATCTCCATTTGTAGCTTTAACCTGATAAGAGAAAACCATTATACAATAAGCCACACAGAAAAAAACGCAAATCAAGAAAAAACTTTTAAAAAACTTGACATTACCTCAAAAACACCGCTTGAGATTTCCAAGATAGAAACATCAAACGTTCCACCTCCAAGATCGAACACAGCTATAACACCCTCCTTATTGTTCATACCATATGATAAAGCAGCAGCTGTTGGCTCGTTGATGATCCTCTGGACATCAAGACCGGCGATTTTCCCAGCATCCTTTGTGGCTTGTCTCTGGGCATCATTGAAATAAGCTGGAACAGTAACAACAGCTTTGGTGATGGTTTTCCCGAGGTAAGCTTCAGCAGTCTCCTTCATTTTGGTGAGGACATTAGCTCCAATCTGGCTTGGAGAAAACTTCTTTCCATTGGCTTCGACCCAAGCATCACCATTTGGTGCCTTGACAATCTTGTAAGGAACCATTTTCATCTCCTTCTGTGTCTGAGGATCCTCATAACGTCTCCCAATCAAACGTTTGGTACCGAAAAACGTGTTTGTCGGATTTGTCACGGCCTGACGTTTAGCCGGTGTTCCAACAAGGAGCTCTCCCTTTTGGTTAATAGCAACCACTGACGGTGTAGTTCGAGTTCCTTCCGCATTCTCAATAACCCTAGGGGTCTACAAAAACGAGATCAAAGTCAATACCTTTAGAACTGAGAATTCAATTCCTCGATTAAACGTATATCAGGATTGAAACAAGATCGGAGTTTTACCTTTCCTTCCATCACAGACACACAAGAATTGGTGGTACCCAAATCAATACCGATGACATCATTCCCCACAGGCCTCGAGCTGCATTTTCAGAACAACATACAATACGAAAAGATGTGAGAAAAAACACTTGAAGGGAGATGCTTGTTCATGCTATACCATTAAAGTGAGAGGTTGAGTTTACCAGAAAGGCCTAGCCAAGTAACCCAATTTTCCAATCAAAGACGTCTTTCCATTAGCAGAAATCTGCAGATTGAATATTAACAGCGTAAGCTACAGCAAATGGTTACTGAGTCAACAAATGAAAAACCATCAAGGAACAAAGTACAGTAGATCGCTTCACAAAGGAAATAAGAAAAAAAGTAGGAAACTTTAAGAAATGTAGACAGAAACCCCTGAAAAATCGATTAAGGCACAACATAAAAACCCAGATTCAAACCCTCGGTAATTTCAAATCCTATTCCATTTCGAAGAAACATAATCGATATCAGATCCGGAAAACACGAAAAAACCTAAACGTGATTTCTTAAGCAAACATTGAGAGATTAAGGGGAAAATATACATACGGATTTATAAGCAGAGACGGAAGCCGCGTGAATTTCACGGCGGCGAAGCGACCGTAGTAGCGCGACGGAGGCCATTTGGTGGTTGTGGAGCTTTTTGAGATCGGAGGGTTTAACGTCGGAGATGGAAAGATATTTTTGAGCGCGTAGGGTTTAAGGGACCTTAATTACAATAAAAGGAGGTTTACTGCGAATATTACCATTATACCCTTCTCTTTTCCACAAAGTACCTAATACATACGCTGCGTACTTTGGCACCATAAGTGAGAGAGAGTAATATAAAGGAACACGCAAGAAATAAAATTCGTGGGCTACAAATCTGTTTGATATTTTCACTTTTTCCATAACTAACCTAGCATCGATATCGGTCTTTGAGTTATTACATAAACCGGCTACGAGATTCCAATCGGTGCGAGATCGAATTCGAAAAGCCGGTTTCATATTTGGCTGGGCATGAAAAATGCTTTCTATGTGACCCGGCCCATTTACAAGACCCGGCCCACGTCCAAGAACCGTTCGTCACTCTAACTAACTCCGAATGCGACTGGATTCGGATTCGTCGTCACTCACTCGCTCGCTCCATGAAAGTAGAAACCATTAGCTTCTCGATTCAGAATTCTTCTTCCATAGCAGGCGGTTTCCACAGAGACATCTAATCGTAGCCTCGAGCAGAGATCCACCGGAATCGTACCGTCAATGTCGCCTCCCGCTGCCGTCGCCGTCGCCGGCAGAGGAACGATCACTCACGTCATCTTCGACATGGACGGTCTTCTTCTCGGTAATTTCGATGGATCTGAACTTCGATCCTTTATTTATTGGATTGCATTAGTGAAATTATTCTCCATTAAGTCCTGATTTTAAGAGTGAGTTTGTAGTTCCCACTGAATCTAAAACTGTAGTTTCGATTCCTTTTGTGGCGGTGCGTACTTTATTTTTGAATAGTTCATTGTCGTTCTGAATGTTCATGATTTACGTTTAGTTCTGATCGGAAAATAGACAATTGAGGTTAATGAATGGGTGTAAGAGTTTAAGGATTTGTTATTTGCTCTGTGTTTCAAATCATCTTAGCTTCATTGACTACTTAAAAGTAGAAGATCATAACCTAGCCAAGCAATTTCGCGAGTCAGCCTCAACTTTTTCAACTCGTTGCTATTTCTATATTTTGTTTAACTCTCTCGATGAAAAATGCGAATTTTTAGCTGATATAATCACCAATTTAGCTGAAAATTTCCCCAATGTGTTCACCAGATTTTAGTAGTTCTGAATTTAATGATCAATTTTTATATTTTACAAAATGAAAGTAATGCATGCCGATTTGGTTTCTGTTGCAGACACCGAGAAGTTTTACACTGAGGTCCAGGAGATCATACTTGCTAGATACAACAAAACATTTGATTGGTCTCTCAAGGCTAAGATGATGGGTAGAAAAGCTATAGAAGCTGCCAGGATCTTTGTTGAAGAAAGCGGGATCAGCGACTCTCTTTCCGCTGAGGACTTCCTTATCGAGAGGGAGTCAATGTTGCAAGACCTCTTCCCTACTAGTGAGCTAATGCCAGGTACAATCCTTCTTTCTGTTACACATTTTTGTTCACACACGGCATTTGGTTAACTGGATGATAACATGGGTATATATATATATATATATATATATATATATATATATATATATATATCTGCTTGATTTGGGTAGCAAAGGCAACAAAAGGCACTGCCTTTGCTTTAAATCGCAATCATCCATGAAAGAAAGTCTGTTTCATTTCATATTTGTTCATCTGGATTGGTCTTATTCGCTTGAATCTGACAATTTAAGCTATGAGTTGAAATCCGCTGAAATATACCAGCTGCAGGTCTTTATATCGAGCTTTCCTATCACTAACCAATTCTCTTCCGATGTTTCAGGGGCTAGCCGACTCATCAAGCATCTCCATGCGAGAAATATCCCAATTTGTATTGCTACAGGGTATCTCTTTTCTTCACCAGCACATCTGTTTCTCTTCAAATACCATTTAGTGTGCGTATTCTTATTCACTTGCTTTTTTACCTTTGATTGTATGCTTGCAGTACTCACACGCGTCACTTTGATCTAAAAACCCAAAGACACAAAGAGCTTTTCTCATTGATGCATCACATAGTTCGCGGTGATGATCCAGAGGTGAAGCAAGGAAAGCCTGCCCCAGATGGCTTTCTCGCTGCTGCTAGGAGATTTAAGGTGATAAGACCTATGATTTGGTTGTGCCCTTCATTTCAAGCTTTAGAATGAGTTGTAAACCAATGTTTCCTCTTTGTCTGGATTCCTTAGGACGGTCCTGTTGATCCACAAGAGGTTCTTGTGTTTGAAGATGCTCCATCTGGAGTTCTTGCTGCTAAAAACGCCGGAATGTAAGTGGATTTTTCCCTAGTCGTTTCTGAATTCTCTCATGTATACCAAACAGATTTCAGCCCAAAACCGACGACAATTGTTGTATATATTCTACTACATCAAAGACGTTTATGTTTTCACTAAGCCCGAACTTGATTCTTCTCAACAGGAACGTGGTGATGGTGCCAGATCCTAGACTAGATATCTCTCACCAAGAAGTTGCAGATCAAATCATAACTTCTCTACTTGATTTCAAACCAGAGGAATGGGGTTTGCCTCCATTCGAGGATTCAAACTAAACATATACAAGCTTCTTCAAGGTAATGATAAAGAAGTCAAAATCATGAATAGGTGAGAAGCTTGATTGTTTGTCTTGTTATATTGTTTTGGCGTTTACATGACAAATCAATGGGGTTTTATGTCGTCAAGGGTTATGATTTTTGGTTATCGAAGCCAAAATAGAAACTATGTGGTGACATGACAAGAGACCAAACAAAAAACTGCCTTAACGTTTAAACAAAAAAAAATTGTACAAACTCTTACACCCAAGTCCCAACGTTGTGGCTCATCTGCTTTTGTTTTTGTCGGTAGCTGAACTGATTCCTTCTTTATGGTTGGAATCTCCATTTGTTACGCATCACTAACATGTGTCATTTACAAATTACAGCCTAAACCTAATCTTCTCTCCTTTCTCCAAGAGTAGTGTTTTAGGTTTTTTCTTTTTGATGTTCTCAATTTTGAATATTAATAAATGATTCATTTTCTTATTTAAACATATCAATTGAAATTCACAGAATGTTAGTCTTAGTTATACTGATAATTCAATTAAGATAGAGGAATTAAATTTGGTGTTTCAAATAGCTTATTGGAAAAACAATTTCTATCAAATCATAATAGAGAGAGTATGTTCTTTCACTCATTATGGCTACACGATTAGTGATTGTAACGTTTTTGTTGTTTTCATTCCGTGGTATAAAATAAGTGAACAAAGAAGCATACACATTCGATGATAATTTAACGATAATGCCCCTGGGGAATCACCGACATTAGCATGTTTCAAACATCTTCTGACATCGTTGGCAAAACGGTCTTTCTCATTACTCGTTTCTTCTGACCTTTCTTGTGTTCCCTTTCACCGGCAAGATTCGAATTCTCTTCGCTACACGAACAAAGTCCCTGTGCCCTCACAAACCAAATTTCTAATTAAGCTCCAACTATTTATATACTTTCAGTTATATTACGAGAACGAAGTTGTTTTAAAAAATCATAAAACCGTAAAATATTAAATAAACCAAACGTTGAGAGAGATTTTTTTTTTTTTAAAGAAATTGTATTTGCATGAACGCTATGTACGAACATTAGTATATTTTATCATGTATAAATGGTACATTGGAATAGGATTCCAACTTTAAAAAATTATATCTTTTAAGACGTCATGAGATATATGTTTATTAGAATATTTACACCCCTTTGCAATAGTCGTTTGAGATGGCTATGCGTACGATATCAAATAAATAACTATAATTAGATTAGTATGTAAAAGAAGAGATACTTGGGAGTTGAAAAGAGGAATATTACTTCCAACTAAGATCACCAGCGAGAAGGAGGTCGTTCTCCATGTCTTCATAAGCAATAAGATGGCCAGGAATAGCGTTGGAAAGATCAAGATCGTCCGTCTCCGAAGTCGAATCAGCCCCATCGACAAACATTTTCCTCAGAGCCAAAGCCAAGCTCTGATAACTCACATGCTTGTCTAGGCTGATGCGTTGGCAAATCGAACGTCCCTCGAGAACAACCGTAACAGGAGGAACCACAGATGAAACTAGATCGTCGTCGACGTTGAGAGCAAACCCTGGGAATCTCCCGGCGGCTCCGGAGCTTGAGCTATTATTTGGGATTTTTGAAAGAGGTTTGGTCATGAAGGATGTTGTTATTGTCGTGGTGTCACGAGGTTGTTGTGTGGTTATTATATTGTCTCGGTGAAGCCTCCTTTTCATAGAGTCTTGGCTTTGTGGCTCGAAACTGTTCATAATGAGATTAGGGTTTTAAGGGTTTTGTAACCTAGAAAAGAAGAAGGAACTCAAAAGAGGTCGTGTGTTTCATATATCTTAGAGAGAGATAGGGAGAGAGAGACTGTGTTTGATTTGGTGTTGATGAGATTCTGGTGAAAGTGAATGTATGTACTTATAAATATAGAAGGCGTAAGTTGTGTGGCAAAGGCTGTCTTTTATTATTTTTGTTTCAATGTTGTCTTGAAATTTTTCATTTAATTTTAAAGTACATCTGCTCTTTGGGTTTCCCGTTAAACAATGGATCCGTAATGAACAGTCAATTTAATAGTCCACTATTTAATTAGTGAATGAACAATTAGATATTCACGTAGAAATGTTGTCCCTTATGCGTTTGTATTAAATGACATTGTTATAAATTATAATTATAGTATAAGCTATTAATCCATCACTGTTGGAGCAAAAGCTGTAATTAGTGAGAGACCTTTAGTTACATCATAAGAAGAATGTTGATAATATTGATCCCACTTAAAATTTAGTGGAACCATACAACAACAACAAAAATGTAACTTGTGCCATCAAACAATTATCTTAAAATCTACAATTTTTTTCCTTCAATATTCATTATGTGGTAGGCATATATGAAGATTTTCAAACTGAAAAATACACAAGCAAGGTTTACGTGGACAAGAAGCAAGTTGACGGGAAAACATAAGTTGGAAATCTTAACAACATATTACTACAACAGTGAATATAATAAGAAGTTTGAACTAGAACACTCCAAATCAAGGAGTTAATAAATCGATGAGTAGTTAAAATAAAGAAACAAATTAAGGTATAGAAAAAGAGATCTTGTAAATTGTAACGCATGGGCTGCGGAGACGACCGCGCTGCCGTCGCCGAACGCCTCGCTTCCTTGACTCGCGCCTGGTCGGGAGCTCCACGTCATCTTCTTCTTTTTACATACAATACACTAAGCCACATCAAACATACGACGAATACAAACAAGTAATTAAACACACACACACACATCAATGTCATATAATACATCCATATAGTAGACACACCAATTCATACAATTTGGGCACATGAACACATCATATTTAGTCATATAGACAAATGCATAAACACATCAATTGATATACATCCATGGCGCATACACTTAATTACAAAAAACATATAACTGTAATTGTAGATGCAAACAATCTAATCCAAACTCATCACCACAGATTTTTAATTCACTGAATTATCTGAAGATAAATAAAAGAAAATCTGATCATTCTAGCAAACAAATATTGTAGCTAGTCAGACACTATGCTAGCTAGGGCCTAGGGACACCACAGTCACCACTAATTCCATATTAATAGTAATCAAAGTTAGATATATTTAATGGGGAAAAATGTCATTTAAATCATGAACTTTCAAATTTAGGCCATTTTAAGCATGAACTTTGAGGTCGGCCATTTAAATCATCAACTCGTGTTGACTTTACGTTTGAGGCATGAAGTTTCGTTGATTCAGCCAAAATGAGCACAACGTTAAGTCGTGTGATGGTGCGATTAAACATCGTTAAACCAACATTAATGAGTCTCTGTTAGTCTTAAACGACAGCGTTTGAGCGTAATCTAATAATTCCCAAATCGATTAAAACTCCCAAATCTAACCTCAAATCCCTAAATCCCCAAAGAACTGAAACCTCTTGGATCACAGCTTCAAGCTCCTCTTGGATCACAGCCTCAAGCTCCTCTTGGATCACAGCCTCAAGCTTCTCATGGATCACAACCTCAAAGTCATGGATCACAAACTCAAGGTCGATCACAGTCACAGCCTCAAGCTCGATCCAAGAGCTTGAAGCTTTCAGTTCTTTGGGGATTTAGGGATTTGAGGTTGGATTTGGGGGTTTTAATCGATTTGGGAATTATTAGATTATGCTCAAACGCTGTCATTTAAGACTAACAGAGACTCATTAACGATGTTTAATCGCACCGTCACACGACTTAACGTTGTGCTCACTTTGGCCGAGTCAACGAAACTTCATGCCTTAAACGTAAAGTCAACACGAGTTGATGATTTAAATGACCGACCTCAAAATTCATGCTTAAAATGGCCTAAATTTGAAAGTTCATGATTTAAATGATATTTTTCCCATATTTAAAACACGTTATATACAGACTTTACGAAATTTTTATATGTTTAATAACATTGAATATACATATTAGTTATGATATAATGCTGATATTTTCTTAGGGACTATTTTGTCTGTTGAAAGAAAAATTAACGGTGGATCCAACAAGCAAGAGGTGAATGAGCTAATTAAGCAAACCCAAGAAGACATCAAACGAAGCACAAGAAGCATATTTTCTTAAGTTTGAAGCAAGCAATAATTTAATTGATAAAAATCATGGTGATAAATAAAGTACATTTTATTTCTAAACTCGGGATTCGAAGAAGACTCGAAGATCCGACATGGGAGGCATAGAAATGTTTAAAACTGACCTCGGTTTCATATTTTTTTAAGTCGAACACATTTCATTTTATTTTAATCCTCTAATTAATTTGTCTCGATTTTTGTTTTTTTTTCGATTCTACAGACATACGTTAATGTTTGCTTATTTCACTCCCCGATAATAAATTAAAGTAATTACAAACAAACAACTGCCCGCTGTTTTGGTCTGTTTCTAACCAAACAACAACAATGATAATCATTTGTCATGTTCATCTGCACAAATCTAAACACAAATAGTTTTGGGCTCTACATACAAGCCCAATTACGCTTACAAGGCCTACTTGAAACGGTGTGGGCCCATGTTTCTCCTTGCTTTAAGGTGCGTTCTGATTCTCGTGCTGAACAGTTGGCGCGTCAAAATCACGTCGAAGAGCACTGTAACCAGTGGGTGTGTCCGCACTGGATCACAATCACCACCATAGAGCTCATTATCAAAAAGGAAATCCTTTGATTATTACTGAAATAAAAAGCAAAGAGAAAAAGAGAGGGTTTAAAACTTGTTTTCGCTCTTCTCCAGAGAAACATTCCGTTTCGGCATTTTGATTTTTGAATTTCTTTTTTCGCTCTCTCTGCTCGATTAGATCTGTTCCTGTGATTGTTTGTGTTTATCGTTGCTCACGCCGTCGATTTTCCGGGAGGAGGAGTTCTCGTTGCCGTTCGAAAATGCCGGCGACTGATGCTGAGTTCGATCTCAAAGTAAGATTACTCTTTTTTCCGATGTGTTTTCTGTATAATTCTCTCGAAATTCAAGCTCAATTATTCATTCTCTGCTTTCTGATTCACAGGCTTTATCTCAGTCTGCGACGGGGTTAGTTTTCTTCTTCCTCCCTAGGGTTTATTTTTCTTACTCCGATTAGGTTTAAATTCTCCGATGAGGATAGATTGGGTTTCTTATGTTCTGTTTGGGTTTGAGAAGGGATTACACATTCGCAAATGTGGACAACTTGGAGCATTGTACCAAGTACTTGAACCAGACGATGGTTACATTTGGATTTCCCGCCTCGCTCGATCTCTTTTCCAATGATCCGGTGGGTTTATTATCGACTCGTCTTAATCCTGATAATTTTGGGGACGTTTTTGGGGGTTTAATCAGGGTTTTTGTTGATTAGGTTTCCATCTCAAGGACCTGCAACTGTATGTACTCGTTGCTGCAGCAGAGACAGCGTGACTTAGAGTTTAGAGAATCTGCTAATGAGCAGAGGCAGAGGTAAATGTTTTTTCTTCCTTTTCTTTCAATTTGCTTTGCATTGCGTTTATAGAATTGTACTTAGAGGATTGATAACTGGTATGGAACTTGGCAGTAATTTTCGTGTAGAGCCACCTGATATTAATCACTGTTCAGTGTTTCAGTTATGATAATATTTGACCTTCATCAAAAAATGTGGGATCTTAGTTCTTGATGTTTAAACATTTCTACTCTAATTCGTGTTTTCCTTATGTTTTGTTGATGTGATTTCCCTTACTGTGTATAGACAACAATCGGATATAGCTAGACTTGAAGCTAAAGTTGAGAGGCTTGATGCGCAACTCCAACACAAGGACAGGGAAATTGCAACAATTACTAGAACGGTGAGTCTTCTCGAATTTCAGCCGATATGGTTTTTGCTTAGAGTCTTATTTGAATATGGACTCACTCGTTGGACAGGAAGCCAAAAACACAGCAGCTTTAAAGTCCCAGATTGAAAAGCTACAGCAGGAGAGGGATGAATTTCAAAGGATGGTGATCGGTAACCAGGTCTGATTAGGTTTATGCTGCTTGGATTAACTACAAGATGAAATTGTACCTGATGGATTGTCTTCTTTTGTTTGTCCAATCTCTGAATAGCAAGTCAAAGCTCAACAGATACATGAAATGAAGAAAAAGGAAAAGGATTACATTAAGTTGCAGGTTGTGTATCTTCTCTCCTGGAATTGAATTTTCTGTATCCAGTTTGATCTGCATTACGAAAGCTTTTTTTTTGTTTCTCTCGCAGGAACGGTTGAATCAAGTTTTGATGGAAAAAAAGAAAGAATCAAGATCAGGAATGGAGATTATGAATTTGCTACAGGTCCTTTACTACCGTATGAGTTTTCCAATCCTTATTGGTTAATGTTGAACTTTACACCTGACTGTTAATCTGATGTACTTAAATAGAAAGAAGGGAGGCAGCGTGGGACCTGGAATGGCAAGAAGACTGATACTGACTTTTACAAAAAGATAGTACGAGTCTAACTACAAAACAAAAACATTACGCAGATTTACAAAGGCACTTCTTTGATAATATCGTCTCTGCAGGTGGATGCATATGAAGCGAAAAACCAAGAATTAATGGCTGAGAACACTAATCTAAGAGCATTACTTCGATCCATGCAGGTAAACTCTTTCTTCACGCTTGGCTTAACTTCAGTATATAAACATGTTTATTCATAAGCAAATTTTTTCTTTGGTCTTGTTGCAGACAGATATGCGTGATTTCTTAAATGCTCCAAACGGGTCAGCTAATCCTTCATTGGCTGGCAATGAGAAACGCGAGGCTGATCCTTCACAATCTCCACTGGGTGGAAAGACGGTATGAATAATCGTAGATAGTTGAATGGTTCTTGTTTATAACCTTAGATGATTGAATGTTTCTAGTTTATTATGTTAGATCATTGATTACCCAGTATCTAACTAGTCATTACACAGGATGTCTTTGATCTACCTTTCCGGATGGCTAGAGGTCAAATAGAAGAGAGTCTGCGCACTAAGATGGCTTCCATAAAGGTCTTCATTACCGGCATATCCATTTGTTTACGCAATACCGATATTTTATCAGTGGCTAACCTCTTAGCTCTGTTTCTTCTTATTTCCCTTCGGACGTAAAAAACAGGAACGCATGGTCCAGTTACAAGATGCACCTAAAGGAGCATCTGTTACTTCAGAAGCAACAGAAAGAGAGCTTGAACTTGAAGCTCAGCTTGTCGAGGCAAGAAGCATAATCCAAGAACAGGTCCTCTCTTCTCACCTTCTTTACTTAGAGCTAGCAGACTATTTCCTCGCTCTCTACATTATGATGTTTTGAGAGAAACACTGCATTTATTGGAGATGTCTTTTGGCTTTTGTTTAGAAACTGACAAGAGATATGATAATAATACCCTATTCAATTGCAGGAGTCCATAATGTCTAAACATCTCCCAAAATCAGGGCAGCAACGGTATATTATCCCCTATCTTTTGAAAATATTATCCTATCTTTGAATCTAGCACATAGTTTTTTGGTTTAAACAAAGATGATAATGCGAAACAAATGACAATTACCAAACTTGTTGTTGCAGGGAAACTAAGGTTCCATTGAAAGCTGAGGTATACTACTACAGACTCTTTTATATCTGTTTTACATTCTTTCTTCTTTTAAAGATCCATAACTGTTGCTTTTAATTTTTGTATAATGTATTCACAGGGAGTATGAATATATCGAAAAACCATGGATCCAAGTTGCTAAAAGGGACTCGTCACAACAACAACAAAAACTTAGTCTTAGTATTGTATTCACCATCACCAAACTTCTCCTTGGAAATCTAGTTATGTATATTAAACTTTTAGCTGTGTAAGGATCAGAGATCATTTCTCTTTTGGGATATCAAAATCTGATGTATGATCGGCTCTATTGTTTGTGAAGTCAAAATTGGTAGTTTATGTGACATTATCCATTATCATTATCTACTAATAACTAATAACACAGTAAATCAGAGAGATGCCTTGTTCTTTGTTCTTAGCTCCAGCCAAACCAATCAAATCACTTTGAAACCATTTCATGATTTGATTGCTTTGATTGGTCCAGTATTGTGAAAAGATATATATATTACATTCGATCCTATATTATACGGGACCGATCAAAGCAATTATATAGCTCTATGTATTAGTGAAGAATGTCAGGAGTGTTAATTTGGTTAAATCGTAGTATTAAAAAGAAAATAACTTTCTATGAATCCGATTCAAAATTTTGTTCTTCTAATTCTTAAACTCGATTCACTTTTATTTTGTTTCTTCATTTCATGAGCCAGCGTAGCATTGGCTAAAAGAAAACAAACGTATGCGTATAAGTTAAAATTAGTAATTACTTTTCCCAACCATAACAAGTTTTTGCTGTACCAGAACCTGACTTAACTCGGTTGCGTGGTTTTGGTGATTAATATATGACTTCTTTTAGATTAGAAGCCATTCGTACAGTTTCGTAAAAATGGATTCAGTTGTGGTAATTGCGTAATTATTGAAATGATTCATACAAATGGGTTAAAGACTTAACGAGAACAGAGTTGAGAAAATAATCTAATTTTTAATGAAGTTGAGGAGTACGTAAAGTTTGGCGTCTCTCAAGGGAATGGTCATTGCCTCTCACATGCGCATATGATATCAGCCGTCCTTGGCTATATTAACGTGCGCTTCATTCAAAGTAAACATATATAGGCTTTTAATGTCTTACTATACACATATAAGGAATTCAAATATTTTCTTTGGATAATTCCTAAAAAAAAAGAAAAAAATTCATTTATAGCTTTCTTTGTAAAACAATTTACCGCAGTATTCTCTTCAGTGGTATCAAAAGATATACAATAAATGTGTTTGATACCAGTAATGATTTATTTCTTCTTTTGGCTAATTGGTTTCTTTAATCGTAGTTTAGAATAATTATTACGTTTGCTAGCTAAATGCTGCAACACCTAAATGTGCATTAAATATAAATCAGTCTTATCCTTCAACTAAATCGATGAAATCACTAAACTTACAACTATTTTGATTAAATTTTGATGTATTCTAGATAACCCGGTTACGTATAAATGTATAATGATAAAAAATAAAATTCAGCTTAGTTACATTTTCCCGTGCACAAAGCAAATCTAACGCATATTACATGTAACGAGTTTGATATCAATGTATCAATGTATTATCGATTTAATAGTTTAATAATATAAGTCAAACCCTGAAATTATTAAATTGATAATACATTATCAAATTCGTTACACAGTAATATGCGTCCAAGATTCACATAGTCAACTCTTCTAACCTTAATACCAGTTTATATCCATTCTTACGTCCATTTTTCTCAGGAAAGAATCTCTCTATTTCCTTATTATATATACACATATATTTTCATTGTATATCATCTCCATAAATCTCACACATCTCCTACTTCTCTGATTCAGCGAGCAAAAAAAAAAATTCACTGATCGCCTCTCTTCTCTCTACACACGAACATTCATCATGAATCAAGAATACAATAAAACACCTCCAACACCAAAGGCTTCGTTATTGTTGATGGAAGATAACTTATGCAAGAGAGGATCAGAGATCGCAAGAAACTCATCGGTGGGGATTTCTTCTAGAATCTTCTACTATTACCATCATCGGAGTCTCGACGACGGAGTTCCTTTCAAGTGGGAGATGCAGCCAGGAACTCCGATCAATCCTCCACCGGAAGAACTCGTTCCTCCGATTACACCTCCTCCGGCACTTCTCAGCCGTAGCTTCACTAAACCCTCCTTCGGAGAATCTCATAAACATTCTTTTTTTCCGGCGAATATTCTTAAGCTTTGGAAATGGAAAAATCTTCGTAAGAGATGTTTCTCTAAATGGTCAAGCCAAAACATGCTTAGTCGAGGTAATTCAGCGTTACGTTTTTCTTATGACTACTTTTATATATTGGTTTCTATTTTTTCTCTATTGCATGGATAACTAGCAAGATAGACAGAATATTGTTTTTTTTTTTTTTTCACGTACAACCCAAATATTTATTATTTTTTTAAGCTAGCTAGCTTTTGAGTCTTTTGACTAATAGCAATATGAAACGAAGAAATGTGATAGAACAAAATGCGAAATGGAAAAGCGGAGTCTCGTTCAAAAAATGTTAAGTTGCATTTTGTTTTTTTTGTTTATCACTAATAATCCTATTAAAATGCGGAATTACATATAGAAATTGCAGAATTTACTGTATTTTAGTCAATAAATCTTGGACAATCAAGAAATAAGTAAAGTTGTATAATTGTTAAAAATCGAAGTTAATCGGTTCGCCATTCTACAAATCATATTTGAAGTTATTGGTACTAATGATTATAATTCGCTTATATGAACATTTAGTCATTTACATATATGATCCATATATCAGATTATAATAATGCTCGTGACGGTGGTTCAAGTTCTTGTGGTGAACTGGAGAGATTTGAGGAGTCTGAGGATTACAGGCTGAGCTCTTCTTCTTCATCATCGTCATCTTCCTCGAAAGATCGGAGATTGATAAAAGCTTCACCACGTCAATGGTTTAGCGGTTGCCCATCTCGGAATTCAAGGAACAGTCATAACAGGTTTTGATTTCGTCTTGATCTCGGTTGCGGTTTTCGTTAGAGTTATTCTCTTGATTTCGTCTTGTACCAAATTAAAGGTTGTATAACAGGAAAGAAGAAAAGAGACAAAATTAGTATCAGAATTAGATTACGTCGATAATGATCAGACTATTGTACAAACGTTCCTACTTTTTGACGTCTTCTTAGTTTTTCTCTTTCAAACTTATATCATGGTTAACATCTTTTTAATGGTTAAACTGATCTATTAGCTTTATTCACGTATTCAAATTATTATCCATTTGTATGTGTTTTTTTTTTTGTTTGATAAAGATTATTGATTTATGTTCTTTTACAAGTTGCAATATACATTTTTTTTAATGGATAAGTTTGTTTAAAATTTACATATTAGTTCGATTTCAGTTTTAGCTGGTACTCTTATTCTCTTAATATATTACATGTTAAATAAACCAATATAAGAAGGTTAACTTAAAGATGTAAATTCGAATTCAATTTTACTTATTCACGAACGCATAGGTCTTATTAGTTATTACTTATTAGTGCTGTGTGATTTGATTTGTCTTTTTTACTTTCATGTTCTTTTTATTATCAACATAATAAATTCTTGATTTTTTTCCAACAAACCTCATATATTATTAGATCACATTCGACAGGAATGACAATTGTGAGCTATATCGATATGTGTAACTTACATGAAAAAATAGATAACCTCGTGCTCACGTTCCCTTTGCAAAAATCTGGCACGAACATTATAATTACGTGGAATAAAGAATAAACTAAAGTCATGAAAACAAGCTTTGAGGTTACAAAGATAGTCGAGGCCTGATTGAAAAGAAGAGTAATTTACTGTTTTCAATAATCTTTAACAAATCTGAACTCTACATAATTACATAACACCCTTATTTATAAACCACATCAAAAGTTATATGCAGTTGATTCCTACTGAATGAATTATCAACCAAAACAAAACAAACAAAAAAATTCTTGAAGTTGATCACCGCAACAAACCGGGACAAAATAAGACACAAAAGTCATGGCCCAAAAAAGCCCATTCAACAACAGCCCAGCCCAGCTAAAAGCTTTTATTTGCCTCTCCTCGTCGTCGCTGAGCTCCTATTCTCCGCGTCGCTGGGCTCCTTTCTCCTCAACTTCTCCATGGACAAGAGGCTCAACGAATGCTCGACATCCACCGATGTAATCTTCTTCTTCTTATGGATTTCTTCTTACTTACTTTTTAATGGTTTCTTCACAATTTGTCTGGATTTTGTTGGTGTTTCGGATTTTTAGGTTGAAACAGTTCATGGTGTGAATAAGGTCACGAATCCGCAAACAGGTAAAGAAATTGGGTTTATTCTCTGCTCATGTCCTTATTTCTTTTTTACATGTGTCGCCGTAGAAAATCATAGGCACGTATTGATCTGTCAATATCTGAATCTCGTGTTTTGTTATGTTGATTTTAACATTAGATAAGAAGAGAGAGTTGGATAATTTGGAAATCAAAGAAAAACGGAAGAAGCAGAGGAAACACGACGAGAAATCAGAGAAGAATGTCAGATTCTACATTAAGTTTTTGTCTTTTTATTCCCAATTTTACACTTTCACTAGAGAACTACAACTTTTTGTCTTTTTGTGCGTCTTTTTCTTATTCAGCAGGAAATTAAAAAATTGAGGAAATCTTACGAGGAGATGACAGAAACTATGAAAAAACTGTACGAGCTTATCGAATCAAGGGCCGGTCTGCGGATTTCGTTCGAGGTATATATTTATTTTCTACATCTGTATAAGTTCAGTTTCAAACTTTCCTCTTGAGTTGATTGGAAAGAAAATCTTGTATTGTCAAATAGCAGAAAGAAGCCCCAAAGAAAAAGAAAAAGCTGGAACGGATATACATTAACGAGTGCAATTTCGGAAATAAAGATCATCTTGGATTAAACGAGGAGACCCTTTTCGTTACAGGGTTTGATACTTGCCTTCCTAGGCTCATAATCAAGAGCGCATTGTTGAAACATTTCGGTTCATGTGGAAAGGTCACTAATGTTTATGTTCCCATCGAGTGTGCTACCGGTGCTTCATTAGGGTTTGTGGAGACTTGTTCTTCCATTTTTTTTTTCCTTACAAAAACACAAGTTAACTGCAACCGAAAAGATTGACATTACTTTTTTTTTTTTTTACAGATATGCCTTCATTAATCTGAAAAAAAATCATACCAAGGGGTTAACACTGAGTGGAAGTTACTTGGGAGGACGGATGCTCGATGTTATGATGGCCAAAGATAGACCAGAATTCTTTGGCTTAGAGGACTTTGAAGGTTGTGATCGTTGCTGTGGCTATAAGCCATGGTTGGTAACATCCCGCTCCTTGGACAACTCATTCAGGAACTGGCGGCGTAAGATTAAGATAGAAAGGTACGCAACTAAATCTCTTTCTTTATTACTACTTATTGATTTCTTGATGACAAAGTCTGCAAAACTTGTCACTAATTCGGGCTTACTTTTTTTGGCTCTTGGTAATGCATGTAGGCGGACCTTTGGCAGTCCATATAGCAAGATTGGTCGTTTTACAGCTAGTATTGCTCGTCTACACATCTAGTACTATTGGTCTTTTTCCCGTTGCTGCTACCTGTTTCTCGACCGACCAGCTACATCAAACTATTTATATCTCACTCTTTTGCTATTTAGTTTCATAATTTATTCTTAAACCGAATTATGAAATGTTTTAAAAAAAAAAAAAAAAATGAAACCAATTTTTTCGACTTTAGTAAATCAAAGCACATTTAGTGTGACTTGGATTCAAGGTTGGCCCAGTTGGGTACGTAAGGACTGAAACTGTTATGTCTTCATGATTTTAGGAGCTTGTCTTTTCATACATGAGCTAGCTTTGTAGAGAAAAGTTATAGGAATCGAATACTCATAATCTATCTGATTTGATGGTATCTTATTTACAAAACTGTGTTAGTTTGATGCAATACCGGAAGCAAGTTTATGACGGAAAATGAACAATTCTGTTAACTACTCAGGAAACTCGTTTGTAGGTTATACTTATGTGTTACAGTGTTAGTATTTTAGTTTGAAGGACTATACTTCTAGTGAAATACTTTTTGAAGGTAGTGTAAAAGTGGATGTTACTCTTTGGGTCATGAATTAAAATACTGTGAAATAGTTGTATAACGTAAAATAATTCATCGACTAAGCATAGTTGCATAACGCCTATTTCATTGTCCAATAAGCAGCGAAGACGAATAGTATTATAAAAATAGTTTCCAGTAAAAAAGACAAAACTGAACGTGTTGTATGTTTGATATTAATTATTTTATAGTATTACAAAGAATTAAAAAAGGGAAAGTATCATGCGATAATTCATAATTTGCAATTATAACAAAATATAGTAGGATAGCAAAGCGAACGTGGGGAATGATTTGATGTAGCTTTCCAAAATCCTACCATTAATGTTCCGCTGTTTTTATTTTGTTTGTATAGTTCATATTTCTATTAATTTGTGATTTTAGACGGTCCTTTTCGATAAAGCGTTTCTCTTAAATAGTACTTTATTATATTTAACCACAAATAACATAAAACTTCTATAAATATTTTAATAATAACATTTTTGTTTTAGAAAGTTACTAAGATTATTTCGATTTCAACTAGAATTATGTCGAAAATTAAAATGAAATTTCAACCATCTTCAAAAGACATAATATTAAGAATTTTATGTGATAAAATTTATCTGTAAATACTCTATATCTTATTTAAAATCCAGTATATGTTTCATTTTTTTCAGCAAATTTATATGTGGAGTGATTTACACTCTAAAGCACACTAGAGAAATTTGTGTATTTATGAACTAAAAGATCATGTATTTAAAAACATGTATGGTAGTAAAACAATAATATATTTCCGGCGCCAAATTTTGGCAAAGATTATTGTCTTCATTTTCTTTTTAACTTTTATGTACTCTTCTTTTTAAATACATTTACTACTCTTTCGACATTATAATTTGCTTCTTATCACACCTCGTATATATACTTCTTTCCTTCCTAAAACTATCACAAGTTTTTTTTTTTTGCAACACATTAATTAATATCTAAACTTACAAAAAATAAAATAAAAAAGTATGCTAAAAGTGCATATATTTTAGGAGTCATTTTATATATAACTTGACTTTATTACCAAAAATCTCATTAACTAATGTGCTTTAAAAAGAGTTATCATATCCGTCATTTTAGTATTATCATCTCCGACTATTTTTGTAAAATCTGTATAAGTAAAGATATATAACAGATGCTTGATTTAACCAAAGAATACTTAAACGAATGTTAATATAATAAATGAAAAACAAATTTTAAGCTGAATGAATTGAATAGCGATTGTTGAACCATCATACTTGGTTTTAAAAACGAAAAAGCATTTGAATGTAAACAAATTCACATAATAATTAATCGTAAGGTGAGTTGCTTTGCCCAAAAGTAAACTACACCCACTCCGGTTTTGATGCCTCCACTTTCGATCGATCCACCGTGACCTGCTTTTTTGGAATCTTGTTCTTCTAACTGTTTAGTTATTAAAAAAGAGTTATATGTTGCTCTAAAATTGTATAATAAACTTGTGGTTTCACATTCTTTGACCGCACATTCCATTATTAGACTCCAGTCATGCCGCTTTCAGTGGATTGTAAAAGGCAGCATATACTAATATGAGACAAATAGAGCAAAATAATACTCCTTAACTAGGTAGTAATGGAAAAGGCTACAGTTATTTAACACGTGCTTCACCGAATGCTTCAAAAGCTGGCATATATTCACATTTCAAAATTTATAATTATCGTGTTAATTTGCTGTAATTCTATTAACTGGAGCTATTACTAAAAAACAATCGATATTATAAATGGTAAAAAGTATGATCATGTTTATTAAACGTAAAAATGTGAAGAACTACGCATCAATATTATAAATGGTAAAAAGTATGATCATATTTATTCGTATGTGTAGAATAATGTTGATGCGTAGAAAACAATAATTGAAATGAAACAAATAATTGCTGTGATTGTTAAAAACACGATAATGGTGCAGGGTGAAGAGATAGACAATGGGATAACGCAGCATGCAGAAGACACGTGTGCATAATGGCTGACACGTGTGGGCGGTTTACATGTAACCATGTGCTCGCCGATACAACAAAACCTCTTCTGTATATCTTCTTTTTGGTCCAAACATGTAAATAAATTAATTAGCTTAAACGGTTTTTAGCAGATCGCACATACCTATCCATATTAATAGCAAAATATATTCACACTTTTATACTCTCACTCGCTAATCTCACGCTCATTATCACACGCGTTTGGCTCAGAACTCTAAACACTTAAATATCTCTAATTTCTCGACTGAGAATAGTCGGTTCGGTTCATCAACGAACGCAGAAAACGCACCAATATTATTTACGTGCATGGATCGGCATGAAGTCCCAAACGCAATCATACGTAGAAAAAATCACATATTTGGTTTGTTGTTGTGTTCTTTGGATGCTGCAATGCATTCTGTCGCAGCAAATTTTGTTGAGCTACGTGCATCACTTCATTTAATATTCTAGCAGTTTTAAGAAAATTATGCGTTTTAGAATTACATTTTCAATTTGTTCGATACATAGTATATATATATATATATATATATTCAATTCAATTTTTTATAACATGTTTGTTGTATACCGCCTATAGTTTCTTGTTCTACTGATACTGTTTGTACTTTATATTACATTTGACTTTTAACACGCATATTGTTTGTTGATCATCACTACAAATGCCAGGTGAGAGTGAGAGTAGCATATTTTCTCATAGTTTACATTAAAGATGTGACTTCGCGAATTATCGAATTGCTAAATAATCCGCATTATTTTACAAAAAAAAATAATTATCGAAATGCTAAGAACATTTAATTTACATTAAAGATCGAAATACGTCTTATCGAGTTGCTAAGAATACAAAATCATTACAAATAAAAAGAAGAAAGCAGATGGTAATCAAAAGGATGGAAAATGGCGCCAAAGCTTTGCTGAGTTCTGTCCCTCTTTTTCGCTTTTATAGTTTTTTCGATATATTTTTAGTGAAAAGGAGCCAAATTAAATAAATTAAAGTGTTTAGAAAAAGAGATGAAAATATCAAATGGTATTGGAGTGGTCAAAGAATGACGAAAAGATTATGAAAATGGCCAAAGTCTGTAATAATTGGATACAGAACAGAGGGGACACGCGTCACCTTTTTGGACCATCACCAATTATTCCACCCTCCTTGCACTAATTTATAAAATACAGTAAGTTATAAATAATTCAAAACTAAGATTTCTAATATCCTCATCTCATCGACAATAATGAGCGAAGGTAGTCAATCAGATTCTTTCAGCGATATTACTTATTTAAGATAATTCGTTTTTTTCCTTAACCATGCATATATCAAATAAATAAATTTTTTAAAGAATGGTTAATAATCTTCATTAAAAAACAAAAAAAACTGTCGATAATGCTCCGTTTATAAGATAACAACATCTGAATTTTATTTTGGAAGTGCTTCTCAACTTGCATACATTTTTAATACATAAAATATTAATTATATATTTTTCTTAAACATTCACCGTATGTGTATGTTAAAACGTAGACCGTTCGTCCTTCCACGTCACAAGAAACACAAAACAGAAATAAAATAAATGGGACGATAACAAATTATTTTAAAAAAAATGAAAGTGACGTGAGATCAGCAGTCGCCGCCCAGTTCATCCCATCAAAAGCTTCCACTTGCCCTTTTGCTCTCTCTCTCTCATACTATTTTCTTTGCTTTTTTACTGTTTTTTCTTAAAAACAAACATTTTATTTTTCATTATTACATTATTCGGTAAATGTATAAAGATATGACTTTTGTAGTTGTGACAGCACTTATGTTTTATCAGCCTAAAAATCTCAAAATAACCCTATGATAAAAGATCAACTATGATTGTTAATTGGTTTCAAATTTTGTTAAAATCAGTTGCCTTATATACATCTTTTTTTTTTTTTAATTTGAGGTGCGAGATGTGAGAATGTTGAATAAAGTAATTTTTGTGTTTATACTATAACAAGTAAAAAATATCTATCATTAGCTATATATATACATCCGACATTCTAATTGTTTTATAATGATACGTGGTCTCTGCATGTGATTTTCTAACAAAAATTATCAAAATAATTTTATTTTCTTAGTTTCAAAATATAGACTACATAGTCTCGATTATCGTGCTTCTCTCTCTCTCTTTCTTTCATTTCCTCACTCGTCTCTCTCATCTTGACCTCTATATCTGTGTCATGTCCTCTCTCTTTCTCTCTCTATCTATCTCTCAAACCCTAGAGAGGAGAGTTAAAAGACGAGACCTTCCACTATTTCCAAAGTCGTGAAATCACCAGAGATCTCTCTCTCTCTCTCACACGTCCAGAAGAATTCACGAGTCCCCAAAGAAAGAGAAAAACCTTATTTCCAAAGATGAAGAACAATAACAACAAATCTTCTTCATCTTCTAGCTATGATTCTTCTTTGTCTCCTTCTTCTTCATCTTCTTCCCATCAAAACTGGCTCTCTTTCTCTCTCTCCAATAACAACAATTTCAACTCTTCCTCAAACCCTAATCTCACTTCCTCCACGTCAGATCATCCTCACCCTTCTCATCTCTCTCTCTTCCAAGCTTTCTCCACAACTCCAGGTCCTCCCTCTCTCTCTCTCTCTCAATCTTATTAGGGTTTGTTTTTGTATTCTGTGTTGCACCAAGACCACTTAAACTTTTGCTATTTTGATTAAGTAGCATATTTATTTCATTTCCTTTACTTTTATTTTTAACTAGTAGTATTTTTTTTTTTTTTGTGTGTGTTGGTATTAGTCTAATCTAATCTACAAAATCCTCCAGTGTATTAATTAGATCTAGTTAAAAAGAAAAGAAAAGAAATCTATTTATTTTCCTAAAGAATCTTTCACTAGATATTGTCTCCTCCAAAGTAAAACATTAATTACAACATTATCCTCGTAAATGAAACCAATTTTCAGTTCAACGGCAAGATGAGTCGGCGGGAGTTTCCTCAGGCGATGCCACGGCGGTTCTTTCCATTTACCCTGGCGGTCCAAAACTTGAAAATTTCCTCGGCGGCGGTGCAACAACGACGACGACGACCAAACCAATGCAGCAAATGCAATCTCTCGGCGGCGTTGTCTTCTCTTCAGAATTACAGCCACCACATCAACCTCCATCCGCCGCCGAGATCTACGACTCTGAGCTCAAGTCAATAGCTGCTAGCTTCCTCGGCAACTATTCCGGTGGACGCTCATCGGAAGTAAGTAGCGGACATAAGCAACAACACAACCCTCTAGCTAACTCGGAAGTTTCGCCTACTCCAAAGAAAAATGGAGAGAGTTTTGGACAACGTACTTCGATTTATAGAGGAGTTACAAGGTGCGTTTAATCAATAATTCGTGTACATTAAATCATCAGTAAAATAGTGTAACATTTTTGGTGCGTAAGTATGTGTTTATACGGGTAAATGCATGTGCTTTTTTATTATGTTGATGTTATATATAGTTGACTTGTTAATTACTTTAACAGACATAGATGGACTGGGAGATACGAAGCTCATCTATGGGATAATAGTTGCCGAAGAGAAGGCCAAAGCAGAAAAGGAAGACAAGGTACACTTTGTCTAAAAATGCGCTTCGTATGTATGCGCTTGTTAGTGATATCCAGTTGATGTTTTACTATAATGCGCGTTTTTTTCACTTGTAGTAATTTTACTTTTTGCTTATGAGGTCACGGCCTAAATCTAACGTCGCTTTTTATTTTGTGGTTTGGTTCTCTGACGTGAAATCATTACCCAACCGTGGACGATCTGAAATTTGTAATGATTTTTAATTGGTCTACAGTGTATTTAGGTGAGTTCCAATAAATTCTCATGAACACTTTATTTCATCATCATATATGTCTTCGTTGTCAATTTAATTCCCTTCTGAAACGTTATCATTCTCATTCAAATTTAGATTTGTGTATTTATTCAATTTTGAGATGTATTATTTTATTTGTTGTTTTCAGGTGGTTATGACAAGGAAGAGAAAGCAGCTCGAGCTTACGACCTTGCAGCTCTTAAGTATTGGGGTCCTACAACTACGACTAATTTTCCGGTAATTTTGAATCTGATTCATTTTTATTTTTATTTAGTAGAATCGTCCTAGAATTTTTCATTTGTTTTAACTTCCAGAAAATTACTTGTAACTAGATATCAAATTACGAGTCTGAACTGGAGGAGATGAAACACATGACTCGACAAGAGTTCGTTGCTTCTCTAAGACGGTAATGATTTAATTTGAGATATGTTTTTTCTTATAGTTGTTGCAAGAAAATTAAATATTTTTTGTTCTATCTAAAATACATCTTTTATTTGCTTAATTAAAGGAAAAGCAGTGGATTCTCTAGGGGTGCTTCCATGTACAGAGGTGTCACTAGGTCCGTTTACACTCTTACTCAGTAGATTTTATTACTCAGTAGTTTTTTATGTCTCAAGTTTAATTTGTTCCACGAAATAGTGTAACATACGTTCCTAGTAAAATGTTTGAACTTTATTATTCATAACAATGCAGACATCATCAGCATGGTCGATGGCAGGCAAGAATTGGAAGAGTTGCGGGAAACAAAGACCTTTATCTTGGCACATTTAGTGAGTCCCATTTCAATATATTTTTTTTTTTTGTTATGAATCTGTTTTAAACATTTTGTTATAATTATATCATCTAACTCATGTTATGATATTTTAAAACTTAAGGCACACAAGAGGAAGCTGCAGAAGCTTATGATATAGCAGCGATTAAATTCCGTGGTCTAAATGCGGTAACCAACTTTGATATAAGCCGCTACGATGTCAAATCGATCGCTAGCTGTAATCTCCCCGTAGGTGGGCTAATGCCTAAACCCTCCCCAGCAACCGTAGCACCCGACAAAACCGTTGATCTATCTTCATCTGACCCTACGTCTCTGACCACATCGTCGCTTACTTTCAACGTGGAAACACCGGTCCATGACCATGGAGGAACCTTTTTCCCCACTGGAATACCGATCAAACAAGACCCAGCTGATCATTACTGGTCCAACGTTTTTGGGTTCCAGCCAAACCAGAAAGCTGAGATCCGACCAATGACGACTTTTGGGTCGGATCTTCACAACCCTACTCCTGGTTTTGCTATAATGCCGGTACTGGAAGACGGAGGAAGCAACTTTGTTGGTGGTTTTGCCGAGTCTGAAGAGTATAATAGTCATTCCGCTGCATCGAGTCCTGTCTCGGCAATTCCACTGTCCTCGACGACAACGATAGGTAACGGTAACGAAGGGTATGGTGGGAACAACATAAACTGGATTAATAACAACATTTCAAGTTCTTACCAAACTGCAAAGTCGAATCTCTCTGTTTTGCAGACACCGGTTTTTGGTTTGGAATAAGCTCTCTCTCTCAAACTTTTCTTCATTAGTGAGAACAAAAAAGATGTAGGAAAAAGATACGGTGGTTGAAATTTTTTATATTTTCTTTTTTGAGATTATTTAAGTAGTTCTTATAAAATATATTTGTAGTTTTTCACTTTTATCTTTTGTCTACTGACCAAGAATTTAGCGAGGATCTGACAGTACTAACTCTTTGCATGTGTTAATGGCCTTATGGGTTCATTTTCCTCTTTTCAGAACTATATTTTTTATCGACTTTTTTTTGGTTTCAAATTGTTTTTGTGTGGACAATATGAGTGATTGAAGATGGAACGATATGTGAGAATATGAATGAAACAATAAACCATCTGCGGTAGTTTAAATATCGTCATATTTATTTTCCTCTTTTCAGAACTATATTTTTTATCGACTTTTTTTTGGTTTCAAATTGTTTTTGTGTGGACAATATGAGTGATTGAAGATGGAACGATATGTGAGAATATGAATGAAACAATAAACCATCTGCGGTAGTTTAAATATCGTCATATTTATTTTTGTTATTGTCTTGGAATGTAATAGTTTCGGAACAGATTATTTTCTTTTGCGTAATTGCTTGTATGACGTAAACTTTGTTATTGATATATATGTCGCAACGTGATCGAAAAAGAAAGTTCTCTCAGGATCTTTCTACGTTCCAAATCGCATCTCAAACATAGGACAACTAATGTTCAGGAAAAGAAAAACTACTTGGCATATAACCGACTGTAGCTCTTATTGGTTCTCAACAGACAACAAAGCGTCATTTGAAGTCCCAAACAAAATAATACCCGCCTTTTCTCTTTACTTTAAGGTCGTAACAATACTGCTTGATTTGTATTTTCGTAGATCTAACTTTGCAACCCCCCGAACTACCCAAAAAAAAAGAAAGAAATATATACATACCCAATGCTAAATGGCCTCACGTTTGTAGTCCATACGTGAACATAAAAGCTTCTCACTAAAAGGCTGTGTCAGAATTTACTTGATTTTGTTCATACTTTGTAAGTCACGTTTGTCATCGATCGTAACGATTTGTAAGTCTATACATATACGCCAAAATGAGTTGGTCCATCAGTTCTTTCTCAGTTTTTTTTCTCTTCGTATACAGTGGCATAAGTCTACTTAACTGATGTAAAGCATTATCTCTGATATATATATATATATATATATATATAATATGAGTTAAGAAATGGTTGGCAGTAAATAAAAGCTTCCTGATTGTTGTGTCATGTACTCATGTGTGGTTGTAGAAATGTGGGTTACTATGGTACAAAATACGGTTAGATCCACTCAATGTTGTCATATTTAGTAGTTAGAAGTTAGAACAACTAATTTAACCTTTTTGGATAAACTCTAAGTTGTTATAGGATAATCAGCTTTTTTTTTATTAATCATTCCTCTAGGCTCCGATTACGTACGTTTGTGTTTATCTTTCTTGTATATTTTTTAAATGACCCACAAATCTTAAGAAGTTTGAAAAGGAATTATTTGCTAGTTATTAATGTCAAGCGCAAACGGAAAGATAATTTTCAGTTTGCTTTTCGCGTTAACAAAATATTTCACAATTGCGTTTTTTTTTTATATTTCATAAATATGTTCAAATTTTTTGTCCCACATGTTAACACAAATGCATAAACAGTGGTTTCAAACAATCGAGCCCATAGTATAAGATATGTCATTACGATCAAGTGACTAAATGTCCCGTCAAAAGAAATTGTGAGCAAGTGTCTCATTTGTATTAAGGGATACGAAAATGTCCCGTTTTTAAAACTATGTTAATTAAATAGATGTTTAGTTTCTTGTTGTAGTTTTTAGTTTTGTAAATGTTTTAACAGCAAGCATTCTTCTATTTCAAATAACTCGTTCATGTGTTTTAAAATAATACATATTTACTCTCTTTATACCAAAACTTTATTGTTTTAGAGCTAGTCGAATAAATCGTACGTGCTATGCTAATAAGAAAACACGTCTATTGGCAAATGCCTTTCTTGGTGTTTGGACCGACCATCTTTATGGTTTAATATCTATATTATTATTTGTATTGATATATAGCTAAATAGTAAAATATAAAAGTATTTATAGAATAAATGAAATATATAGTGAATAAAATTTAAAGATGAACTAACGCAAATATAAAATGTAAGTAAATCGTTTGCAGTTGGTTGGTTCATAGAACACAAATTCTCCTTCTTTGTTCGTGGAATTATTATTATTAGTTTTAAGTCTTCTAACGGGCTTCTCATTTTCATGAGAACATTAATAAGTTTTCATTTTACGTTTGATGGTTGATCATTTTATGCACAACTAGATGATTGATCATTTTCTGTCATTGATCATTTCATAACTAGATCGTTTGCGATGTCGGTAGAGATGAGAGTATTTTTTTGTTGGAAAATTTTCTTAGAAGGTTTAAATAAAAATGTTTGTATTATACTTTATGAATTCTATTCGTTTATATTTTATCAATGACAGAAACACTATCTATCGAAATATGTATCAAAATTATTTCCTTCGGAAAGTAGGTTTATGTATGTAAAATTTATATTGATAATATTAAGGGAATTATATATGTGTTAATATTACAAAGGTGGTGCTAAACAGCTAATGACATTCAAATATAAATATTTACTAACTAAATGGAAAATGTTATTCGATCTCAAATCGTTCTACAGGTGGTAAAGAATTTCATTAAATAGTCTTATAAATTTTTCAATAAATATCTTGGATATTTACCCTATTAATATACATATATCGTAATAAGTCCAGCATTGGTTACCAGTCAAATCAAAGCATTTGTGTATATATAATATCTTCGAAAGCACGTGAAGAGATCAGATATTTACAACTTTTCTGGTATAATATTTAAATAATAAAAACCAAATTCTAAAGAACTTCAGAACAAAGAAACCTTTCAGAGCAGAAGATTCATAAGAGGGTTTGAGTTAGAAACATCTAGAAAAAAAGGGGGTCATAAGAACCAACGGAGAAATACGTTTTCCTTAAAAAAATTCCCCAAAAAATATCTCTAGCAACTAAGAAAGAAAGAAAAAAAATCAGAAAAAAAGAAGAACACAAAGAACAAAAAATGCAAGCTGCTTCGGTAATATTTTATTTTTATTAAAATTTATGTAGGCTGCTTTGGTAAATATATTTTCTTTGTTTCTTGTTGTTTCATTGGCTAAAATAGGTTTCACAACGAACCAAGAATCCTCATTCTATTTCCTTTATTATTTTGCTTACATTTATTTATTCTCTGGGAATTTTATTTTTAAATTCACCAAAATTCTCAATGTTTTATTCTTGTATCGCTCGTATAGAGCTTGCAGACCGAGTCCTCCACGAATCTCCGTCTATACATACAATTCTACATTAAATCTGTTCTTAAGAGAAGGAGACCTTCATCATTGGTTTTCTCGTCGGTTGTTATGTTTTTTTTTTTTTTCCGATTTAACATCTTTTGATCCCTTCTTGTCTGTATTATTTTTTCATCTCCGATTGTTTGTGATGGTTATTTTTTTTTTTGTTATTTCTTTTACATTATTTAACTTTCATTTCCTTCTTTGTGTTGAATCTGATCTGCAGCTCTCAAAGATCTGGCGTTATGATAATAATGTGGTTCCCGAAGACGTGGATTCTTCATCATTTGAAGGTACGATTTTCCTCTTCTTGTCGACGTGAACGTCTTTGTCTTCTCACTGTTTCTAGTTTCATGCGTTTATTTGCTGCTTTTTAGGTAACACGACATCGTTTTTATTCGTTGGAACTGTTAGTTTTGCCTGTGACTGAAAAAAAAACGCTTATTCTTCTCTCATTTGGATTCATCGTCAAAATGGAAATTTTAGTTCTGGGTTGTTGAGATCCATTGTTTTCGTTGATAAAGTTTGAAACTTTGAGTGATTTATGCCCCAAAAAAGTCATGACTTGATTCCCCTTTTTGTTGTTCTTCCTCATTTCGTTTAGACTTTTGCTCCGGGCGATACGCTCATCGTCAGGCGATACGCTCATCTTCAGGAGATTTTTAAAGGTTAAAAGGATCGTCCTTTGTTTTTCGCAGGCATTGAATGCATCGAGTTTCCGAAAAAACACGGCTTTAATGTAAGTGAAAAGAGAGAACTCATACACGCCTTGTCCAACCAGCCAGAAGAAGCTTCGGAGCTATTAAACTCATGGAGCCGAAACGAGATAATGAAGATCATATGCGCAGAGATGGGCAAAGAGAGGAAGTACACTGGTTTAAACAAACCGAAACTCATACAAAACCTCCTGAATCTTGTGTCTCGTCCTCTTGGAGAGACTTCTTGTTCTGACCGTAGAAACTCGAGGAAGAAACAGAAGACGACCAGTTACATCGTTTGCTGCGAAAATCTAACATGCAGAGCTGCGCTCGGAGCCGAAGATACTTTCTGTAGAAGATGCTGTTGCTGCATTTGTCATAAGTTTGATGATGACAAGGATCCGAGTCTATGGCTTACTTGTGAGGCTTGTGGATTGTCTTGTCATTTGGAATGTGCTTTGAAGCAAGAAAGGTGGGGGATTGAAAGTCTTGATGGCAGATTTTACTGCGCGTTTTGCGGCAAAGATAGCGACTTGCTCGGGTAAGTATTTAACGATACCAATCTATTATATATATAATGAAAAGAGATTTGTTTGGAGAACGTAGTGTAATAATATGTGTGTGTTTACTTACAGATGCTGGAGGAAACAAGTGAAGGTGGCGAAGAAGACTCGGCGTGTTGATGTACTTTGTTACCGTGTTTCTTTAGGACAGAAGCTGTTGAGAGGTACGAGGAGGTATCGGAAAGTGTTGGAACTTATGGATGAGGCGGTGAAGAAGCTTGAAGGTGACGTGGGTCCGTTATCGGGTTGGGCCATGAAGATGACTCGAGGTATCGTCAATAGACTTTCTTCGGGAACACAAGTTCAGAAGCTGTGTTGTTTGGCTATGGAAGCTCTGGACAAAATGGTCTCACCATCAGAATCTGTTTCACGACGAGGTTAGTTATTTTTTTTTTTTTTTGTTCTGTTCACAGTTTCACACATTACTTATGCTTTAAAGTGAGAAGATGTTAAGACTTTATGTTCTTGTTAGATGACAAGATGAGCGTGAGAGTAGAAGAGATTCAAGCAAGATCAGTCACTGTGAGGTTAGACTCCGAGGAGCAGTCTTCTTCTTCTCAAAACAAAACCACAGGTTTTAGATTGCTTTGTCGAAAGACCAAGGAAGGAGAGTGCTTGTCTCAGGCTATTTGTGCTGTGTATCTACCTCAGAGGAGGTCTACCATCCAAGGACTTGACCCCGAGACCGAGTTCTGTCTCAGAGTCGTGGCCTTTAACGAGGAAGGTGATTTAGATGAGTCTGAGATTCGGTTCTCAACGCTAAAGGATGATGGAGATGAAGCTGGGAACAGGCAATGCCTTTTGACAAACTCTAGCAGTGGTCTTTGTAGTAATCCATCTTCGCCCGAAGATGAATCTAACAACGTCGGTAAAAGCTGCTGCATAGCAAATGGTGACAACGACAACATTGAGCGCCGTAGTGCAGGAGAGGTAGAATCTGAGCCCGTAAAAAGGAAAGCTAGCAGTGAGTTGCTTGTAACACCCGGCAAGAGAAATAATTTAAAGGGCAAATCAAGAACAGCAACGGTTAACGAGAAACATGGGATCAATGTAGCGAATGGAGTGGGAGATAAAGACTTGGGTCATATCGTGAAGACCATTATACGATTAGAGCAAGGAGGTCACATAGACAAGAGTTTTAGGGAAAGGTTCTTGACATGGTATAGCTTAAGAGCTACTCACCGAGAAGTTAGAATCGTGAAGCTCTTTGTGGAGACATTCATGGAGGATCTGTCTTCTTTGGGACAACAGCTTGTGGACACATTCTCAGAATGCATACAGAGCAAGAGATCAACAGCAACTGGTGTTGTGCCTGCTGGAATCAGCCTCAAGTCAACAACTGGTGTTGTACCTGTTGGAATCTGCCTCAAGCTTTGGCATTAACGCTCCTTTGAAATCGGTCTTTTCTATCAATTTATTCGATATTCTAAACCATAACGATATATTTGGATAGAAATTATGTAAGTACGCAAAGTTTTTTAATGTCTTAGTGAGAAACTCAAATTGAATAGCCATGATCTCAGCTGAACAATAGTCTGAAAGTTAGAGTCGAAAGGTTACACACATAAGATTGACAATTCTAAATCCCGAACTCATGAGATATTGCTGAACTCAGAGAGTACATGTTTGTTCTCAAAGGACATTAGAACAGAGTCTGGGGAAAAATTGCAGTAAATACTACTACAGACGACATGCAGCACGAACCCTCATCCTTTTGACTCGTGTTTAAAACGGCGTGAGAAGGACCCTGCAAGATAAGTTCAAAGGAGAGGGAAATTGGTGAGGCAAAAGTGATTGATACGAAAACAGAAACTGGGTACAAAGAATCACGACAAGATTCTAGTTAAAAAATCATGAAAACTGGAGTTGCTTCACCTCTTCAGAGTAAGAGATAAGGCTCTATGCCCATCTAATGACAAGTAATTTCTACATTCAACAGTTGAGACCGATGGATAAACTATAACCAGCGCCAAGGTGGGATAATAGTTTTTTCCCGCAGCGACTCGCACAACTTTAATCTTTGTAAGAAGCTACCCGAGGTTCAAATGTGACAAAGGCATGAGAACAAAGAACTTAAGAGAAACACAAGACTGGTTTCATCTGCTCTGGTAACTAGTTGATCCAGTGAACTACATAGATAGACCTTGTGAGGATATCTCTTGAACAGAGATCTCTGGTATAGACTATAACTAAATAACCATCAGTGAACTAAGAGTGAGAAGAACAACCACAAACGTAAGAGAGTACTAGAATCCATGATACCTATAAATTTTCTAAAGAGTAGAAATTTAGACATGGAGCAACAAAATGATGAACCTGACAAGCTCTTAAATTCCATTATCTAAAGAAGATGTTAAAGCAGCTAATTCAATCAAACTACTACAACCTACACAAAACAGCTAAGCCTATCTTCCAATTCCGATTATCACATTTGGGAAAGCTCAGAGAGAAGCCTAACCTTGAAGAAAACTAGCGGTTACGCTCTGGAGGCAAAGGACGGTTAAAGCCACCGCGACGGTTCATGTACTGTCTTGGCTGCCGCTTGGTCACAGCCCTAATCCCACTGACGTCGGCGCCTTCAACTGGCTTCCCTTTCGTCGAGTCAAATCCAGTTGGAATCCCTAACATCTTCATCATCTCAATCTCATTAACATCCATTCCTTCCTCCGTCTCGCCACCGCCTCCGCCTTTGTCAGCTTCGTTGCCTCCGCTAGGTTGTTTACCCTTCTTCTTAGCAGGCTCTTTCGCAGCCTCGTCGACGAAACCAGGCACATCTCGTTTGCGATTCTTTTCCTTCTCATCGTCCACTGAACCCTGGCGAGGCCGTTTCCGCGACGGCGCATCGGGAGAGGGAGTCCTGCGCCTGTGGTGTCGATGACGGTCAATCGAGCGGGAACGAGAACGGTACCTCTCCGGAGAACGCACGTGGCGAGGAGGACGAGCGTGGTGGTCTGGAGTTCGAGATCGGGACTTCTTGCTCCTAATCCCTCGGTCACGGTCACGGTCCCTCTCTCTGTCTCTTTCCCGGTCTCGATCACGGTCTCGGTCTCGGTCACGGTCTCGGTCACGGTCACGGTCGTCTCTATCTCGGCGTCTATCGCGGTCGCGGTCGCGTTCACGGTCCCTATCCCTCTCTCGTTCGCGTCGGTCTCGCTCTGACATGGTGGTGATGCGAGTGAGGACGGTGGTTGTGTCAGGGTTTTAAGCAACTTTCACCGAAGTTGGATTTTTCTTTTTCTCAATTGTGATTTTTTATGATAACCTTTTGTAATCAAAATGTAAAATTTGAATAGCCAATAGGGCTTAACGTTTGGATTTGAAAATTACGTTTCAGACTTTGCGATTTTAGTCCAGTACATACATATAGAGAATCTTATTAAAATTTGTAAAATCATAAATAAAATTTACAGAATATGAACACAAATGCACTCCTCAAAAGCTTCAGACTTCAAAGAGAACAACAGAAACAAACCCCTAGAGAGTGAGAGAGAGATATCACATTTCCACTATTTATATAAAAAGCACTAAAAGTCCTAAAGGAGAAGAAGAAAAAGAAGAAGAAGGACTAAAAAAATATGATCAGCACCAAAGTCCCACCACATAGTCTCTCTCCCTAAAGCTCAGTATCCTAAACAGAAGAAACCTTTCCACCTTCTTTCTCTTAAATTCATAGGCTCCTGCTGTTTGGTTCTTCTACGTGAGATAGCTCGCTAGTGATAACTCGTGTAGCTCACTTAGCATCCACTCTTCTCCGGTCTGACCACCCAGCACTATAGCTCGTGTTCCTCCCACAACACAAGTGCCATGTCCCCAAGCAAACCGCGGTGGTCTCCCCGGAATGTTTAGTATTCTCCAAGTGGGCTTCTCTTCCGTTGGGTCAAGTAGATATAGCTGAGACGCTGAGTGAAGCCCAGCCACCGAACCACCAAAGATCAATATTCTGCCTCCCGGGAGGTTAACCGCTACGTGGTCCAGCCTCGGCGGTGGTGCTACTCCTCCTGGGTTTCCTGCTCCGGGCATTCCGCTACCGGTCACACACCTCCAACAAGGCTCTTCTTCGCTTAGATCCATTGTGAAGACATCGCTTGAACGGAATCTCAAAGGCCCGCTTTTGGCCAGACCACCAAACATCAAGATCTTTCTCCCTCCGTAAACCGATAACGTATGGCCTAACCGGGAAGGCGGAGTCCAGGCAGCTGGGATCTCCCTCCACACTGGTTTCTCCATTGAGAGGTCGAGGAGAAACGTATCACTGAGAAGAACACCAGAGTCTGCACAACCTCCGGAGACAATCAGTTTGCTTCCGTCAAGGGTGCACGAGCTGTGCCATGATCTTGGTAAAGGCGGAGCCAGACCCGAAATCTCCCTCCAAGAAGGCGGCTTCGCATCCAGATTCAAGACAAACACATCGTTTAACAAACCTTGCTGTCCACAACCACCGAATACAACCAGATTGGAGCCATTAACGCAAGTGAGCGTGTGTCCCCAGCGTCCTGGAGGAGGGGAGCTCACTTTGACATGTTGCCATTCAGGGAAATCCGAATTCAGATCTAAAACAAAGGTATCGTTCATAGGCTGCATATTCACACCTTCTCCTCCAAAGAGCACGACCCTGTTCCCGACAGCACATGCACTAAAATTACATCGAGACGGCTCAACAGCACCTCCAACAGTAAGTTTTCTCCAAGCTGCAGCTTCAAGGGTAGTCAGTTCTCTGGCTAGGCGGCCCCAACCGAGTCTTTTTGCGCCAGGAACAGTCTCTAATACGCGTGTTGTCTCGCTGCCCCAAGCATTCTGACAAACTCTTCGCCAAAGATCCTCGTTCTTTGTCAACACATATAGCCTGCGACATACCGAGCTAACAGATGCAACGTCTCTTGGTGTCAGGCGTGACAATATCTTCATAGACACAACCTCGTCACTCAGCTGGAATAACCCGCACATCCCTCTGCTAACATTCCGCTCCGCAGCGGCTAAAGCTGAGTATATACCATCGATTGATTTTTCTTTTGTTGAAGAACCTTGAACTGGTCCAAGGTCAATGTCTGTTTCGATGAAGAACTGGATTCCAATTATATGGGTGATGGTATCATCGTCTCCATAAATTGGGGTCAGCCGCAATCTATTCATCAGCGGAGATCCATCTTTACTAAAGTTCAATAACTCGCCTTGGAACTCAATACCCTCATCAATACATTTCCTTATCTCGGAAACAACCATAGAATCAACTAAAGGATGCCTTCTTTTAGCAAACGGCCCTCTACATTGCAAGAAGCGACTGTAAAATTCAGAAAAAAACAATTTTAGAAACAATATGAGATCAAGAAACAAAGTTATCTCTGACTTAGTGATACGCAAAAGCAATGGACAAAAATTTGGCTGAGCATAGAGAGACTGAAAAAAAAAAACCGAAAAACACCAAACAAGCATAGGTTAAAACATAACCATAGCAACTAATCTGAATAGACTTCTTATCATGTGAACAAAATAGTTCCTCCTTGTCAGATTCTAAGCTTACCAATACCGGGAAAAGAAGGAACCTACTAGCACTACGGAAAACTAACTGTCACAACTAAAAGTAATGTACTTAAAAACTGTATACGATGAGCCTGCTAGTCATTGGTTGACAACACATCAACCATCTGAAACCAGTGTCTGCATTGGTGTAGAGTTTATTGTGTTATGACCCCGAAAAACTACACAGGGATAGCTCGCTCATCTAGAAAGCAGCTGAAACAGCTAAACCACAGAGCTATTTTAATATCAACAGAACAATCACTGAATAACAATATGAGCAGCTTAAGTGCATAGCAGTGAGGCACACATAGAGAGACCATTGTGTCCATCTCTATTAAAAGATTCGCTGCAATTCTGCATAGTAGCGAATAATTATCCAACAATACCGTCTTCGTTCTCATTCCACAAAAATCTTCCGAACTAAAGAGACCAAATCAAGTGATCAATTACATCAGCGTCCTCAGAAGCAGCTTCAGATTACCAAAATCTCTTAATTCACAACAATTTTAAATAAATTCCAACGAAACTCGATTTGAGTAATCACCTCTATTTTCTTTACCTAAACTCAAACCACAGGATCCTTCCTTAATCAAACTCCTCCCAAGTAGCCCATTTCGACATAGTAAAAAACGGGACCAAAAAAAATAGCAATAACCAAAATCAACGAAACTCCTCGCATCAAATTAGAACCCAAAATCCAAAAGATAGCAAAAACGACTTACCAATTTCCTCCGAGAACCTCCTCAGCTCGATACCCAGTAACCATTTCGAAGACGGTGTTGACATAGATGATAGGCTGGTCAGGCTCAACGGCATCAGTTACAACGAATCCACAAGGCGCCGTGTGAAGAAGATTCCCAACCGGAAATGGAATTGGTCCACCGCCGGGAAAAAGACCTCCCTCATCATCATCCGCCGCTGATGAAGCGTCATCGGCGCTCAGATCGGAGCTACTGTCCCACTCCATGAACCTCTAAGGGTACAACAAGAGGAAGTATAGAGAAAATCGGTTCGCCGGAGATAATGAAAACGGCGATTGAAAACAACCGGCGTTAAAACTGTGAAAAGAGCTTGAGAGAGAGAGAGAGAGAGGGAAGATGGTGGAAAGAACGAGTGGTAACCGTCGAGTTTGGTGGAAAAATCTCGGCCGTATGAGTAAAATGGGTTTTAACGGGTCGGTTTTATCCGGATCCGACTTTTCCTATCGGATCGAGAGACGAGGGTTTACAAAAGCCCGTTAGTTATTTAGGCTTTGATTGGTAACTTTGCGGAATGGCGGAATTGCGGAATGGCGGAATTACGGAAAAAATCTTGCGGAATAAATTAAACGATTTATAAGTCGCTTTTCTGCGGAATGACTTTTTCTTTGTATTTTTGTTAAGCAAAAACGCAGTCTGTATTTTTGTGTGTATTTTTTCATTACGCAAATTTTTGCTGATTGACAAAAAACTTGCGGAATTGTGTTTAAAAACGCAATTCCATCATTCCGCCATTTTACAGGTTACCAATCAGAGCTTTAGTTTTTTAGCGGATGCTTACTTCCCAACATTGTGGGTTTATATCTTAGTACAATAAAAGCCCATAAATGAGTTTGTGAGGAAATTTCTCAGATCTAACCTTTTTCTTCTAATGGGTTCTTTTGATATGTAATGAAATTTATTGGCCTACATAAAAAAACATATACTGTCGACCTCTGATATAAAAATCAAATACATCTCATTGCAAAACAGTAGGGAAGTGTCTTGTTATAACAGTAGGTACACCCTCATCGACTATAACAGATTAACAGGTGTGACAGAAGTTGTGGATGATTATGTAATAGTTGTAGTATGGTCTGAAGCTACTACAACATAGCTAGTAGTAGAGAAGACGTTACAGCAATAGATTGACGAAAACTAACTTATCATAATTACTGATGAACCAAATGTGTTTGGTATGCTACCAACTCATAGGCGCAAACGGACTTTTAAACCAAACATCAAACAATTTTAGTAGAATTGAAGTGAACTAAGTTTTTACGTAAATTTAGTTTTTTTTACCAAACTTTAATTTAGTTTTTGATCTACTATCAATTTATAATTACAACTTACAGAGTTTCTCAATCATATGATCATATCTACTCGGACAAAGATCACTTTTTGGGCTTACTATATTATTTTGGGATCACTTTCAAAATCCTTTAAAACTTCCACGCACTCATTTGTCAATATGCCATACAAGTCTTGCAATTCTAGTAGAACCAAAATTACTTAAATCTTTTATTTTCTAGCTAAATGCCGTATTAAGCCAGAGAATCTAATCAGTTACAACTTACAAATTACAATTTGCAATCTAATCAGCTAACTTCACTCAAATAAAAGAAACTCATAAAAGGAAAGATAATACATTATGAAGACGAGCTGACATATATATAATTAAACAAAAATACTTGTGTGTATTCATCTAGTTTTCTTTTGTATTATGAATTTTGCATAATCTAAAAGAGAATAAAACTGATTGCCAAAAAAAAAGTAATGTTTTGATGAAGGTAAGTGCTATAATATTTCCCTAAAAATACATTTTCCAATACTTTTGTCGTTGTAAAAAATCAACTAAAACAATAATTGTATAAATCTATGTTGAAAAGAATTAGTTTTGATGAATAACTTTATATTACATTGTCTAAAAATATTTAAAGATTATATCAAACAAATATTGAAAAAAAGGACGTGAGAGAACAAGTGGGTTTGGTCGGTCGTTTCTTTACACTTTTGCAACATTCTCTATTCATTATCTTCCACGAGATGCTAAAATCCCCCCACTATATTATTCCTTTTTCTTATTTAAAATGTGAAAAAATCCTTAAAAATCATGAAACTTTCAGATATTCACGTATTATAATTTACTAAAGGAAAAATAAAACTATGTAGTTACTACTTACCATTGAGAATACGAAAACGAAAATCACAATCAGCGTTGGTCCAACGATCTTCCAACAAGCAAAAAGCATATGATTCTTTTTTTTCACCCTATATGATTCGATTTCATCATTTGTTCACCACCTCACGTTTGTTTCTTATTTCTCCTTCTCTTGTTTATTCAATATTATTTTTCATATGATTTGTATAGTTTTAATACTCTAGTTGTTGAGCATTGAAAAATAAATAAATATATTCTAGTTTTTAAAGGCTTTTAGTGTGCAACTGTTTCCAAAAGCTAAGTAGTAAGTACAACCTTTTTAAACAATTAAACAAAATCTCTGTAACCTTCACTAGGTTAGGATGAGTTTGTGAGGCAAAATTGTGGTAGGAATGTCGGATCGTGGGACCCAGAGAACATGAGATAACTCAAAGGCAAAGTCCAAAGAAATTACGTCACTGATAGTGGATTGTGTACGTGAGGTTGTACGAATTATTAAAAGTTTGACGGGGAAAAAAAATTAGGAAGAATTTGAGTATAATCCAAAAAATCACTAGATGTTCTATTGTTTTTTTTGTTAAAGCACTAGATGTTCTATTGTGATTTGGGTGGTCATTCTAAAATATTATATTGCTTATAATTGTGACTATTCCATGGTTGCGACTTCGCAAAACACTATTCGATACACATTCCAAGCCACCAATCCACATGTCACTTTATTCTTACTAAATATAATTTTGGTTATGGTTTGAATGTGTTTATTTAAAAATACAGTCACTAAATTTAATTTGATTTCATAGAATACAAACTTATTGCAAGAATCAGCTTCGGTGTCTCTAGCTAACGGAATCCGAGTAACAATAATATTAGACCATCGGCTATAGACATAGTACCGTTGATAGTAATTGATTTTAAGTTTGACTATCATCTTTACTAAAAAATAACGCCGCTGTTTCTGTTTTAGCATATATTCTGGATCTTAGCAGGATAAAGTTGCAGTCGAAAAAAAAAAAAAAGCAGGATAAAGTTGCCATAATCTACATGTTCTTATGTTTATAAACCTAAATATTATTCTATTATCTATGTTAAAAACATCCTATTACGTAAACTTTTAGTTTTATTTGTTTATTTAGTCTCGTCATAGTCAAAGACGATTAAATTCTGGACATTGCTAATAAAGTATTCAAAAATTCTGTTATCAACCAAATTTAGGAGGATATTAATCGGTTAATTATTCCTGGAAGAAATTTAAAACCCATAGTATTTTCCATGAAACTTATATGTTATAAGAAGTACAGTACATTATAAAGATTGAAAGATGAATTTGAATCAGTTTTTTTTTTTCTCAATATATAGCTCGACACAAACTATAGTTAATTTTTTTTTGTTTGTCTGTTCAACTTAATAAGATTCTGTGTTGAGCAAAAAAAAATGAAGTATAAGAAAAAAACAGAATAAATCGAGAGAGATATCTGTAGTAAGACAAGAATGTCCTCATCGATGAATTTCCAATAACAAAACTAGGTCTGGTCTCTAAAAATAGTCAAATGTCAAACAAATCTGACCGAATTAAATATTAATTACGTCAAAGTGATAAATCTGTACTGTATAATATAGAGATTTTATTGTCAACGTGATAAGTTTATCTTTTTTAGTTTTTTTACAAAAGGATCTCTTTGACAAAGCGAGAATATTTTAGTTAAAGCAAAAAGTAATAAAATCGGGAGACCTAAACGGTGTCGCTAAACTACGTGAGGGATATAAATAGAGCCACCAAATAGCCAACGTAGTTCACCTTCACTTGCTCTCTTTACTCCGAAGAATCTGGTTCGTTTCAATTTCCTTTTTCTCTGTCCTTCTTTATTATTTTCTCTTCTTTTTTTTTTGTTTTTATTTTATTTTTTTGTAGTATCTTCATCATCGTTACTTTATTTTGCTTAACTTTTCCGCAATTTTTTTTGTGAATAATTTTAACGATTTTTTTGTGTGTGTTTTTGGTTGTGTTGAAGGCAGAGGGAAACCATGGCGCCTGGTGGCTCCCTCGAGGATATTAAGAACGAGACTGTTGATTTGGTATGATTGTTATACACTGTTAAATTCTGTTTTTTTCTTATTAATTTCGTTGCGTTTGTTTAAGTTGTTTGGTGAATTTATGTTTTGAGTTTGATCATGTTTGAGTTTGATTATGTTTTTGCATAACGCTTCGATCATTAGGGTTCTACACATTCGGTTTTCATCTTGGGCTGTTCTCTTTTCACAGATTCGATCATTGATCTTTATTTTTCATGTTTTGTTCGAGATTTTCTGTTTTGATCGATTACAAAAATAAAAATCCATGAGAAGCTCATAATTATTTTTTGATAGATTTTGCAATTACAGTCTATACAGATGGCAGAATCACGGGAATTTAGTTACAAATATGTTAAGTAGTTACCAAATAAAGCAGTAGTATTATTAAGTAATACTCTTTGCTTTCACATTATTCTTTTTAGAGTTACCTAATTTGAGTATTCATAGAGAAGTTTTAGTCAATTGGTACGTTTTGGAATTTTTCATACACACGGGAAATCGCATTATCAACCGTTTAAACACTTTCCTAGATGAACCTAAATTCCAATCAGCACCTGATTTTCTGGGCTCGGTTAAAAGATCTCTATCTTATATTTACGGATTTGCCCTTAATATTATCTTCCGTTAAAATACTTGGGCCTTTATAATATAGACTCGGCCCTTTGCGGCGCGAATTAACGGATTAAAATATAATTCAGTTTTTGTTAAAAACTTTTGTACTTAATTTATTTCTGATTGTCTTGTTGGACAAAGAGAGATAGATATATGTATAAATAAACGATTTTCCGCAGTTTATACTTACAATATCTCCGGGAACAAGAATAGAAGCTTCTTTTCATCATTAATTAAGTATTTTTGATAAATTTATATGTAGTTTGTTTTGTTCTGATGGTTGACTGTGACTTGCTAGAAAAAAAACATATTTCTTGTTTTTTGCGTAACCGATTAAATAATACTCATTGAGAAAATATGGATCATGTCACGTGTTGCAGGAGAAAATCCCAATTGAAGAAGTGTTCCAGGAGTTGAAATGCAGCAGAGAAGGATTATCTGGAGCAGAAGGAGAAAACAGACTCCAGATCTTTGGCCCCAACAAACTCGAGGAGAAGAAGGTATATACATATATATATACTAACTAACTTATTATATAGTTTATATTGTTAAATGGACTAAGCAAGTGAGTCGAGTGACTAATCTACTTCTCCTTAAACAAAACAAAAAAAAAACAGGAAAGCAAGATACTTAAGTTCTTGGGTTTTATGTGGAACCCTCTCTCATGGGTCATGGAAGCAGCTGCGATCATGGCCATAGCGTTGGCTAACGGCGACGGAAGACCCCCCGGACTGGCAAGACTTTGTCGGAATCGTTTGTCTTTTGGTTATCAACTCAACAATCAGTTTCATCGAAGAAAACAACCGCCGGAACGCAGCTGCTGCTCTAATGGCTGGTCTTTGCTCCCAAAACAAAAGTTCTAAGAGATGGCAAATGGAGCGAGCAAGAAGCTTCAATCCTCGTTCCCGGAGATATCGTAAGCATAAAGCTCGGTGACATCATTCCCGCCGATGCACGTCTTCTCGAAGGAGACGCTTTAAAAGTCGACCAATCCGCTTTAACCGGAGAATCTCTCCCGGCGACAAAAGGTCCCGGAGAAGAAGTTTTCTCCGGTTCTACTTGCAAGCAAGGTGAGATTGAAGCTGTTGTAATCGCCACCGGAGTACATACCTTCTTCGGCAAGGCAGCTCATCTTGTGGACAGCACAAACCAAGTCGGACACTTTCAGAAAGTCCTTACAGCTATTGGAAACTTCTGCATATGTTCCATTGCGGTTGGTATTTTGATCGAGCTCTTGGTCATGTACCCGATTCAGAGGAGAAAATACAGAGACGGTATCGATAATCTTCTTGTGCTTTTGATTGGTGGTATCCCCATTGCGATGCCTACTGTGCTCTCTGTGACGATGGCTATTGGTTCACACAAGTTGTCTCAACAAGGAGCTATCACGAAAAGGATGACTGCCATTGAAGAGATGGCTGGTATGGATGTTCTGTGCAGTGATAAAACCGGGACTCTGACACTTAACAAGCTTAGTGTTGACAAGAATCTCATTGAGGTTTGTGCTAGAGGCGTTGAGAAAGACGAGGTTTTGCTTTTCGCTGCTAGAGCTTCGAGGGTAGAGAATCAAGATGCTATTGATGCTGCTATGGTTGGAATGCTTGCTGATCCTAAAGAGGTAATACAAGTTTCATATAACTCTGTTTTCCTCTGTTTTCCAAGAAAACCACCAACTTATTTTTTCTTGTCAATGTTTGTTTCAGGCAAGAGCTGGTATTAGAGAGATTCACTTCTTTCCATTCAATCCAGTCGACAAGAGAACTGCACTAACTTACATCGATGGTGACGGAAACTGGCATCGAGTAAGCAAAGGAGCTCCCGAGCAGGTAACTAAACCTTGTTCAAGTTTAAGTGATGTTTCTTCTTTGATTTAACCGATTCTTTTGGATGATGTTTTTCAGATTCTTGATCTCTGCAACGCAAGAGCTGATCTGAGGAAGAGAGTCCACACCGCAATTGAAAAGTACGCAGAGCGTGGACTCAGGTCATTAGCTGTTGCAAGACAGGTGAGAAAAACATCACATCTTGTTAATAAACTTTGAAAGATAAACAAAAGAAAAAATATATGATGTGAATTTTGCATTTTTCCTATGTGTTTCTGAATTCCATCAGACTGTATCTGAGAAAACAAAAGAAAGCTTGGGTGATCCATGGGAATTTGTTGGTGTGTTACCTTTGTTTGATCCTCCAAGACATGATAGTGCAGAAACCATTAGAAGAGCTCTAGACCTCGGTGTCAACGTCAAGATGATTACCGGTTTATTATCTTCACTTTTCTCTTTGATCATATATATCTGCAAAAAAGAAACACTTGGATTTCTTCTCTAATGTTGTGTTGGTTTTACAGGTGATCAGCTTGCTATTGCCAAAGAGACTGGACGTAGACTCGGGATGGGATCAAACATGTATCCATCTGCTTCTCTACTTGGTAATCACAAAGACGAGAACCTAGCTGCAATTCCTGTTGATGAGCTGATTGAGAAAGCTGATGGCTTTGCTGGAGTCTTCCCAGGTTGGTTTAAGAGTCTTCTTTTTTTTGGTCTGTTCATAAACTTGCTCTCTTTCTCGCTCTCTACAAGGCCACTTTTGTTTGGCAGAGCACAAGTACGAGATCGTGAAGAAGCTGCAAGAATTGAAGCATATTTGTGGAATGACTGGTGATGGTGTGAATGATGCTCCTGCTTTGAAGAAAGCTGATATTGGTATCGCTGTTGCTGATGCTACAGACGCTGCACGAGGCGCTTCTGATATTGTTCTCACTGAGCCTGGTCTCAGTGTTATCATCAGTGCCGTTTTAACCAGCCGTTGTATTTTCCAAAGAATGAAGAACTACACAGTGAGTGTTGCTCCTCCTATATAGCTCTTTTTTTATACAACCCTTTTCACTTGTTCTTATGTGTTCCTTTTTTTAATCTTCTCTTTTTGACAGATTTATGCAGTCTCAATCACCATTCGTATTGTGGTGAGTATTTAATCATTCTTGTATATATATATTCTTGAATCTTGAATAATCATGAAATGATCTTATGATTTGTCTCTGTACCTTTTTTACAGTTTGGGTTCATGTTCATTGCTCTAATATGGAAGTTCGACTTTTCTCCATTCATGGTTTTGATCATTGCTATCTTAAACGATGGTGAGTTTTTTTCTTTCTCTTCTCTCTTTTAAAAACTTGCTTTTTAAAAGAGAACACATAACTAACTTAACATTGATAATTACACAACAGGAACAATCATGACTATCTCAAAGGACAGAGTCGTGCCTTCTCCTACACCAGATAGCTGGAAACTCAAAGAAATCTTCGCAACAGGCATTGTCCTTGGAGGCTACATGGCTTTAATGACCGTAGTTTTCTTCTGGGCTGCTTACACAACCGACTTCTTCCCGGTATGTATACAAAAACATATATAAACAATCTCTTCTCTCCAATCACAAAAACATATGTATAACTCTGTTTTTCTTTTACTTTTTCTTTTTTCCTTAGAGAACTTTCCACGTGAGAGACTTGAGAGGCAGTGAACATGAAATGATGTCTGCTTTGTACTTGCAAGTCAGTATTGTGAGCCAAGCTCTTATCTTCGTCACTCGATCTAGAAGCTGGTCTTTTGTAGAACGACCTGGATGGTACTTGATGATCGCTTTCTGGTTAGCACAACTGGTAAAGCATAAAACACATGATTCTGTTTCTTCTTCTTCTTGAATCATCATATATTATAAAATTCTCTTGAATGTTTTCATAAACTTTTGGGTCTTTTTTAGGTTGCAACGGGTATTGCGGTTTTCGCAAATTGGGAATTTGCGAGAATCAAAGGAATAGGATTGGGATGGGCTGGACTTATCTGGCTTTACAGTTTTGTGTTTTACCTTCCATTAGACGTATTGAAATTCGCAACACGTTACATACTAGCTGGAACCGCTTGGAACAATCTCATTGACAACAAGGTACGTTTTTTTTGTTTTTCTGTCTTTCTTCTTCTCTAAAATGTGGTTTTACGACCAACAACATATTCTCTTCTTGTCTGAATTTGGAAAAAAAAAATCAAAAAAACAGACAGCGTTTACGACAAAGCAAAATTATGGGATAGAGGAGAGAGAGGCACAATGGGCTCACGCACAGAGGACTTTACACGGTCTTCAGAATACCGAAACTGGTAATGTTTTCCCAGAGAGAGGCGGCTACAGAGAACTGTCTGAGATCGCAGAGCAAGCCAAGAGACGAGCAGAGATTGCAAGGTAATGTTTGTAGATTTTGTTATTATCATTCACAAAAAAAAAAAAAAAAAAAAAAAACTGAGGTTTCTTGTGAGTCAAGTTAACTTTTGTGTGTTGTTTTTTTTTGTTGCTTTGAAGGCTTAGGGAGCTTCATACGCTTAAAGGACATGTAGAGTCAGTGGTGAAGCTAAAGGGACTTGACATTGAGACTGCTGGTCACTACACCGTTTAATAGAAGTTGGACTCAAGTTTTAACCAGAAGATGATTAAGGAAGAAAAAGAAGAAGATCGTTTGTTTAATAGATGACAATGATGATAATGATTTTATGAGAGGAGAGGGAATAAGTTTTTTTTTTTCTTTTTTCTAATGTTTGTGTTAAATTCCTCTTACACTTCGGGGTTTTTTTCTTCTTCTTCCTTGATTTTAGACTTAATTATTATAACTGTGTTTTCAGTTTGCTCTGTGTTGGAGACAAAAGATAAGTTATAATCCTAGGTTTATACAATTGGCTTTCATAAAGTTCTATACTCATGGTTATCATATAGATTCAGCGGCTGTTAATTATTTAAAATTCCAGATTTGACCAAATTTACTTTTAAAATGCTTAAATTTCCAAGATAATTTTTGAAAAATTACATTTAGATTCCATTCTTTTTGCTTTATGGAATCACTAAAGTATGAAGTATGAACTACACGTCTTTATACAAAAAGAATGGAATAACCGAATAAATATATGCCCCATATTTGCTTTGGTCCAAAAGCATATTGGGGTCCGGTTTGACGACGACCGGTTCGATTGTTAATTCAGACCGACTAGATACACATAACCGGATATCATAATCCGTGGATACATGTGTTCTTGACTAGGCCACTAGTTGAAAACCACGTGGCAGTCGCTTTATCACAAACCCAATTACCCAAAGCTAGAAAAGAAACCGAGAAGAAGAGAGAAAGATCTTTAGAACAGAGAAGAAGAGCTTAGAACAAATAACAGAGACAACACAAAAAATGTATTTCGCCGCCATAGCTTCTTCAAGTAAAAGCTTTTTCTTACCAAACTCTCACGGTTTCCGACACAGTTTCAAACCCAGATCCAATATCCACCTCGCTCGTCCCAACTCAATCTGTTGCAAATTTCCACACCACGAAGACGAAACTGATTCTTCCAAGTGATTTTTTGTTTTCATTTTTTAAAGAATTGTTTTTGTTCTAATTTCGAGTTTGCTCTTCTTATTCAGTTAATTTTTATTTCTTAGGAAAAATGAGAATCAGCTGGCGAAATTTGCAATCGCGACGCTAGCGGTTGGCGTTTTGGCTTTGGGATCCGTTGGGGATGCGTCTGCGGCTAAGAGCGGTGGGAGAATCGGCGGTCAAGCGTTTCGTTCTTCAGCTCCTCGGCCTCCTCCAAGAATTAACAACCGATCGAGGTAACATTGAATTTTTTTTTTTTTTAGCTTGAAGCTCTTATCACGATTTTAGTTTACTTATTCAAGATTTATATTTTGGTTACACAATCACAATCTTAAGCATAATAAATTTGTTTTTGACGTCGAAAATAAAATTGTGTTGTTTCTTTCGCCAAATACAAGAGGCTTAATTTATGGGCCTTGTAGGCGTCGTCATAGCACATTACTAAACTTTAAGGCCCGTGTATACTTAATAAATTTGAACCCTATGATTACAATTCGGATCCAAAACACCTAACGACCAACACTAATTACTTTAATACGTTGTCTATAGCCCTAGTTGTCTGTTTCCGTTTGTCGATATGGGTTAGTCTTACGTTTGATGTGTAGCTTTCCAAACAAACTCACAACCTTTTGCCTGATAGTCAGATTATTTGTTAATCATAAACAAAACCAAAAAGTAATCAAAATGTTATAGTATATCTTAGAAAATGAGTGAATTATGAATTTTCTTTTGAAATGTAAAAGCAAACACATGCACAAAAATTAGCGCTTCAGAAACTGACACTTTGGTTCGCTTATATCCTTAACACAATTTTCTCTTCACAGGACCAACATCTACGTGAATCCTCCGGTCGCACCACCTTTGATTGGTGGCTATGGATATGGCTACGGCGGTTATGGATGGTCACCGTTTTCCTATTTTGCCCCTGGACCTGCGGTGGCAGTTGGTGCCGGTGGTGGCTTCGACCTCCTCGTTCTCTTCATGTTTTTTGGAGCCGCTTCAGCCGTGGCTAGAAACTTTTTCCGATCAAGAAATGAAGAAGACGACGAAGATGACTATTAGGGGAAAGAATAAAAATAATTAAAGAGGCTTCTGTAATATGCTATTGTAACATAGTCAAGTATACGAATATATATGATCTTGTGTATAAAATTGTGATGGAAGAAGACGGTTTGTGAACTTGAGAGTATTAACTAACTAACTAAGACCTTAAAATTCATAGACTCAAATTGAAAAAACCTCAAAATTTTCATATTTAGCATATTTGCTCTGTGTTTTTTTTTTGTCTATACTCTATAATACTATAATTTCCATCCTTCTCGATATTCATCTCCATTGAGCTCCAAAAGCAAGTAAATTTTATTTTTTCTTTGATGCAAACAAATATAAAGAAAACGAAATACTTGATTGTTCATTTTATCAGTGTTAACTAAGAAACATAATTAGAGCTAAAACTGGAATCAGTAAATTTGGTAAACAAGATTAATAGTAATAAATCAGATACAAACAAAACAAAAAATCAAGAATAAGATGAAGAAGGCAAAAAGAAAAAAGAGTCAGTGAGGATAAACAAAAATCAAGAAGTTCGGTTAATACTAAGTCCTTGAAAGAGCCAATAAGGTCTCTTCTTCTCTCGATCCAGTGACGTTGTACTTGAGCTGCTCATAGGTGTGTTTGGTCCGCTACTTTCTTGGTTATTACTGTTATTATTGTTATTCTCATTATTATTGCTCTGATTATTACAATTTTCCGATGATGATCTAAACGACGTCGTCGAGGAGTAATCCATGTCTTTGTTCGTAGATGAAGAAGACATTCCAATGCTCAATGTCAATTCTAGTTCGCTCTCTTCGATACGATCCGTCGTCGTCTCTGTTGCTCTAACCACACTTTCGAGGTCTATGCCTGACCAGCTTCCGGTTCTCTCTCTTGAACCGGTTTGGTCTTTGTTGTCAATACTAGTACAATATTGGCTTCTATGTTTGAGTTGTTCCATCATCATTTTCTGTATATTATATACTCTATGCAGCTCTCGTACCTGCGATTATCACTTTGTTATATAGATATTTATCTCAACAATTTAAAGAATGATCTCGATAAACCAAATTGGTCCAATCCAACCCAAACCAAGCGGACAATTATATATATATATATATTAATATATAGATATGATATGGAATGGATATACTGAATTTTATATATACAGTAGTAGATTTACCTAGTTTGGTTATTTTAAAAAAAATCGAAAAATCTAAACCAAAACTGAACATGAAACCGTATTGAAATACCAATCCATATGTATGCAACATATATTTATGCATGTGTATAAATATGTTTAAGTATAACGTACCTGTTGCTTGAAAATATCTTCTTGGGCTTGCATTGTATGTCTGATGGATTCAGCATTTTGCTTTTCAAGAAACCTATCCATTGACCTTATAACAAAAACTCCTTCTTCCTCCTCTTTGTCGTCTGTCGTCAACGTCTCTTTTGAAGATCTTCGTTGACCATTAACACCAAATCTGATGAATCCACTACGATCAACACTCTTTAAGCCAAGTGAGTTTGTCGTAATTCGCTCAACGATCTTTGTTCCCATGCCTGAAACGTAGAGTCACGCACTTCATAACCATTTGATGATTCATAAAATACAAAAGAACCCTAATTTCACTTAAATTGCATATGTGAGTGTGTGTGTGTGTGTGTGTGTTTGTATACATGTGATTATGATGTTGATGGAGTAATCGTCAGAAGCCACTAGTTCTTGAAGTGAAGGGTTAATAGACAAAAGAAGGTTGACTAGTGGGACACGCTTTTGAGTTTGATTAGATTCTCTCATGTTCTTTTGTCTCAAAGCCAAGTATTTTTAAATACCGAATCAAAATGTCTTCCTGATCACCAAATCAATGGATAGAACAAGTAGACCACAAATTATTGGGGTTATATTTAAAAATAAATTGTTAGAAATCATAGATTTAGAAGATTTACTTTTTATAAATTGAAAATGACTAAGCTAATTTTTTGACAAAAAAGCAAGCTAATTTTTTTTTTTTTTGCTTATCCAATTGAGTTTTGTCTGTTTGCTACTTTCTAGTCATTTCAAAGAAAAATAGTTATAATTCATACGTTATTTCAGATATAATATTAAAAAAAGCATTGAACAAATAATACAATTAAACCCACCATGACAACATTAAACACGACTTGTCCCACCAGTAGGATAACGTTAGAAAACCTTATTCAAAAAATAAAATTGATTTAATTACTTTCATAACTAATGCAAAATATCTTAATTATCATTTGTTTTATAGTACTATATATATTAATTATCCATGAAAAAGCATCGAAATGAAAAAAACAATTTAGCTTATTGTGGTAATTGGTAAACGATTTGAAAATAATACTCTGTTATATAATTGGTGAAGTGATTGATGCGAACTAGTAGTACAACAACAATATCATTTTCACTACTAAATTTTAAAATAGAATGATTCGAGTCATAAAATTGCAATAAATAGAAAATATGTGGTGAAAGGTTGTTGGCAAAGGACGGAGGAAAAAAATGGAGAGCAAGTTGTTTATTTTTTTTTTTGTTTTTCATTTTGGATAAGCATGGAATATGAGAATGATTAAGATAAAATAGATAGAGACATGGGAAAAAAAGCAACAATAAACACTAGTCGACCAGTCGATTTAAAATCAATAAAACAGGAATTCTAACTATTTAGTGTAACTTGATGATCATGCGAATATCACCTAAGTTTTTTTTGCCATTATTAAAATAAATAAATGTGAATTTATATACGTAAAATTGGTCACATCGTTCATTATGTTCTTGCATTCATGCGAAGAGGACTGTATCACCTAAGTTTCCACTTATACATGTTTCCTTCAATGTTTTTAAAAGTTGTCTACACACAAATCATATCAATAAATAAATATCTATGACTCATGTAGTCATGTACTCACATATATACACACGCGCGCTAGGACACAAAAGACATGAAAGGATCACGTCTATGCATCTATATTTGTAGAGAACCAAATTAGATACCCAATAGGATAAGACAAGGACAATAAATTGGATAATAAAATATCTATTTCGCTATCAAAACTTGATTATTTACTATGTCACCGAGGTGTTGAAATTTAAACCAGCTTAAAAAGCAAATGTGTTGACTCTTTTTTCCACACACACACACACACATATATATATATATATATACAGACACATACACACACACTCCCACATATATACATATATACGCGTATAATACATGATGTGCATAGAAAGTATCACTAGTATACAGACGCTGATCCATGGACATATATAACTATATAAGTACACACACATATGCATGTATATGAACGCCCCTTTCTATAGATAGTACGCTCCTTCATCAATCAGTAAAATACGCACATAAATGAATATATTTTTGTTTTGTTAAAGAACAGAAAGAATATATATATATATATATATGGATTATATAAAATCTATAAAATTACCTGAAAAGAAGAGTGGCCAAGCTCTGATTCTCTCCAAAGAAGGTCATTGATCACATGTTCCAAGCTCATGCCACAAAACTCACCAAGAGAAGCCCTTCAAGACGCACACTTACCTTAGTACCTTACTATATGCGTCACCAATTTGCTCCGAAGCATAACACAATAAATAATCCAAAATCTCAGATATCACTTTAGAATTTTGCCAACAATCAATATAGGACTAAAGCAGTGTGGAAGGAGAACTAGAGATATAGAGGAAAGATAGGAAAGAGCGAGAGAGAGAGGGATAATGGGAATTCACAGGTAAGGAAATGCTTAATTTAAATAAGAATTAATATACAAATAATATATAGTGATGGAAGTTAAATAGTTTTAAAGGCTAATTTTGACAGGCTGTGATATTTGTGAAGGGAAGGAGGCCAGGAAAAAGCTGAAGGTTTGTCCATCTAATTCTCCTCTCTCTAACAGACAGACAAAACAGTAACTCCTTTTAATATAAATATTATGGATTTACTAGCTATACAGTATATTTATCTCTTACTTGAGAGTCCACCATCCTCTGAGAAGATCTTCTGTTAATTTAAATGCCACAAAATAAAATAGTGAAAGAAAAGTTTTTACTATGTTATAGTTTTATCTCAAAATATGAAGTCCAATAATTTACATATATTGCGTATTATTGATAAAATATAGAATCCTAAGTCTTTGAAAGTAGATTCTGAATATTATGTGTAGATAAGTTTCTTATAAGCAGGGGTATGCAATAATTGGTTGTGTCGATATAATATATATAACACTGATCAGAAGATCAAGAGGATTTGGACAAATGATGAAGCCCAAAAAATTGATTTCTTTAGCCAATATATTCCAGACAAGCCCTCACTGGACATGATCAAGATATGCATGTAACCATATAAACTAAAATAAACAATTAAAATATTATAATAACAACCAATTGAAGACAAAGCTTCTATCTTTTTTCTGCAACAATACAATGTCGTTTTGTTTTCTGTATTATGTCTAGAAATTCAGATGATTCCTTTTTCTATATATTCTTTTAGGGTCCCTTTTCTTATATCAATACAAATAAAAACGTATATATTCTCCACCATCATCATCCGTACTGGGTATTATCCAACCATACCCAAAAAATCCCATGATTATCATTTTTTATCTGACACCATGCAAGTTTAATGAGATAGATCCTCTTATAGTATATCACTTGTTAGATTTTTTACAAATGAAATAATAACTTTTCCATTTTCTTTTACCTGTCTTGAGTTTTTTTTTTTATAAAAAAAAACTAGCTTACGTAATGAATACTTTTTTAAACATTAGTGAATACTTTCTTACAAAACAAAAGAAGAAGAATATTATCTTGTATATATTTCATGGAAATAAAATTATATGGTTGATGTTTTCGGAGCTTCTATCAAACTTAGATTCATATAACTTTGTCGCGGTCATTACTCCAGTGACTAAATGCATATAGGCTGAAGTTGAACGACCTAACTTCCTAATGAAATTCATAACGAAAACGCATATAGTTTTTATTTCAGTTAAGACAATTTAAAGTCTGATGACGTTATTAAAATTTAAATTGGTGACAGACTGACAGATAACACCGATCACGTTTAGGGTGGTGAAATTTTTTCTGAAAGAGTCTATATATAATAATGTAACTATATTATTTCTTGGAGATGATTGGGAAAAATTATGACCGATCGATAACCTATGAACTCCTAGATTATCAAATAATGATGATCTAAACTAATTATAGATTGAGTTTATGTAAACTTATGTAAAATGATTATTGCTTTTGTTTTAAAATCCATGGCCAATGACAAATGAGGGATCATAATTAACAAACCCTAGAAATAGAAAATTAAGTTTCATCATAAGATTCCAAGTTAAACAACCCCTTAAAGGAATTTTTTTTGTCAGCACATGATTTTAGTGGCATTTAAAGTTTAGTATAATTAAATATTTTTTATTTGGCTTGTCTTCTACTTGTTTCGTTTTCTTCTCTCAAAGAAATCTCGTCCTAACATGGGGATTCGCAAACGCACCGACTGATTGAAATAATATTTGAATTAAAATAGTTAACATATCATAATATTAATGATTATTACTTCATTATTTTATTGATAACTTAGCTATATATAATTGTATTTGACTTATCAATAATGTTGTTATCTTATAATTTTTATATACATGTGTGTATAATTAACCAGTGTAAAGTGTATATACATAAAAAGCTATCTTGATTAAAAGCTCTTCTAACTATAGAATATGGCATATAAATTTATCATAAACTACCAAAGACTTTGAAACAAAACAATAATTTATCAACGCGTTTAATTTTGTCTCAAGTTCATCAATTTGTAACGATGCTAAAATGTTTTCTGCTGATTTTCTAGTCGATAACAATCGGATAAGTGAGATTTTAAATACTATATTATATTTTATTTGGAGTTCATAGATCTAACCAATCTTTCAAGTTTCAACTAAGTGCCGGTGCATTAAGAAACACATCTCATCGTGGTTTGCTATTACCATCCTTGAATCCAGATCCCAAAATGATTACTGTATTTCAGTATTAAAAAATCAACAATTTTAAAAACCATATTGATGTGCGGTTATTATTTAATTCCAGGATTTTGTAATAGAAAAATCAAATGATTCCATCCGCAGATGCATGCGTATGTTATTAAATATTTTAATTGTAATAAACGAATTAATGTGATTGTAGAGAAAAAGAGCTGGCTGGATGAGGCGGAGCCGCGGAGCCATGTGAGAAGAGAAGCAGGGAGGAAACTCGAAGGATTTTTATATAAAGTAAAATAAAAATAATTAATTATATTATATTCTAAACCCAAACCAAACATGATATCAAGTACAATACTTAACAGTAACTAGAGACACGATAATTGCTTTAATTGGCTTAAATAAAATCAGATTTGTTTAGAGTTCCAAAGTTTGAATCTGCAGGTCAACATCTATATTTCGACTAGTACATCACATGAATTATTGTCTGTTGATTCTGTATATATATAGACCAATACTTAAAATGTAACATAAGTTTAAGATAAATGTATTGAATTATTACTTTTTAGTTTTTACCTCCTTTTTGTTTCTTTTTAAATAACTCCTTTTAGCTTCACCTTACAACTTGATTGTATTGCGTGAAATTAATGAGAAAAAAAATTAAGAAATAATCAAATTATATATGTCTGCCGCACAGAGCAGCAGACGAATAAAAATAAAGATGGGTGCTAATTTATTAATAACATTTTGTTGTCGTAACATAAATAACATTTTGTAGTGTTGTTATACCTAAACTCCTAACAAAAAAATTAACAATTAAACGAAAATCAAACATATAAATTATTTAAATATTTTAATCTGAAATAACACACAGAAATATACGTTGATTAATGAAATACTCGCTTTAAATTTTGAAAGTCAACTTTTGTTATAATTAAGCTCCTTACTAAAACCCTATTCGTTCCTAGTATGATTTTTTTAGGGGGAAATCTAGTTCACAAAACTTAGATCCAAAATTAAATTGTGAAAAGAAGGGGGCGATTTGGTCATAATGATTTGATGTGAATAATGTAAAGAGAAATAATAATAAGAGGACTTAAAGTGAAGTGACGGCATGTGGAAGCAAAGAGAGAGTTAATAGATTTGAGGATTAATTTTAATAATACAAAGAGTTAGCACGCGTTGTAGCCTTTCTAACATACAATATGGGTCCTACTGCTAACCCCACTACACTGACTATACTACACACATCCCACATATTTATTAGGTTTATTACTATATAGATTACTTTATTATATCATCATAATTCATAACTGTGTTACATGTAGACACAAATTTGCGTTTATATACATAATAATACACTCTGTTTAATTTAATATGTGTTTTTTCTTAACATCAAACTTTCTTCCTTATTTCCTCTTAACTTTAACTGCATGTTTTCTGTATGAAATGAATATTTTTTGCATCAAGCGTATTTTGATCATCATTTAATATATTTGTATAAATATGGATAAAAAGTTGTAGTAGTATTAATATATAATATATATAAATATAAAAGCCATCCGACCAAAGATCAGTGTTAAAAGGAGAAGAGGACCGAAAGTTGTCATATTCACTGAAGTTAGAAAAGCTAAATATTTTCAATAATAAATATTCCATCGGTTCAGAATTATACGATGTTTAAGGTTTTTGCACACAGTTTAAAGATTTATTTAATTTTTATTTTTTCTATACTAAAAATATTATTTATAATTCATTTAAATATCATTCAGCCAATAATAAGACAATCTGCAGAATATAAAAGGTTAAAAACTATAAAAATTCATTAAATTTTGTATTGAAAATTGAGAACATCAAATAATTCTGAACAAAAAAAATCTTCTAAAACATCAAATAATTTTGAATAGAGGGAGTATTAATAAAAAGGGATAATCAATAAATAATATATTTCCTAATAAAAAAAATACTGTAAAATTTCTTGATGGAAAATAGATAAATACTAGTATCATTTCAGTTAATTACGACATCATTAAGGATTTCTCAAGCGGGTCCTAAAGACACGTGTCGGATACCTGGACAATAAAAGTGGGCCTTCGTCATGTGTGTTATATCTCTTCAAGTGTAATTTTCCCTCTTGTCACTCAGCTATTAGACTAGCTTTATCTTCACTAGATACTTTCTGCTTTTGGAGATGGACATATAGTTCAGTTGAAAACGAAACTGAAATAACAATTTAGGAAAACTTAAGATTTAGTGATATCTCGTAATATTATGGAGTGATCCATTTTTTTAAAAAGAATAAATAACGATTGATGATAGTTAACTCAAACGAATCCGCATTTATGTAATTTTCTTGACAAAAAGTTAGTAATAAAATGTATTTATTTATATAAAGTCAGCATTTTCTGGTATTCTGTGCATTTATTATTACGATTACGTTGCCTACTAATCTAAACCTTAGTTTTATCGCAGTTTAAACTTTAGACAAATGAACCCGAATTGGAGATTACATTATATCTAATATATATGAGTACAATGTGTACTAAGGATATAATTTTAATACTTCCTCCGTTTCACAAAGAGTGTCGTTTTAAGATTTTATTTTTGTTTCACAAAAAATGTCGTTTTATATTTTTAATGCAAAATTTTAAACAATATTCCAGTTTTAACCCTATTAATTTAATATATTTATTAGATAAAACAAATTATTTAATGTATTAATAAGGGACAAAATTGTACTTTTAATAATTTTATTAATATGTGTGAAAAATGTCAGATGACACTCTTTGTGAAACGGATGGAGTATTATTTATATAATTTTATAATCGTAGTTACAGAGAACCAATTAACGACCAGCTTAGTTCCCACATACAATGAATCGGATTCAGAATATATGATTTAGACTAACTACAATTGAGATATTAAAACAATATTTAACTGCTAAATGGTTTTAATAGATCTTTACAAGAATGTTGAATCCAAGTTAAATTGAATTATATTAAAATGTTGAACCTTACAATGAAGGATAGAAAGATAGTGCCATATGCTGCTTTCATTAGTTGTGTTGATATTTTTTCATGCTACCACAAAACAACGGAGAGCAAGGAACAAGATCTTGGGTCTGCTCAACCATTTGGGAGAGTGGATTGATACTGAGGAAGGCATTAAAGAATTGGCCGTGCAGTATTTCGAAGGCCTTTTTACTTCTTCGTGCCCTCAAGATCCAACCTCGGTACTCCACGGGGTTTCGGCATCGGTTACTGAAGCGATGAATGAAAGTCTTACCCGTGAGATCTCGGAAGAGGAAGTTCGACGAGCTTTATTCTCCCTAAACCCCGGAAAAGCTCCAGGACCCGACGGGTTAACAGCACTGTTTTATCGGAAATTTTGGGGTACAATTAAGATGGATCTCCTCCAGACGATTAGAGATTTCTTTTCTTCGGGGACGTTTGACGCACAACTAAATGAGACAAACATTTGTCTGATCCCGAAAGGAGATAAGCCACGTGAGATGACTGGCTTCCGACCCATAAGCTTGTGCAACGTTAGCTACAAGATCATCTCTAAGATTCTCAGCTTTAGGCTGAAAAAGTTCCTTCCAGATCTTATTTCTGAGACCCAATCAGCTTTTGTAGCGGGAAGATTGATCACGGATAACATCCTTATTGCACAAGAGAATTTCAATGCCCTCCGTTCTAACCCTGCTTGCCGGAAGAAATTCATGGCAGTAAAAACGGACATGAGTAAAGCATATGACAGAGTGGAGTGGTCGTTCCTCCGTGCCTTGATGGGAAAGATGGGATTTGCTCCCCGCTGGATTGAATGGGTGATGTATTGTATCTCGTCAGTATCCTACAATATCCTCCTAAACGGGAAACCGAGAGGATGTATTAAACCATCTCGAGGAATCAGACAAGGCGACCCCATATCACCGTATCTTTTCATCTTGTGTACCGAAGCCTTAGTCTCTCAACTCCGTTTAGCCGAAGCACAAGAGAAACTACAAGGCCTCCGGATCGCTAGGGCTAGTCCCACCACATCTCACCTTTTATTTGCAGACGATAGTCTCTTCTTCTGTAAGGCTGAACCCGTACAAAGTCGTGAACTTATTGGCATTATCCGCTCCTACGGCGAGGCTTCAGGGCAAAAGATTAATTTTACGAAATCATCTATTATGTTTGGCAACGATGTTCCAACTATCACCCGTCAAGAAGTCAATACCACTATTGGGATCTACCAAGAAAGAGGCATGGGCACATACCTTGGGCTCCCAGAGAAACTCCACGGTTCCAAAGCACAAGTTTTTGCTTTTGTTCGGGACAGGCTCCAAAACCGGGTTAATTCATGGTCCTCAAAACTCCTGTCTAAAGGGGGCAAAGAAATCTTGATTAAATCCCAAGCTCAAGCGATTCCGACATATGTTATGTCGTGTTTTCTTCTCCCGAAAGCTATTTGCTCCAAACTTAGAAGTGCAATTGCCAATTTTTGGTGGAGCTCCAAGGAGGAAAGCAGAGGTATCCATTGGGTATCTTGGGACTCCCTTTGCACCCATCTCGCAGAGGGAGGTCTCGGGTTCAGGACTTTTGAAGAATTCAACCTCGCTCTCCTAGCGAAACAGTTGTGGCGCCTCTTTCGGTTCTCCGACTCCCTTCTGAACCAGGTCTTAAAAGGAAGATACTACAAATACTGTAGTCCCCTAGAGATTACTGTCTCCAACCGTCCGTCATACGGATGGCGAAGCATCTTAGCTGCTAAACCCCTTCTAGCTTTGGGCCTTCGTAAGAACATTGGATCGGGGTTTGAAACGTTGGTGTGGTCAGATCCGTGGATCCCAGACGACCCGCCCCGACCTCCTGTAGGACTACATGTTGAACGAGATCCTCTTCTATTCGTCAACTCCTTGATTGATTTTGAATCAAAACAATGGAAATCAGCCCGACTTCGGGAGCTTTTCCCGCCCGAGGAGATAGCCCTTATCCTAGGGATTCGTCCGAGTCAAAATGTCTCGAGAGATGGATACAGCTGGTCCCTCACTAAATCCGGTAATTATACGGTAAAATCAGGCTATTGGATTGCGAGATCCCTATCTCGTCTTGCTTGTGACCCCCTCTTCAGGGACCTAGTACTACGATACTGTCGGCGCAAGCTTGGAAGTTAAAAACTACGCGAAAAATTAAACATTTCGTGTGGCAATGTATTACGGGTTGTCTGGCGACATGCCAACGTCTAGCTTCCCGCCATATTGGAAGGGATAAAAGATGTCCCCGGTGCGGTGCAGAGAAAGAGTCTATTAACCATGTTATTTTTGAATGCCCACCATCGAAGCAAGTATGGGCACTCTCACCTATCCCTTCGGCACCAAGCATTTTCCCCCAAGCTTCTATCTTTGGTAATCTTGACTACCTGTTTTGGAGAGCTAAGGAATTTGGAACATCTGAAGAAAATCTACGTATCTTCCCTTGAATTATGTGGTTCTTATGGAAGTCAAGGAACAAAAAAGTCTTCGGACAACATAGATGATCTTCCCCCAGATATTCTGGAGCATGCAATACATGAGGAGGAAACTTGGAGGAATGCTAACGAGGAGGACTATACCTTAGAGGTGACAGGAGTTAGACGAGAGCTTGGAAGTGCGTCTTTGACGTCCATCACGACCTGTTACTTTGATGGCGCTTGGCACGATTCAGATCCTCTCAGTGGCCACGGTTGGCTGGTATCGTTGGGAGACAGAATACTCCGAGTTGGACTTAGAAGCTCGTCGTGTAGTCTATCGCCCCTCCATGCCGAGCTAGACTCTCTTCTTTGGGCTATGAAGTGCATTCTCTCGGCCAACATCCAATGTGAAACTTTTGCGACGGATTGCCTTGACCTCCTAGCTATGACGGATTCCCCAACTGAGTGGCCTACATTTGCAGCTGAACTTGGGGATTTCAAAGCTATGTTTTCCCAATTTAGATCCTTTAAATTAGTTTATATTCCTCGTCTTTGTAACGTCCGTGCGGATAAACTTGCCAAGAGTGCAAGAACACGAGGTTTAAGATTTTCCCATGTAAACTTTTCAGTTCCGGTCTGGCTTTCTCTTGAGGAGAGTCTTTTATTGCAAACTTAATAATATGAGGGTTTTTGTTGAAAAAAAAAAATTATCTGTAGTCAATTATTTTAAAATAAATAAATTAATTTTGTTTACACCAAATTTATTATTTTTATACTATCTATGTACAAACTTATTTTATTTGATTTAGACACAAAAAATACTTTTTATTAAAAATTATTTTTGATCACAAAAACAAAAACATACAAGAAAATAAGAATATGAAATTAAACCACAACTACTGTAAAATGAAAAAATTGAATTAGTGTTGAATTATTAGCTGAAAGATTAAAAAATGATGTATTTAAAAAAAAATTAGAAAGTTGAATTGAAAAACAGTTTTTAAATAGTACCAATGAAAATCATTAACGACAAAACACCATTAACTATTTTAATGCAAAAGTTAGGGAATCTCTTGATGCTCGAGCCAGATGTAATCTTGTGCGGATCCAAAAAAAATGCCTTTTACTAATATTATTTTTTTGTGCTGAATTTTCGTTTTCACAGAACAGTATCTTTGTTAGTATTTTAAGTATCCCACGTTGGTCTATGACTCTATAATCGTCCGGTTTTATCTTGTACTTGATATCGAGTTACTTTTAATAATTGATGTGCATATCGGAAAGTTAACTTTTTATTTATAAGATATTATTATAACTTTTAATGCTAATTTTCAAGTTAATGCTTATTTGATGTCATTTAGACAAAGTGGATGAATCAACTCAAGACAGAGACGTCAATTATAACTAATACACCATATCCTATTAGAGAATCCGAAATATTAAGATCCCGATTAGATTTTGGTACTGAAAAGACTAGTACATAATTGGATTAAAAGATCATTTTATTTGATAACTTTTTTTCTTCTTCCACATATCTTTGGACCTGACCGGGCAAAGGCTAGACACAAGCATACTGATTGGTCTACCTATACTATTTCGTAAATTATTAAATAAGTGACATTTTTTTTAAGAGTGGAAATAATCCGGTGCTAGTTTCTTGTCTTGATCCGCAAATAGTTAGGTCTGTGATCACAAAGGAGAACTAAGAAGTACCATTTTTTTTTTTATTCCATCTCAATTTATTTTTGTAGTATAATCCGATGCTTATCTTCACGCCTTTCTTCACTCGTTTCTCTTCATAGTACTGTACAAACAAATATAATTTTCTTTTTTTATCAACACCAAGATTTTGTAAATTCATTATAAAAGGAAAAAAAATCAGGATACCACAAAATGAAAATATTTCTCTTAAGATATGACAGAATCTATAAACTAAAAGGAGTAACTACTATTATGTTTACCAATATAAAAACTAAAGATTTGTATGTTTTGAAATTTGAAACACGCAAAAGTGTTCTGAAGAAATCGAAGTGGTAAAGAGTAAACTGAAATTACCTGCAATTAACTAAGAGAGAGAGAGGAGAAAGAAGGATGATTTTTTTGGAAGTATGAAAGATTCACTGGAGGACTTTTTTGGGGTCAAGCTGTCCACTGGAGTAGCTAGAAGGAACCGCAGAGAGCTCGAGTCTTCCTTTCCATTCTTCTCCGGGCTTCAATGTGATTGGTCTTTCGATAGCTGCAGCTTCAACACAAAGCATTTGCTTATAGTCTTCATCTCCCAAGTCAGAGATCGACTTTGATTTCTTATCCCAAGGATTCCACACCACTGAAAGATGATTACCACATCAAATGATATCAGTTCTGCGTTGTGATAGTATAAAAACCTGGATTCTGATAAAGACTGGGTTTTGGGGTTTACCAGCATCAGCAAGCCCGTCCTTGCGAACAACGAAAGTCCTCTTTTTCTCGTGGTCCAGAATAGCAATCTTTGTAGGAGTGCTTAGGTAGATTTTGTCAATCTGTTTTTTGAACATGTAACAGGTTTGTTTTTTTTTAGTGATGATACGAGGCATAGATATATTTCAGAAAGAAAGGAGAATATTGGAATCGCAAACTTACTTCAGATTCAAAAGTTATAGCATCGCCTTGTTCGGTAAAACGTTCTCTGTTCTTTAAGTTGTCTAGATAATCCAGCGTCTCCAATCCTTCAACCCGTACTTCACTGAACACAAGTAAACCGATGCATATCAGTATTTCTATTCTAGAGATTCCCGGAAAGATAGATGAGTTTAGTACAACATAAACTCTATACTTTGGGAAAATGAAAACTAAAAACAATGGAGATCCGTGGCCTTCAAATATGACCAGTAAAATCGCACCAAGTCGGCATTAAAATACATGAATGCAGTGAGAGTTACCTGATGTCCGAGACAGAGAAATAGGTGTGGTAAGCAAATGTGAATGTAAATTGCTTTCCATCAGAGTTGGTGTTCCTGATACGAGATGTCAGTGTCAATTCTCCTTCAGATCCCAAAGCTACCCTCAGCCTGAACTCAAAACTGAAATGGATACACCGAGATGAAAGTTATGAACGTTCTTCAGCTCTTCGTTGTGAAAGTTCATGAAGAAAAAAGACCCAAGAATCTATGTAGTCATGTATAGCTTAATGCGTGCATACTGTTTTAAGAAAATATAGAAAGCGAGTTCTGAAGAATCTTACTTGTGAGGCCATGTCTTCAGATCGTCTTCAGTTGGCCTTAGGATCAGGTCAACGAAGCCATTAGAAGAAGAATTCGATGGCAAAGGAGGTGGATTAGCATCAACTTCCCATATCCTGTTTCTAGCGAATCCATGTGATTCGAGTGTACCAAGGTTACTGAACTGCACGTACAGAAACACAATTTCATGAGCATATTGAATAGTAAAATGGAACAAACAGAGGAAGAGATATAAACACATACTTGTGGAAAGCATAGTGGAATCCCTCCACGGATTGGTTTTGGAGGCTTGAATATAGCCTGCACAATTCATAGCACATGGTTTCAGATCTCCAATGCTTGGAGCTCATATACACACGTAACCGGACAGAACAAACTACTCTAGCATGAGTAAAATACTAGACTTCAAAATCAAATGTGCTCTATTCTTTCACATGCTTCTTTAGAACATTATGCTAAGCACGAAGTGAAGATCCTATATTTTAAAGTAAGGATCAATGTAAAGAATGAAATTTTGGCAAAGATTTCCCAAATCTTTCACCATATTCCTTGAGCCAATCATTTTAAATATGAAGAAAAATACTCTGTTGCATTATGGAGACACAAACAACCAGAGAAACAACATGAAATACCGTTAGCATCCGATTCCGACTTCTTTAAAGCACCATTTTAATTTCTTCATAAATCCAAGTTAAAAGGGACAGTATCTTGAGCTCTTTTTATATTTCTAATGGAGTTTGAAACAATTTTTTTCTTTTCATGAACCAAATGTCACATTTCGTCAACACGAAACTCAAACTTAAATCACGTAGAAGATGGTATAGATCTGCAGTACCTTGCTACTGAGGTAAAGTAACTCCTCTCCGTTCTCATTCTTCCAAGAAGTCACATGACCGCCATACAAGTACACCTGCATTTGTTCAAGATCAAAGTTATAATACAGAACAAACATTCAAACAAAGATGGAGATCAGTAACTAAATTTGCAGACAGCTTACTCTGTTTGATAATTACTGAATTTAAAAATTAAATCAACGGATCATCGCTCATGATTTCTCGATTCTCTATCTTACCCAAAAGATGCATAGATTACACTTACATTTGCACATTCCTCAACGAAGATTGAGCAGTAATAGACGCACAGATCCGGTTCTTCCGTAAGCAAATGCATAAAACAATATACAGTACACAATCACTACAGCTAAAAACCCAATGATCTAAGAGATTCACAATCGCAATCAAACGAGAACAGAGATCTAAGAACTGAACAAAAGATCTAAATCTCAGATCAATCTCGGCGGAGAAAGAGCAAGTACACAATGGAGTGAAAAAAGGAGATGAAAGCAGCGGCGTGGCGGGAGAATACCTCGGCGGAGCGGCCGCGAGACTCGCGGAGGACGATTTTGTCGAGCCCATTGATGCCTTTAGCGAGCTCAAAGGAAGGACGCTCCGTCGCCATGGAAAGTACAGAAACTATCAGAATCAATAAGAAGATCGAAATCCAGGAATTCTCCGTCGTTTCTGCTCTTCTTCTTCTTCTCTCACTCCCTTTTTCGTCGCTTCTTCACGCTAAAGGGGAAAAAAGGTAGCTGCCACACTTTTTGCCGTTTTTGTTTGAACCGTCTCTCTCCTATGGCTGCATAATGTTTTCTTTTAATTATATTTATTTTGTTTAAGATTTTCCTCCGTTTTACTTTCGTTATAAAATTAAGCAGATAGATTTAAAAGAAAGAGAATTTTAAACATGGATTAATGAAGATTAGTAGATTACTGAAGATAGATTTAATTTACATTGTTTCTTCAATAACATAAAGCAACAGAGAAAAGTCAAGCCCAGGACCCAAAAAAAGAATCTCACAGCCACACATATCAGTGAGATAATAAAACAAAAAAGAAATACAAAAAAAAGTCCTAAGAATCAAAGTTTAGATAATTTGAGTTATGTATATATATAAAAAATGTAGAGAATATACGATTTTTAAAAAACTATATATATCTGATTATTTGTAAGCAGCTCATAAGATGCAGATGATACATGTATGATGCTCTCTTTGTGTTTTCTTGAACTGCAAAAACAGAGGAAGACAGATTAATACTCTTTTTTTTTGGATGAATAGATTAATACATTAAAACTATACTCAACTGGATTTCTTGAAGTATCAATACATAAACATTGCATCGAAACATGACCAAGAATCTGAGTTAACAATTGCACAGAAACGAGATTAAAAACCTGGGAAAAAGGATCAACTTACAGGTTTTGGGTTGAGATGATGATGATGATGAAGAAGAAGAGTGAGTTCTTGAGGGAAGAGTGTTCAGAATAAATGAACAGCCATTTTAAGCTTGTTTTGTTTCCACTTAGGAAGTTTATAGAATTCATTCTTTGTCATCTCAAATTTCTCCTTGAATTCTGCTGAAGTCATGTATGCCTGGAAAGAGAAGGTGTTTTCATTAAATACAAACCCAATAAACGAATGTTATATAAACCCTATACTATATGTTAAGTGTTTGAAGAGTCTGACCTCTCTTCTAGTGAGGTCGATATCTGAAACAGGATCCTCTGAGTCAGTTTTAAGGCGTTCGTATGGGAAAGTAGGGAGGCTGCTTTCTTGTTCTGCTTCTTCTTCTTCTTTTGAATCTTCATGAATTCTACTCATTGATTCTTCCCCTGTCGTCTCTGTTGTTGGATTTGGTGCCCCCGCTTCGTTTGTAGCTTCATACATCAAAAAGATCAAAGAAGGGTAAGCTCAAGATCTTGACTTTTCTCATCAAATCGATAGTTTGGAGGTGTTCAAATGTTTTAAGTCTTTTTTTGCTGCATACCTTCAGATAAACCGGGGCTAGTTGGTGGTTCTTGAGGAGTAGGTCGAGATCGTTCGAAAAGCGCTGTGCGGGCTGCAATAGCTGCAGATTTGGGAGCAAGCTTTGTGAGGTCTGGTGCAAGAGATTTCGGGTAAAGCTTCCGGACCATTGGGCTAACCATAGGTGGTGGAGTTGATTGGTTTCTTGTGTTTATCTTCTCAAAGTTTGCAGCAAGTGCGTTGAAAGCTGGAGACCGTCCTCTCACACGTGCTCTGTCTGGACTAAATGTCATACTTCTTGACCGCGGCTGCGACTTTTCTGGAACACTGGACCGGCTGCTGTAAACGGGTACTCTCCTTTTAGGTTTCTAAGCAAAAAAAAGGACACAACATCTAAGACAGAACTCCAGAGATTGATTTCGCACAAATGTAACCAGATAAGGTAAAGCGTTTTACATCTAGAAGCGGCTTTCCTTTGTTTGTCAGGACTGCAAGCTTTCTCTGGAAAGAGTTTCCATGCATCTGCAAGAAGCAGTTTTAAAATACGAGTTAGATTCCGGGGAGCGAACTTCGGAGCAAGTTTGGAGAGAGAAGTTTCACTTACTGCAGATTTAGATGAGTCCCAGGTGAAGAACCGAGTGAAAAATGGAGGTTCGTTTCCTTCCGTTACAATGTATATCGGTGTTTCGCTTGATAGATTCTCTAGAAGGAAGTCATGCTTAAGGAATTTCTGTTGAGGAAGACAACGAGGCAGAGGAACTATTAGAACAGTTTTGCAGTTTTGTATGTTAATCTATTAGGATGTATCTTAGGTACCTCTCCAATGGCTAAAACTTGCGGTTTCTTCTTTTTGTCGACTTGTTGCCCCACCCAAACAAAGATCTCAGTGTGACAATCAAGAATGAAGATATCTTCAGTCATCAAATCATCTTGAGTGAAGTTAAAGATCTCTGTAACCTATATGGGAATATAAAGAAAGAAGAGCATCTATAAAACCCCGAGATATATGATCATTACAAAAACATGGCATATAAAAATGAAAACCACACGGTACCTTCAGATTTTCTGGTACCACAAGAGTAACACCGGATAACAAAACCCACCAGAAATTGCAAAAAGACATTTTAGATCATCAATTCTTGGATTGAGAAAATAAAGTGAAAATTCTGGGAACATATACTGGCAAATGGTTTTACCGTTTGAGAATGTGCAAGAGAAGAGATGAGGATCACTCTCTCCATCTTTTTTGATCTTTTGGCTCGGATATTCTGTTTTTCCTCCTAATAATTCCCAAAACTGTTCACACTCTGAGCCTTCCTTTTGTGCCTTGGTGTGTTCATTTGGCTGTATTACAAATAAAAAAACAAGAACCAGAAGTTCAACCATGTGAGAGATCTGACAAGGTAAGATACTAAGCTCCCAAATGCAGAAACAAAGCTCAGTATTACCTTAATCAGATCCAACATTCTCTCCATAAGTTCTTGATCATCCGAGGAAGTTAGATTGCCACACCAAGTGAAAACAGTAGAATTACCATGTAATATATAACAATGCGAAGAATTTAACCCTGTGGAAACCTGTTGGAACCAGATACTAATTGGATTACCTCTACTAAACTGATGAACAAGAAAGCTGGTTAATTATGGTTTTCAGTACACGTACCGCTTCTATCTGTATGGCTTGCATGTTCTCGGGTCCAGAACCTTGAACTCTAAACAGCGCAACACCTTCTGCATCGTAAGTAGTGTCAGGGACTTCGTTTTCTGCTATGTACTTTTTGAAAGCATCACTTAGACCACCCTGAGACAAAGATAAACGATTTTTTTTTTTGTAGAGATTATGATAAATATTACTTCAAATTTAACATATGAATACTTGAAGAAAAAACTTAGATAGTAGACCTTAAATGTGATGAAGCTTTGCATGATCACGAAAAACTGAATCGGTTCTTTTCCCTCATAAATGCGAGCCTGCACGGATTAACAAGCAATTGAGATAAATCGAAAATGTATATAGACCTTAGAATCTATAACGGAAAAAACAGGAAGAAGCACCTGAGCCGGCATAAATTTCATGGATTCAACCATCTTGCTTGCCATGGATATAGCAGATGCTCTGTCTTCCTATATATATATATATATATAATCATCAGTGAGGACTGAGCACACATAGAGAGCAAGAATCTTTATATATATATATATATATGTGATGAAATTTACCTCGACGCTTTGCTTTCCTAACCAAGTACCCACTAGATGTTCCTCTCTGTCTTCTCCGGGATATGAGTAGTGGAATATATAACAATCTCCGCTATAGAACTTTGATTGCTCCGCTGCTTCAAGAAGGATCTTTTCCTCGCGATTGATTCGCCACACCTGCAAAATTTCATAGTTAACAATCAAAAGACTATGTTTTGATTATGTTTAACTTATTCGAACACACCAACTCAACAAAGATATAGTCACTACCTGGAGATTTCCTGTACCATCAATGTATGGCTTAGGTTCGTCTTTAGAAGAAGAAGAAGTCTTAACCAGGCCTTGAACGTTAACCCCTTGCCGTTGCAAAAGAGCTGGTGAAGGAACAAACAGAGTATAAGTATCTCATAACTGAAATTTAAACTTCAAAATCAATGAAAATAGTATTAGTATACTACACCTGCAACTTTGCCTCTGCCTTGCTGGGGCTCAGCTACGGTACTCGTAGCCGGCCATGAATCAAACTTAGATCGGAACATCACTGTCTCAAATCCTTCCATCACACTGACTAGATTCGATTTTGGGCGTTCAGACGAACGGAAAAACTCCTGAAAAACGAATAATAACAATATGAGATTGAACAAAACCCATCAAAACAAGACTATTCGTTTGGTGGATGAGAAGAAATGTACTTCTGCAGCTTCACTTGCACTCTTTCTTTGGTCGATTGAAGTATTTCGTCCCTTCCAAACGAACAATTCAAGACCACAATCAAGAATATAACATTTGTCAGTTTTCAGAAGCTCTTTCTCCAAAGACTCAGCCTCTACGGGTTCTGTCTGTCCCTTCTCAACACTTGAAAGATCAAACATGTCTCAAGTTAGAACACAATCAGCTGTTCCAGTAATTACTTTTATGAAGATCCTAGGTGTTCTGTTCTACCTGAAGAGTTTGATCCCGTCAGATTCAGCAGTTTTGTCATCACTGACAGCTGGCTTCTTAGGAAGCGGAGCAAACCCACCAAACAAACCCCAAAACTCTCCAGCTTCAGCATCAGCCATCATCCTCCCATCCTCTACAAGAAATAAAAGCACTCTCAACTCAATAACGTTGGTAAGAAAAGCTTTACCCTTCCATGGTTTTAAACAGGTTAGTTTACTTACCAACAGCTGCGATATCGCACTTTCCATCATGGTAAGTGTCTTTAATGTACTGAACAACCTCAAGAGCTTTTGCTCTTTCTTGAATACTCGAATTGGAACCATTGAATTGAAATATTTTAGACTCAGTATCAAGAATGAAAACATCTTCGTGGTTGAGAGTCGATCGAGCAAACGGAACCTGTAAATGAGATAAGAATGCAAACCAAGATGAAATATAAAGAACCAGTTGAGTAAAAAGACATTTGGGGACATTCTTTCTTCAAAAGACTTGCCTCTTTGACACGGACGACATGTTTGCCTTTGCAGATATACAGACGCGTCTGATGCTCCTCGGGCTTTACATGGTTGAACCCGGAAGCAACTCCACCTTCTTGAGGTATTATGCAAGGTTTAAAGTAGGAAAGGAACTTCTCGGTCTCGTGGCCCTGCACTTCTCGGTACTGAACAGCACGCCCACCTAACGCTGAATCCAACTCAACTGTCTTGACGGCTACAGCACCTGCTTCATCCTGTTTTCATCAACAAACCACATATGATTCTTATTTCCTGAAACAAGGTTATGAATATGCAAAAATAAAATGAGACTGTTACCTGGCTGGAATCTTTACCGAGCCAGTAGTGAATATCGTGATGCAGAGAACCGTTTCTTGACGCTGTGGTCTGGCATGAGATAAGAAGGGTTTTAGACACTATCAAGAAGTATATATCATCAAACAGAGAAGAAACACGAAAGACTACCGACCTTTAAGACTATATAGCAATCCCCGGTGAAAAATTTACCGTGAGACTCTTTTGGAACAGTGACAGGCTTGAAGCCCTCGATGCGCCATATTTCAATCCCGCTGTATATGCAACCAGGAGATATAAAATATGCAGATGATTTAGAAGCAATATTGCAGGGACTTAACAAAAAAAAAAAAATTATAAGTGGGAGAAGGTTACGATTTCTGGCCACATCCTTGGAGAGCCTGATCTAAATCTCTCATCGAAAACGTCATTCTGGTTTTATGCAAAGCTTAAACTCTCCTTAGCTTCTTAGATTTCAAGAAACAAACCCAACCTGCAAAGATCATTAACGAGTAGGAAACTGAGACTTTTCCGGAGAAACTCAAACTCGGAGGTTCTTCTCGATGTCTCAATGCGTGTAACAAGCAAACAAAAAAGAGATATTCTAATCTACACAATGTAGTTGGAAACAAAAGGAGAAATCTCTTGAATGGTGCACACGATGTTTGGAGCAATGTAGGTACTAGAAGAATCGCTGTAACAACAGTTGTGATTGAGATACGAAGCTTATATTGATTAATTACAGCCAAACATTCTCTATCATTTACTCATGATCCGGAAAAGACCTGCAAATTTCAGACAAAAGCCACAATAACAGAGGATAATTCAACACGAGCAAGTAGTTTCATCATATCAGAGATGAAAATTCAGCCAGATTCGTAAGAAAAATGATTGGTTTCGCGGCGATCGAACCCACATGAATGATCCCCAAACAAAAACGAGTTGGACGGTGATAAAACTACATGCATGAAGCTGATGCATAATGGGATAATAAATAAATGAGTTATTTTTTGTCACATGGATTACGAATTAATTATCTCTGTAGAATTTCTAAAAAGAAAAAGAAGAAAATTTGAAGACCAGATTCACAAAGAAATACTTTTTACGGATTCTTTAGCATAAAAAAAAACTACCTTTTACAAATTTTTGCCAAGAACAGAGTGAAATGCTGCATTCATAGTTGTAAAATTCTCTTGATACGAAGAAAGGAAAAAATTGGGAAGAGGAGGAAAAGAAAATGTGATGATCCGAGAAAATAAAACGAACTTTGTGGTTAGACTTCCCGCTATTTCAGGTTTACACTTCGAACAACAAATGGAGAGAGGAGAGAGAGAGAGAGAGGATAAAAAAACATAAAAATGTTTAATCCAATATTAGTTCTTTCTTAATTAATTGATTGAGCTAATAATTAGATTCGTAGGAGGAAAGAAAAAAGATAAATTAAATTCGTAGACATGCAAAAATAAAAATAAAAAGAATTAATTGTGCCTTCGTATGCTAAATTTAACGTATGCTTATGGAAAACGAAAGCCAAAATAAAATCAGAAAAAAGTAAAATGCACTAACGGGTTCATCTTCCTCTTCTTCTTCTTCTTCTTCTTCTTCTTCTTCTTCTTCCCCTCCAAACGATTCTGGACAACCTTCGCTCAATATCGGCCATAACCGTATCGATAAACGGCGGATTTGACGAATTTTACGCGGCGGCGCAAATATTGACAACGTTTCAAGTGTTTCGCGTTTTTATAATTGTGTGTGATTCTTCTACATCCTTTTAAAGTCAAAAATTAACTCTGCCTATTTCACTCGATTGATCGAATATTTTGCTCTTACAACTTCGGATTAGTGTTCTCTGATTCTTCTTCTCTCATTTCAATCACCGGTGAATTTTTTAGCTAATTAAGATATGGGCCGAGACCAAAACATAGTGGGCCTAGCCCAATCTGTACTCCGTTGAGATTTGAGAGTTAAACAAAAACTCGCCGTGCTTCCTCGGTCAAAACTTTGGTCCGGTACCGGCACCGACATGTGCTGCAAGAATAACACGTGCACTGTGCAACACAACACTCGATCTCGGAGCTGTGAGTCGACGTTATTTGGGGTTTTCTTAAATTAGATTTCATTGTTATTGCTCTTGCTTCGTCGTTAGTTCCCTCGACTCTAGATTAGAACGTCCCATCTTCACCGAGCTTGATTTTGAAGGTTAATATTTTAAATTAGGGCTTTTGTTTTCTTTCCGGTGTGTAGGTGAAGCATTTTTTTTGTTCTGGGTTCTGTTTCAGAACTCAAATTAAGTTTTTATGTTTTCGTGTTTCTGAAAATTGAGCAGCTTTGGCGTTTTTTTTTTTTCTTCTTCTCTGCGTTTTAATCTGTTAAAATTGTGGGATTTGGTTCAGGAACAAAAATTTGAAGTAGAGGATTATAATTTCTATAGAAGCTATGGCACTTCGATCACTAAGCAAGAGGCTTGGGAGCAGATTTTTGAGTTACCGTTCCTCTGTTGCTTCGCTTCATTCTCATGCCACTAGTTTCGGTATCTCACACAAAAACCTACCCTTTCTCTCTTGATTTGGTTGTTTAGCATTCTTGTGGATGACTTCCAATTCAAGATCATATGTTTCATGCTAAACGAAATGCTTTTGTATTCAGATTATAATTTCTCTTCGGGTATAACAGTGTGATTTTAACTTCAATGCTTTGATTTCAGGGTTTCAAGAAGTAAAGGAAGAAGAGAAAAGCAAATTGGTTGGGAACGTTTTCACCAATGTAGCTTCGAGTTATGATATTATGAACGATGTGATGAGTGGTGGCTTGCATAGGCTATGGAAGGAAAGGTTAGAACCTGTGATGCTTTGATAACAAGTGTTATTAATTTCTCTTGTGTATAAAAATGACACTTTTGGTTGCCTTGTGATTTCAGACTCGTTGGGAAGCTGAGTCCATTTGCAGGGATGAAGCATCTTGATGTGGCCGGTGGAACAGGTTATTCGAACCAATTGATCCCTTTTTTTTTTCTTACTTTAATTTTGTAGTTGAAAATGTTCTTTACTCCTGTCATATATATTGTTGTTTATAATATGCAGGTGATGTTGCGTTTAGGATCTATGATGCTGTTTACAGTGTCAAACGAAGAGCATTGCAGAAAGTTGATGAGGCTTCACTTGAAGAAACTCAGATATACGTATGTGACCTTAATCCCAACATGTTAAACGTTGGGAAACAACGAGCTGCTGAGAGAGGTGGAACATTAAATGTTTGTTTGTTCATCATATATCTATCCTCTTTGATCCTTTTATATTGCTTCTTATGAGTGAGCTTTGGCTTCTTTTGCTATATATTTATTAGGTCTAAGAGATAACAAGTCACTCGTATGGGTCGAAGGAGATGCAGAGGCCTTGAGTTTCGATGACAATTCAATGGATGGATACACTATTGCATTTGGAATAAGGAATGTCACACATATCGAAAAGGCTCTCGCAGAGGCTTATAGGTACAAATATTCACACCTTCTTTAGTGCCTTGGTCTTGATTTTAGTTTGTCGGAAAAGTATTAGTTCGGGTGTAATTTCCTGTTTCGGTGTTTATGTATAATCCTATAAAACTCTTCACACTGTCAGGGTACTAAAACGGGGAGGAAGATTCTTGTGCCTTGAGCTCAGCCATGTAGACATTCCGGTCTTCAAAGATCTGTAAGTTTGTTTGATGATTAGATATGTTGTAGAAGTAAGTCCCTAAGTCCTTTTTTTTTTTGTTTCTTTGATAACCTCACTTTGTTTCTTGTGTTGCAGATACGATTTGTATTCTTTCCAGGTCATTCCAAACTTAGGGGAACTAATTGCCGGTGACCGGGAATCATATCAGTACTTGGTTGAGAGTGTTCGTCGGTTTCCTCCTCAGGTTCAAAATTTTAACTTTTTATCACCATTCTTTGGGATATGGTTGAACTTTTAGTTTTCCTGTATGTTCGTTATTTTGCTGCACGGTTCAGAAGGTTTGGATAAAATGGTGTAGTGATCAAATCTTTAACTTGTGGTTTCTTCAAGAACATTAGTAACAACATGCGATGATCAAATCTTTAGTTGAAGGTTGTGCTAGATTCATGTAAGAAGATAAGTTTAAAGTTTTGATAGCTAATCGATTAGATGAACACCGTGATTGAACGTGATGTTTGGTCTAGAAGACGTTTTCAAGTATAAAGCACGTTTGTAATCGCTAGATTTCATAAAATGAATGCAGGAGCGATTTGCATCGATGATCGCAGACGCAGGATTTGAGAAGGTGGAGTACGAGAACCTTGTTGGTGGAGTTGTCGCCATTCACTCTGCCCTTAAGCTCTGACCTTTTTTTTTTCTTTTCTCTTACTTCTGCATTTTCTCTGTTTCAAACCCAAACTGTAAAAGTTTAGATAGAAATAAAGCTCTGCCTAAGAGCGAATTTGCTTCATAAATGTTGGTTTCCTTCCATGGGAAATTTTGTTGATTTTTAAGTTTACAGTATAATCAAATTTAATATCCTCAGCATGTTTTAATTAATTTACAAACAAACTACTCCAAGTGTTACATAAAATGAAACTTCTAATAAGTTGCATAGTGTTAAAACCTAAATATAATAACACAAGACCAACTGAAAATATAGAGCTTTTAATGGGCTCTGTACCGGGCCTAACACATTACTCTCTTACTGGGCTCTTCATCTGACCTAGGGTTTGTAGGTTTCTTCTCTCACTGCGTCGTGAAATTGATTCATATATAAACGGAGTAAGCACTTTTTTCCCGTGAAGCTAGTCTAACACAGCTGAGAAATCTCGCCGCCGTTAGAAGAAGAAGAAGAAGAAGAAGATGGGAGTTTACACTTTCGTGTGCAAAAGCAAAGGCGGAGAATGGACCGCGAAGCAACACGAGGGTGACCTTGAAGCCTCTGCTTCTTCCACTTACGATCTCCAGCGCAAGCTTGTTCAGACTGCTCTCTCCACCGATTCATCCGGCGGCGTTACGTCTTCTTTCTCTCTCGTCTCTCCTACCTCAGCTGTTTGCCAGGTCTCTCGATTGCTTCCTCTCTGATTTGCTCAAAATTCTGTTAAATCGACGACGAGAAAGAATGTAGATTAGCTAGATCTGTTACCGTTTTGCTTGATCATTTGTGATAAATTGTTTAGTGTACATTGCTTTGTGGCTTCATTGTATACTTAGATCTAATTGTCGTTTCCTATAATCAATTTCTAATTGTTGTCTAGTCTTTGAGCATCTATTCAGTTGTAACAATACAAGAAATCAATTTCAATTTAGTGATGCTAGTTTAATTTTCTTGAAACGCATGATGTACACATCTCACTGTTGAAATGCGTGTATTGGATTATGTTGTATTAATAGAAAATGAAATGGAGCAGGTGATCATCGGTGGTGCTGTTGGAGGAGGATTTGCTGCCGGAGGAGGTGCAGCAGCTGGAGGAGGCGGTGGTGCAGGTGAGGCCGCCGCAGCCACTAAGGAGGAAGAGAAGAAGAAGGAAGAATCTGAAGAGGAAGAAGGAGACTTTGGATTTGACCTCTTTGGTTAAGAGACGAACAAAATCCTCTTTTGAAGCTTTTAGTTTGTTGTTTTCCATTTTTCTTTTTTCTTCTTTTTGAGATTGAACTTTTTATGTTAAGAGACTATATGTAACGTCAGAAATATATGTTGGTTTCTGGTTTCAACCCGAGTAATGCAATGCAACCGCGTTATGCAATGCAAACATATTTGGTCTTATACAATCCATAATTTCGTGTTGGTCAATTTGTTTATGATCTTATTCGCCATTATTATTGGAAATGGAAAGGAGATTCAAGATATCGAGAAAAATGGAGGGAGAACTAATGAAAAGATACATTTGGCAATACCAAGAAGTTAAGTTGATCAAATTGAGGAACAGATTATCACATAACCAAATTATTGATTGTGTTCTGTTATTTGTAGTTTGATAAGAAATAAACTAACCAAACAGGCATACCACAAAACTAGTACAAGAAGAGAAATCAACCAGCTTCCTTATCGACATATATCTAAATCAACCAGCTTCACCTCTATATGTTGTTTCAGACAGTTAACGCAGAATCAACAAGTTGAAGTGCATAGTTCTAGATTAAACTTATCACGCATTTCAACAGTTTAGGTACTTTAAAAAAATTACTAGGAGAGGGAGAGTAGTTTTTCTTGCATACAGCTCTGGATATTCCAGATAATTTGGCTAGTAAAAAAATATTAATTTAAAAGTTGAAAACAAAAAGAGAGGAGAAGGCTAACGCAAAATACAAGATGCATCCGAGCATTGAGTTGACACACAAAAAAGTCGAAACAGTAGAATGGTTCAATATTTTCTTTTTCATGACAAAACTTTTTTTGAGAAAACGCTGTATATTAGCGTTTCAAAATCATAAAGAATATCAGAAACGCGACTTGCGTTTTCTTGCGGTGTACTTGGAATCATGAGGAACATCGTTTCCTTTTCTTCTACTCTGCTCTTTCTTCCTCAAAACCCATTCCCTTCCTTTGCCTTTCTTGTTCGTTCTCTGCTTTTTCCTCGGCCTATTCCTATCTGATACACCCACCTTTACGCAAACAAAACCGAGAATGGTAAACAAGACTTCGTTAGAGTAACTAATAAGACGGTAATGAGACTTCGATATTTACCATTCCGTTCTCCTCGTCTTCGCTATCATCATCCTCAGAGCAACTCTCTTTATACCCTTCGTTAATACTGGTTGGCACAGAACCACATGTGAGGACCAAGAACTCCTTTCTTTTCTTAGTACTGCAGTTTAAAGAAACACCTGACGTGTTAACGTGTGTTTCCGCCATTACCAAGAAACCAAAAAACCAAAGATAGCTTTCCCCAAGAAGGTACCTGTGCGGGTAGTCAACGACAAGTCCACCACCAAATCCAGCTTGTAAGGCCTGGCGAAGAATCAGTTCACGCTGAGCAATATTCTCAGGGTACACTTGGAAAACTGCTCTTGCTCCTCTTGATAAGCATCGGTATAGTGACCCAAAGAAAGCCCTTTAAGAAATTGAGAGGTCAAAGATCAATTTTCTACCACACTATCTTATTGATTCAAGCTAAAGTAAAATGATTAACACATACTTTAGCCTCAAACGAGGTTCATGCGATGACTTGTCTGCATTGCATAACCACTGAAATCAGGAGAAAAAAAAAACAAAAGGAAGAACTGGTTAAACAATAAACATAAACTATGGTCAACGTAGTATATACTACAAAAAAAATCATATCACTTGGATGAGAAAGAGAATTATCAGGTAGTTTGAGAAGTAAGACCTGAACAGCTGATATACTGATGGCTCCGTCTATAACTCCTGCACGAAGACCTAATCCCTGACACATGAAAAGCGATTGCTAATATGTCAACATTCATTCTCCCAAAGTATATAACAATTACGAAAAATCCAAGAACGATGAAAAGTGAAAGCATATACATATACCTGCCCCATGTCACCAAGTAAAAGATCACCCTCAACTTCTCGTTCCACAGCAACGTCTACATTGTTATCAATAGATAAAATTGGGCTTAGAGATCTACAAGAGACAATGAATGAAAAGAAGAATCCTTTTTAAAGAAAGGATAGCTATCAAACTAATAATTAACTTACTAAGCATTGATGCTGAAATGTCAAGACCAATCCATTGGTGCCCGTTTTCAGAGAGTGTTTCCCCACTCAGGCCAGACCCACAACCTGAACCAAATTAGAGATTAGCCATTCTCCACTTTTTGTAACAAAGCTAAACCGATAAGTTTGTGCGCTAAGCAACAAGATACTAGGGTTCAAATTATCGAATTTATCTAAAAGACGAAATCTTGGGATATGACTACATTCATTGACTATCGAGAAAACCAGCTACCCGGATTTAGATACAAAATTCCAACTAAACATGTCGAAGTATATGCACTGTTACTACACAAACTTTGGTTATATTCTCCAGACGAATTGAAGAAACAATTTTCCAATAAAATGAAACCTGCAACAACTTGTAGTCTTGTACTAAACCATTCTAGGAAACAAGCAGAACAATTCACTCTTTATACGTAAGCAATTGACGTTTCTCGGAATTATTAGTTAATCAAAGTGGTTTTACCAATGTCGAGCAAGAATCTAGGAACTCCATCATCGGGCAAAGCAAGGAGCTCCAAAGCTCTCTCTGACAACCTCGCCTACAACCATAAATGTTTAAGCAGAGGAATTGAATATAAGAGAACACAATTCAGGAGAAACAGAGAGATATATCTTCGGAGAAAAATATTAAAAAAAAAACCTGAATTTCCACGATACGGGATGAAGAAGTATACTTCCGAGCCTCGGATTCGTCATAAAATATCTCCGGCGGCGCGAGCAACTCAGGCCGACTTGACATTATAAGTTTTGGTGGGGGGAAGAGAAAGAGAGAGAGGAAGAAGAAACAACTATCGAACGGCGTCGAAGCTTTTTAGGGTTTATGGGGAGAAAAAAATACAAACTTGTTTTTTTGTTGGGTATGTGCAGAATCAGCTTGATGATAGTCGTGGTCGGACCGTTTTCAAACCAACTAGATCAGTGTGGTTTTCAGACTTCCCGGTTAAGTTCGATTACTCCAATTTCGGAATTTCCCTTACGGGCCTAAGCTTAAAAGTGTAATTGGGCCTTAATAGAAAGAGGCCCAATTTTGTCTAATCTCCAATTTTGTTTTATGGCTTTAACTGACAAAAGTTATATTTCTTTTATATTTGGGCATAAGTTCAATTATTTGTATAGTTTCAGAATAATGTAAGCTTACTTGCTTACAAAATGTAAAATTTTAGAGATTCGAAAATAACGTTTCTCGTTTGTTTTCATTCGTCAATATAATGTTGTTTGTTTAAATTTGATGACTTATTTGCAACTGCTTGAATAGACAGTGGATTAACATTTTCCCACTAAAATTGGTTAAACTAACTTGTTTTCTGCCGGTAACAAACTAAAAAATTTCAACTTTGATTAGATTGTTCACCAGAAACAAAAAAGAATGAACCATATTAAAATAATATTAGAGTGGATCTGTACATAGGATCTGCTAGTATAAAAAGAGGCCTTTGAATGAACAATAATTTATCTCTATTTTCTTCTGATTCCACCATCTCTGGAGAAATTATGTCCGGTGGTGTTTGTTTACTTTATATTATACGAGAAAGATAATTAAAGAGTTTCATTTCTCATCCAAATAAATAAAAAAAGAAAAAGCCTAAACATTGGTTGATTTCTTTTCTTTATTTCAAAGCGAAGAGAGAGAAAACAAATCGAGGATCTGAATCGTCTTCGATAAACAAATACTTGTATGTTCTTCAATCTTTACTCTTGACGCACAGATTTATATACATTTATTATCTCACTCTCGTTCGTTAAATATTTCTCTCTCTCTTAAGTCTTGACTTGTCGTCATGATGTTTTTTTGTAGCCCTAGATCTTTAAAGCTAAGATCATCAAGCTTTCATTTTTGAGATCTGGGTTGGGACAAAGATTCTATTTTTGTCCACCCGTTTTTATTCCATTTCGAATTCAGCTCGAATTTTTACAGGTACTGTAATAACTCTAAGTTTGCTTCGCTGATAAATGCTTTGGTCCAGTGTCAGTGTGTCTTTCCTCTTTCTTTACAATTTCTGTATAATCGTATCCAATAAGTCTGAAAATTAATTCTACTTTGTGTATAGCTTTCGATTTTGGCATTTGTGTGGAGGCTTCCTTAATTGCGTCTTACGTGCGGTGAGAAGTGAGAATCTCTTTGTTTTACTCCTTTTTCAGTCACACGAACAACGTGCATTTGCTCCGGTTCCTTTTTCTTAAATTCCGTATAATTGTTACACCAAACGTGTGGGACTTCGAATTAAATTCATGTTCTAGTTGCTTGTTTAGAGAGCTGTGTTAAGATTGGGCTTAAACATTACTTGCTTTAATCTGTATTCAAAACAATTGTGTATTACTTATTCCATTTCTTTGCTCATTGGTCAGGTTTTGCTCAATGTAAAGAAGTTAAAGATTCAATCTTTTTTTTTCCGAGCTTCAATGGGTGAATCACAGAACCTGCACTTGCCTCTGCGAAACCGGTCTTCTCTAAAGAAGCCCTTACTGATTGTTCTATTAGTCTGCATCACAAGTGTGCTCTTGGTCTGCACTTACATGTATCCACAACAAAACAGTAAGAGCTCTTCTTGTGAGGGTTTATCTAGCAGAGGCTGTGAAGCGTCACTCTCGGGATGGCTCCCTGTTCATGTGAGGAAATACACGGACGAAGAAGTCGCAGCTCGAGTTGTGATCAAAGACATACTGAGAACTCCTCCTGCTCTAACTGCCAAATCCAAAATAGCTTTCATGTTTCTGACTCCTGGTACTTTGCCATTCGAGAAGCTCTGGGATAAATTTTTCGAGGTTTACAATAAGTTCTGAAACATTCTTGATTTCTTTGATTTTTGCCGGGGTGTGGTTTTGACTGTTTTGTTCCATATTGTGAAGGGTCAAGAAGGGAGATTCTCAATTTACATCCATCCATCAAGGTTACGACCAGTTCACATCAGCCGTCACTTTTCAGACCGTGAAATTTACAGCGATCAGGTCACGTGGGGAAGGATTTCTATGGTTGATGCTGAGAGGAGGCTTCTTGCAAACGCTCTTGAAGATCCTGACAACCAACATTTTGTTCTTCTTTCAGAGAGGTGAGCAATCAACTTATTGAATTTGCACCAAAAACATGACTTTGTTATCCCGGCTACATTCTCTTTACAGCTCTGTTTTAACTTTGCAGCTGCATACCGTTGCATACGTTTGACTACACTTATAGATATTTGGTTCACGGAAATGTTAGCTATATCGACAGGTAATAAATTATCCTCAGACACCTTAACTATCTCTCTACCAGTAAAGTTGACTTCTCTCCATTTATCTCTCTCAAGTTTTGAGGATCGTGGTCCTCACGGGACTGGTAGACACATGGATCACATGTTACCTGAAATCCCCAGGCAAGATTTCAGAAAGGGTGCACAGGTGAAAATACTCTTTAACTTAATCCCTCGAGTTGTGTATTGTTTCTGTTTGGTCTTGGAAATGTCGAAAAATGTACAGATTCTGCGATGAAAGATATTCTTTAATTCCGACTAAATATGTCCTTTGATGCAGTGGTTCACAATGAAGCGTCAACACGCTTTGATAGTGATGGCTGATAATCTCTACTACTCGAAATTCCGCGAGTATTGCAGAGTAAGTCCAGATTTCCTTTGTATCACAGTTTTCATTTTGCCTAACTGTTTATGACTGAGTTCTGTAGTTCGAAGTCACCAAGCTTAGGATTTACATTTATCTTAAGCTGATCTCTTGCTAATGAAATCGCAAGTCCTCAGATCAAAAACTCGAGAAAAGTTTTCAGTTTTGTCATACTCTGATCATAATTTATAAAACTTCTCGCAAAATTTTCAGCCAGGGGTAGAAGCAAATAAGAACTGCATCGCAGATGAACATTACCTGCCTACATTCTTCCATGTGAGTAGGCCAAATAAAAAAACTCTCTCTTTCTCTGTCTCCTTCTCTTATACAACTTTGATTCTAGTCCCTTTATGACATGTTTCTTCTTCTTCTTCAAAGATGCTTGATCCTGGAGGAATCTCGAACTGGTCAGTCACATATGTTGATTGGTCTGAGCGTAGATGGCATCCAAAGACATACAGAGCTCGTGATGTCTCACTCAAGTTCTTGAAAAATATCACGGTAATGTCGCAACAACACTCCTTTCAACACATCAATCATCTTTCAACACTTGAGAAAGTATCCAAATTCTCTATCTCCATTCTTTCGTTTCTTCGTTTTTTTCTTTAATATATACTTTCCCTCCTTGGTTTCTTGCAGACCGACGACATGAGTGTACACGTAACAAGCGTTGGCAAGGTACATTACTCGTTTACTGCATTCAAAAGCACTGAAAATGTGAAATGTATTTCTTCATTTATCTTTTGTGTTTTCTTTTTCTTAGCGTGGAGAAGAGCTGCATTGGCCTTGTACATGGAACGGAATTAGACGACCATGTTATCTATTCGCAAGGAAGTTTCACTCAGATTCTGTTAACAAGCTGGTCAGACTCTTCCCAAACTACACGAGCACAGTGGTCTGAGAGAGACAGATAAAGCCAGACACAAATTCTTGAAACAGAACCATACGATTCTTGGGACCGGAATGAAACGCTTCTTCCAGATTATATCGAGATTGGATCGAATTGGATAGCTGATTACTGTACATTTTCTAAAGAATCTGAAAAATGCTTTCTTTCTGGGATTTAGTGTCTCTTTGATGGGACAGGTTACTCTGTTTTTCTTTAGTATAACAGAAAAAGTTAGAAGCAGAGATTTTTGGTTAAGGAGAAATGGTTATTGCCATAGTAGCCATGGTTCGGTTAGTGTGAACCGGTTTATGTTGTTGTAGTTTGAGCCATTAGTAGTTGTGTTTAGCACGAATACGTGTTCTGTGCCATATAATACAAATATTCGGTTTTTTAAAACTCCACATGAGAAAGTGGACGGAAAATTTGGCTTTTTCCAACCTAAACTTTGAAAATATGTTAAATTCATTTCCGAATTTGTATTGGTGCTTAAACATACTTCAAGTTTGTAATTAATTGATTTTCATACCCAAACTTTTAACTTTGTGCTAAAACATACATTGATCAAACGGTGTTAGAGGAACCGTCAAGTCTTGTCTACGTGACCGATATGTCAGAACGATGTCGTCTTAAGTTTTCAAAATATAAGTTGTTTGTACGCTCAAAACAACATCGTTTTTGACTTGGGACTAAACTACACTTTTTTTTTCTTAATTGCTTCTCTCTTTTCTTCAACATTCGAGTCTCACACACGATTTTGGGGCTTTCTTCACATAGGTGGTTATAGATTTTTTATTTCTTCTGGGTTGGTTTCGTGAACCTCTCCTCCAACATATATGGTATTGTTGTCTTCTGAAATTTCGAACTTGAAACATTGCAACAGAGAGGTTCATGAACCCAGAAGAAATATGTTGGAATTATGGATCTAGAAATGCTATTAAGCAGAGGTTTGTTGTATACAAATCCAAATCGGAGACTGCAGGAAACTAAAAAGCTAACTAAAGCAAAAGGAGAGAAAAAAACATAAATTTTATATACAGAGAGTGGGCACGAAAAGAGATAGAAATTGCAAATTGCTATGTACAAAACAAGAAGATAGCTTAAGATGAGGATGTTGACCGAGGAATAGGAGCGTAAGGAACAAGATGAAGCACTTTGTTTTAAAGTTTTTACCAGTTTCTGTAGCAACTGACATCTTTCCTTTCTCTGTTCTGTTCCTTTTTCAATATCTTTTATCGCAGATCTCCTTTTGTTTTCTTTCTTCTACATCGGTTATCCCTCTGTGAAGTTGCAATAGCGAAGAAAACAAATCAGGCAGACAAGAACAAGATCCGATATGCGGAAAGAATAACAAGACAACTTATAAATAAGGATCCTAAACAATCCCAAAGCGCCTGCGAAATGACAATCTGTCCACTGGAGAAGGAAGATGAAGAGATGAGCCGCTGGGCTGTAAGACAATCTCATCTACACGCAAACAGCATCATACTCCTCTGGATACTCAGATGCCCTTCAAAACCAGATCTCATTTTCAAGCTCTACGTTTTGTTCTTTTTTATTTTTAGCAATTTTCGTTGAGCAAACAACTGTCGTTTGTGTCTTTTTTTTTTTTTAGCAATTGCTTATGTGGACGCTATGTATACAGATTTGACGAAATGTTTGACAGCATTTCGATGAAAATTGTTTTAAGCACAAAAAACAAAGATTAAGGATAAAATTCAAATTAGAATGAAGATTATAGAGGAAATTCAAATTATAATATAGATTAAATATGTTTAAATACCATGCATAAGTTTTGGGATAGATTTAACATTCTCAAAAAGTTGAGGTAGAAAAAAACCAATTTTCCGAAAATGGATCATGGATCCCTGAATTCAACTGGTCATTTTTATTGTAAATAATTAAAATAATATATTTTCTATAAAATAACATTCGTTTGTTTAAAATACCGCATGACAAAGTGGACCATGGACTTTGTCATTATCCCTGAATTCAACTGATCATTTCTATTGTAATGTAAATAATAAAAATCAAAATTTGACCCAAAAAAAAAAAATCAAAATAATATAGGAGTATTCTCTTTACCAAGCTATAATATTGCAGTAAAAATAATATATCTCTTTACCAAACCTATAATATATTGCAAAACTGATGAAAAAATGTGTACTGTGTATATAAAAACAAGAGCTGTGCTTCATCATCACTTACAAACGTGAAAAGTGTAGTAATATGGGTGTGATTTGGGTTCTATCACTTCTCTTCCTCATCTCTATCCTTCTCGCCGCCGTGAAACACACTAAACGGTGGTTGCGGCAACCACCGTCTCCTCCAGGCTTACCGATCATCGGCAACTTGCACCAGCTCGGAGAATTACCACATCAGTCTCTGTGGAGACTCTCGAAGAAGTATGGTCCTGTGATGTTACTGAAACTAGGAAGAGTTTCAACAGTTGTAGTTTCTTCCCCTCAAACAGCAAAACAAGTTCTTAGAGATCATGATCTCCATTGTTGTAGCCGTCCAAGCGTTGAAGGTACACGTAACACTAGTTCTTAGAGATCATAATCTTTACAATTCTTTTTTTGTTGACCTCTGATTCTCTAACACTAGTTCTTGTTTTCAGCCACAAGAAAGTTTTCTTACAACTATCTAGACATTGCTTTCTCTCCATATGATGATTATTGGAAAGAAAAAAGGAAACTATGTGTTAGAGAACTCTTTAGTACTAAACGAGTTAATTCGATTCAACCCATCAAGGAGATGGAGATGAAGAAACTGATTGATTCAATCACTGAATCTGCTTTTGAGAAAACTCCGGTTAACTTAAGCGAGAGGTTTATTTCTTTGAATGCTAACGTGGTTTGCAAGGCATCATTTGGTGTGAGTTTTCAAGGAACAGTACTCAACAATGAAAAGTTCCTAGATTTAGTCCACGAAACATTCGAGGTCTTAAAGAGCTTCTCTGCTTCAGAGTTTTTCCCGTATATCGGTTGGATCTTCGACTGGTTCACGGGTTTACACGAGCGGAGAGATAGGTGCGTGCGAGATTTCGATGCGTTCTATGAACAAATGATTGATCTACATCTACAGAAAAACAGAGAAGAAAGAAGCGAAGATGATTTTGTTGACTTGCTCTTAAGGTTGGAAAAGGAAGAAGCTGTTCTTGGCTATGGCAAACTCACAAGAAACCATATCAAAGCTATCTTGATGGTAAGTATAGCACTAGGTTATATCTCTTAAACCGTTAAATTATTTTGAAAGATTTATGAAATTTCATCTCAAAACCAATTAGCAATTGGTTGAGATCGTTTATATACCTTATATAAACGTAAGTCTTTTCATTAAACAATATTGAAAAGCTCTTGATGGTAGGTCCTAAGACAAAACTCATAATCAGTTTCTTGTGTTATCTACAAATCAGAATTTTTTTGTTTGTTTCAGTGTAGATTTCTAGCAGTTGATATTATTTATCTTTTATCTGTAGAACGTTCTTCTTGGAGGAATCAATAGTTCTGCAATAACCATGACATGGGCAATGTCGGAACTCACAAGAAACCCGCGAGTGATGAAGAAAGTTCAATCAGAAATCAGAGACCAAATAGGGAAAAAGAACAAAACAAGAATCGTAAGCTTAGATGAGACAGATCAACTAAAATACCTGAAAATGGTGATCAAAGAAACATGGCGGTTACATCCTGTATCACCTCTTCTAGTGCCAAGAGAAGTAATATCTGAATTCAAGGTCAACGGCTACACGATTCAACCAAAGACAAGGGTTCATGTCAACACATGGGCTATTGGCCGCGATCCCGAGGTGTGGAAAGACCCAGAAGAGTTTTTACCAGAGAGGTTTATGGATTGTGACATTGATGCAAAAGGGCAACACTTTGAGTTGTTACCGTTTGGAAGTGGTCGTAGGATTTGTCCAGCAATGTACATGGGGACAGCAACGGTTGACTTTGGTCTTGCGAATCTCTTGTATCATTTTGATTGGAAGTTACCAGAAGGTTTGGATGTTGAAGATATTGACATGGATGAAACTTCTGGACTCACTTCCCATAAGAAACATGATCTTCTACTTGTTCCTGTGAAATCTTTAGCTCTTTGATCTTTGAACCAAGTTTCTATGTAAACTATGAAATAAAGTGTAACACTAAACTTAGACTCAACCACATGTGTAAAACATTCAACCACATAGTGAAATAAAGTTGTGAAGCCTTATAGTGGCTCAGCGAGTAGCTTTTATGAACCAGTAAACTTGTTGGTAAACCAAGTAATCCATTGGTTAACCGAAAATAATCAGAACCAGACCGGTCCAGTTTTTAAAGCGATTCGCAAGCTTTCTGTGATCTTTCTTTGTCATGGCGATTCTGAAAATGACGATATAGCTTAAACTTAGAGAGAAAGGAGCATCCTTTTGCGAGTTTTGATGAAGTTTAATCCTCGTACTTCTTCAGGACTCTTTTCTCTCCAGTCGCTCCTTAAAAGCGGCTTCTCTCCCACCTTAAACTCCATCGACAGATTTCTTCGATATCTTTACCGTCGCCAGAAGTTTAATTGCATTCTTCACTTCTACTCTCAGCTAGATTCGGAGAAGCTCCAGGTTAATAACCGGATTTACTCCATCGTTTCATGGGCATTTCTCAATTTGAACAGATACGAGGAAGCAGAGAAGTTTATCAACACCCAGATTTCGAAAGCCTCGATTTTCCCCAGGACGCACATGTTGGATTCTCTAATTCATGGATTCAGCGTCACACGAGCTGATCCCGATAAGGCCCTTTCGGTTCTCCGGGATTGCTTAAGGAATCACGGTGCGTTTCCCTCCTCCTTGACGTTCTGTTCACTGATTTATCGGTTCGTTGCGAAAGGAGAGATGGACAAAGCTATCGAGGTTTTAGAGATGATGACGAACAAAATAGTAAACTACCCATTTGATAATTTCGTTTCTAGTGCTGTGATTTCTGGGTTTTGTAAGATTGGTAAACCGGAACTTGCGCTAGGGTTTTTCGAGACTGCTGTGGAATCAGGAGCTTTAGTGCCAAATCTTGTAACTTATACTACGATTGTGAGCGCTCTTTGTCAATTGGGTAAGGTTGATGAAGTTAGGGATTTGGTTAGGAGACTGGAAGATGAAGGATTTGAATTGGATTGCGTTTTCTACAGTAATTGGATTCATGGGTACCTTAAGGGAGGTGCGTTAATGGATGCACTTATGCAGGAAAGGAAAATCGTGGAGAAGGGAATAAACCGAGATACTGTGAGCTATTCGATACTAATAGATGGATTGTCGAAGGAAGGAAACATTGAAACAGCGTTGGGGTTATTGGGGAAGATGATAAAGGAGGGAATAGAACCGAGTTTGATCACTTTTACTGCTATTATGAGAGGACTCTGCAAAAAGGGTAAACTAGAAGAGGCATTTGCTGTGTTCGATAGAGTTCTAAGTATGGGAATCGAAGTGGATGAGTTTGTGTATGTGACTTTGATCGATGGAATTTGTAGGAAAGGATATTTGAGTCAAGCTTTCTCTATGTTGGGAGATATGGAGCAGAGAGGGATTAAACCAAGCATCCTTACTTATAACACTGTGATTAATGGACTGTGCAGGGCAGGGAAAGTGTCGGAAGCGGATGACATTTCGAAAGGGGTTTTGGGAGATGTCGTTACTTATAGTACATTGTTAGATAGTTATATCAAGGAAGAGAATATTGATGCTGTTTTAGAAATTAGGCGTAGGTTTGTAGAAGCTCAAATCCCTATGGACTTGGTTATGTGCAACATTCTCCTGAAAGCATTTATATTGGTTGGTGCTTATGGAGAAGCTGATGTACTCTACAGGGCGATGCCAGAAATGGATCTGACTCCAAACACAGTCACGTATTTAACGATGATTGAGTGCTGCTGCAAAACGGGTCATATCGAAGAGGCACTTGAGATGTTTGATGAGTTGAGGAAAAGCTCGGTTTCCTCAGCTGTATGTTATAATCGCATTATTGGTGCACTCTGCAAGAAAGGGATGGTGGAAACAGCCACGGAAGTTATTATCGAGCTGTTGGAAAAAGGTTTGTACTTGGACATCCATACATCTCGTACCTTGTTGCGTTCAATTCATGCTAGCGGAGGTGAAAAAGGAATACTCGGTTTGGTTTATAGGCTCGAGCAGTTAGATTCGAACATCTGTAATGCGATGTTCAACGATGCTATATTGCTTTTATGCAAGAGAGGTTCTTTCGACGCTGCGATTGAGGTTTATATGGTTATAAGGAGGAAGGTTTTAACTGTTACATCTCCTTCTAGATTTCTAAAAGCACTAGTGGACAATCTCAGAGCGTTGGATGCTTATTCACTTGTTGTAAATGCTGGTGATAGTACTCTGCCTTCCCTGGATGTTGCAGACTACACAATCATCGTCGATGGTCTCTGCAAGGAAGGATTTCTTATAAAGGCCTTAGATTTGTGCACTTTTGCTAAACAGAGAGGCATCACTCTTAATATCATCACATATAATTCACTCATAAATGGACTTTGCCAGCAAGGTTGCCTTGTAGAAGCTCTTCGTCTATTTGATTCGCTAGAGAACATTGGTTTGGTCCCGTCTGAGGTCAGTTATGGAATATTGATTGACAGTTTATGCAAGGAAGGGTTGTTTCTTGATGCTGAGAAATTTTTGGACACGATGGTAACTAAGGGACTTGTACCAAACATTCTCATTTATAATTCGATGATTGACGGGTATTGCAAGCTCGGGAGGACAGAGGACGCCATGAGAATTTTATCTTGTAAAATGGTAGGAATGGTAACACCAGATGCATTCACAGTCAGTTCTTTGATAAAAGGTTACTGTAAAAAAGGTGACATGGAAGAAGCTCTCAGAGTGTTTGCTGAGTTCAAAAGTAAAAACATCTCAGCCGATTTCTTGGCTTTTCTGTATCTGATCAAAGGCCTCTGCACGAAAGGGAGAATGGAAGAAGCAAGGAGTGTCCTGAGAGAAATGCTTGTTTCAGATCCTGTCGTTGAACTGATCAACAGACTTGATGCAGAATTAGTTGAATCTGAATCGATCAGAGGCTTCCTCGTCGAGCTCTGTGAACAAGGAAGGGTCCCTCAGGCTGTTAAAATCCTAGATGAGATAAGTTCCACGTTCTATCTGTCTGGTAAAAACTCTGGTTCTCGTCAAAGGTTGAAGTTCTTGAATGATGTTAACGAAAAAGAGGTAAAGAAGGAAGGCTATGTTCATGATTTTCACAGCCTTCACTCAACCGTTAGCTCACTCTGCTCCAGTGGGAAGCTGAAGCAAGCTAATGAGTTTGTTATGTCTGTGCTCTCTTGTATGCCTAGATAGGTCAGTATTATTTACTTGACTGGTCAAACCACCAAAAGCCAAAGTGAAATCTTCTGAGTGGTTCGAGCAGACTATCTGCAACTGAATAGCTATAAGGTTGGATTATCGATGTGGTTAGACATTTTGTCGGTTCATTCATCGAAATGAAACAAATTTTGGCCGTTGATTAAGAGCTTCTCTGTAAGATAAACTGGTAAGTAAAAAATCTCGTTGCTTGTGTTTCGGGAGCTTGAGAATCTCTTACAACTTTGTGTTAATTAGTACTTCTCATGAGTTCTTACTTCTTGTAGGACCCCTAGAGAGAATTAGCTGTGAATCAGAGAGGAACAATGATAGGCGCTCGAGGAACCGTTGGCTGTAGAGGAACACAGTCCCAGTCCTTACCAGCTCGAACCACAGAGAAATGCTTTGGAATCCATGATTGTCCAGAAACCTCTCTTTGCCTCAAAGACTCCCTCTGTTTCTCCTCCACTTCTCTCTTGCCTTGTCTTGCTTTCTCCCACTCCTTCCTCATAATTCCGTTACTCACCTCACTCCACACCATCGCCGACTCGCTCTCACTCACCTCCTGCAGACCATAAATAACCGAATTGTGAAGATCGATGGAAAATTGTAATTTCCCTGGAAAGTTTTTCAAACAGTAACCTGCAGGTTCTTGACAATGGGAGTTTTGAGCTTGTCAATGTTTTCACTTGCTTTGTATATAACTTCAAGCTCTCCAGTCTTCAGATTTTTCGCGGTAACGGTTCTGTAAACATTATGTTAAAATGTAAACTATGTTCTGTAACTGCAATAAAATTTGAAAAATGTATTTTTTATTTGGTTACCTGTCCCATTGTCCAAAGATATCATAGAGTCGTTTCCCGGAAGAAGATTCAAAGATCTTGCCTTTAATGGATCTCTTGTTGTTCCCTGTGAATCTACTCAAAAATGAATCAGAGAGTAATTGCAATTCGGCTTCGAGTCCAGTCTCCAGGCACTTTATCACGACCTTTCCAGCCCAATGAGCTCCTGTCGCCGGCAGAAATGTCATCACAAGCTTTGGATGATTCATTTCATAAGTCTCTCTCTGGTTTAGAAGTTTCACCACTCTTTTACCCTTCACCTCAACGTCCACATAACCACCTTCAATTTAGAAATGAAGAATCTCAATTTAACACAGAAGCACATTTTTCACTTTTTCCATAGAATTACTTTAGCAAAATCAAATGTGACAAAAGAGAAAAGTGTTAAAAGACTAAAAAGATATAAATTTGATTCATACCCAAAAAAAAGAGATAAATTTGTTACGTGTGTAAGTAAACATACCACGAAATTTAGGTGTAAAGTATTGACAGAACATTACGTCTATGTTTTCTTTGTCGTGAGTTGCATGAAGAGCAGACACTGGTGGATGATGCGATATCTGAATCAAAATAGAATCAAAATAAAATCAAAACACTTAATTTGATATACTTTGTAAATTTCGTACGTAAAACATTTTTTTGACGATATGTAGTAAAAGAAAAAGACTTGCTTGCTCGACGAGAACGTTGACGTGACCGTTGGACACGTGGTGAGTTTCGCCGACGACAGGGTTGTATGGAGCCATGCCAAAGATCAATGGCCGGAGAGTTGAGATGTTCCACGTCACCATCGATTTGAGCCGTTCGATTGGTTGGTCACGACGACCACACTCTCCGAGTAAATCCTGACCGTTGAAACTATAAACCATCTCGCCGTAGCATTGGAGCTGTGATCTCGGTAGGTTCAGTTGAGGTGGAAGCTTCACAGTAAATAAATATTCTTATTTTAATTTAATATAGAAGAGTAATTTTTTTGGGAAAAGGGAAATTAAAACTTCGGAAATAGCAAAGAAAAACAAAAAAGAAGAAGAAAAAGAATTCGTCCGGTTAGGATCAAATGTGTGTAACAAAAAATAGTCTTTTGTAGTTGAAATTTAGAGCCAAAAAGGGTAAATACTAAATATAGTAGATCTTCAAGGATTCTCAATATACATTACTTCACTTTTATCACCGAAAAAGCGACAAAAAAATAGAAAAAAGAATCGATGACCCCAAAAGAAAATTTGCGTACCTGAAAGTTAGTGAGATCGGATCCTGGCCGAACGTTTTTGAAAAGGCTTAGGATCCGTTGGATGAGACTGGAAGTTGTGTGTTCAGAATCTTTCTCATCTTCCAACGAGAAAGGCTTCGCCAACACAACGGGCTTTCTCATTGCTTCTCCTTCTTCTGCCTTTGCACACAAAACAACCCAATGAAGCATTACTGTATATACACATATACAGTGGATAAATCATATAAAATATTATAACATAACGAGAATTAATGTCTAACACATACCATAAGAGTGACAATAAGCGATTTTTATGTGTTTCTTTTTACGTTGTTGATCCTGAAGATTATTTGAAGCAATATAAGCGCAGAGAGAATCGAACCCTAATGATGATAGAAAAAGAAGAAGCAAAAAGGTATGTTAAATGTTAAATTTAGCCAGTGGGGGCTATTGATAGAACAATATTTCCATAGAGATTCGCCTAATAATTAAAAAAAAAAAAAAAGGAAAAGAGATTCACCTAATATAAGGCAAAAATCTTTGAAAAGGAAGGTTGCAAGGAAAACGCATGGACTAGCCTAATGTGCGTACATATAAATAAATGAACAGTTAATTCCCTTTTTTTGTTAATGGCGATGTTCTTGTGAAATATATATTTTTATTTATCTTAAAGTAACATGAAAAATTAACGATACATAACATTATTACAATTTATACCCAACATTAAAATAATAAAATAACCTTATTACTTACCAAGAATGAAATTTTTACAATACAATGATGATAATTAAAAAGAAATGATTAATATGTATATTTTATTTAGCTCATTTATATAGAAAGAAAAACGATAAAAGTGGTTTTTAGGTGAGCACAAAGCGAAGTAGCGAACTATTCTTTGGCCTTTTACTCTAAGATTGTGCCAAAAGAAAAATAGTTGCTCGTAAAGGATATAATACTAGACAAGTTCAAAGATGCAATATCTGTCGACAGAAGAAAACGCCAGATAGTGATATATTTGAACGAATTTATAAGATAATCAAATTCTCACAGACAGTTGTCACAGTTCTATACGCTAAAACATTTTCTAAGCAATTTGTTCCCCCCAAATATATATGCTTAATAGCAAAATTCTGATGGAATATAATACGTAAAGTGCATGTATGATCGGATCTGATAATTTTCATTTTTTAGAAGACAAAGTTGTATTTCAAAAACGTTTTCTTATATACTTTTCGTGTTTAACAAAAAGTGTTATTTTAATATTTTTAATTCAAAAAGATCAAGATAAAAATTTTTTTTTATACTCCTAAACTATCTATGTAATTACTATGATCTTTTTCAATTTATTTTAGTGTGATTTGAGCATTCATTCAACTCTTAGACTACTTCTGAGTTGAGTCAAAAGTCATTAATAATAATTAATACAATTCGCATCGACAAAAATCCCTCAACTCTTAGACTACTCTTTTAGTGGCTTCTGAGTTGGAGTATCATTTTTTTTTTTTTGAAATACTTAATCATTTTCATTTAAAGTTATCGAAGAAATGTTTTCATTTAATATATCTAGACGGTGTTCGGATCTAGGCTCTAAATCCCCTCAACCCCGGACCTGCCTTTGTTAATACGGCATAAAACATTTTTTTCATTAAAAATCGAACTAGCACTATATAGGACCAACCTCTGCATTTAATCACTAGCTAACCCACTTTATCTGGTGCTAGAATATATAATCATGTTTGACACTCTTTGTAAAAAGGAGGAAGTATATATATATATATGAATGTTCCAAATTAAAAATATCATTCCAAAATTTTCATTCCCAAATCCATAGACAGAGAAAGAAAAACCCATATACGTATATGTCAAGGGAACATTCAATAATTCGAGCACTGAATACTGTTATTGGGAAGATGCAGTAGTTGTTTGACCAAAGCTATCAGTCATTAATAGGCAGATCCATGCATGTGTTGGCATTTTCTCTGTATGATTGTATCATTACTCATTAGTATGATCCATCGAACTGATCACGGGTAACATAATTTTTAAGACTGTTAGGGAATGGCCCGCGCGCAAAGGATTCATGCATTTTTTTTTTTTCCTTTCTTTCACCATGCATGCAATTTTTATTTTATTTTTCTGTTGAGCAAATATTATTATGGAGTAATACATTAATATATCTATTGCTATATTATATGTAAATACAAAGTCCTATCTTATGTCCTCAATCTGGTAAGAAAAGATTGACATAAGATAGGAAACCTTGTTGAGCAAATATTTTCCTATCTTATGTCCTCGACCTGGGGTCAACGATCCAAGCGTTTACTTATCTGTAAACGATTAGAAAACCTTGCGAAGAAGCCAGATGGTTTGCTTCTTGTTGGTTATTTTATGTACATACAACTTTTATGTTACTAATGTGCATATGAAGTATGAAGTCACAGAGATGCCCTTCTTCCATTACCATTCTAATTTTACTTATCGATTCATGCAAATCGCAGAACTTAGGAACATTCTCAGACGTCAGAAAGAGTTTCTTTCTTTCTTTTGAAGAAAAAGATAAATTTAGTATCACAAGAGTTCTTAAAACAGTCAATGGTAGCTCAAAGAAGCCATTGATACACTCAAAACCTTCAAATACGCACCGACCTTCAAGTTACTTCATTTCGGATCAGAAGTACGAACCCCCTGGCGCTTGAAGAACTCTCTGAATCCATAGGGGCTCATATCATAATTGTACTGCCAAAAGAAAACAAACAAGAAGAAGAAACCGATCTTTAGAGACTGCAATAGATGAAAACGTGTGTATTTTCGCATTGTTTCAACAAGAAGACAGACTTTTGTTAACAAAAATGTAACAGGAAAAGACAATGTGTGATGCCTCAACCAACTTACAGGTACAACTTTCACAGAATACCGGGTGATATTTGGATCTTGTACCTTCCCTTCATTACCCGCCTGCATAAGAAAGATTTTCGTTTTACAAGATAAACCAAATGACCATGAATGGGTTAAACAGGGTTAGATATTGGAGACACAAGAAAAAGAACCATACTTGTTGTGGGCTATGGAATATTTCAATGAAAGGATATTCGCTTTTCTGGCGGGTAATGCAGAACCCAGGATACTTGGGGCACTCAACCTGAAAACAATCCAAACACAACAGTCACTTAACGTTTTTTAGGAAGTTTCCATCTATCTTTTACATTCTTCTATATTATTGTATAGGAAACTCACACGCATGAATTTTATGTTGGGATAGAACTCAGCAGCAGCTTCCTCAAGCATCCGATCAAGATGTTGTGTGTAGTTACTTCTGTTTTAAAGAATGAGACGCATGTGAGTTGGAATAATAGCAAAGGAGCGTATTTTGAGGGTTTTTTGAGGATAGTTGAAGTTACCTTATGGTGAATGCGACAACCACAGGATAGCCCTGGTGAAGGAGTTGGACAAACTCTCTTTCTGATGTAAAATGGATAACACGCGATGGCCCGAGATCCTTAGGGTAACCACTGTAATACCTTCATTTCAGCAGGGGAAAACAAAAAAGAAACTCATCTTCATAATTGGCTGTGTCTATGGTATCACAAGTTATAGAATTAGATTAAACAAATTCAAAACTCATTACTTGCAAGTCGAGCGCAGCTGGAGAAGCATTCTATCGAGAAATGATGTATCTCCCATCTGAACACAGCACAATGTATCAGACTCAACTTTGCTAATCAGGTGAAAACAGACCAATACTCAAGAAGATAACCTGTCAATCCTCCAATTACCAAAGCCAATGCAAAGATCAAAGATCCATCAGTATAATTTAGCTAATCCAGTTAATTATGTGCCGCAAATAGCTCTCCTGGATTTTTGTAAAATACATTTTTTATTTCTTTCAGGCATTTCATCGAACAACATTGGGACATTCAACATCATGTGGAAATCTATGGAAATCACTCAGGTGCTATCCAAAATCGTAGTCAAACTTTCAGTTAAAACGCATAAAGAATATAAATTTCGCCCATTAAAATAAGAACCCAGAATATAGTAAAAGGAATGTATGATATGTATCTCGCATCCTAATCACGAGTGGCTGATCTTATGAAAGAAGAGAAATTGATGGTCGCTTTCTTCTATCTATCTGAGCGAACGAAAATTCCAATTAACACGCAGAGACTTTGATGCAAAAGATCTAGACGAGAAATAAAACCTGAAGGCTGTTCGCCGCTTCTCCCGATTTGCTTTCACTGCTGGAAGCTTCGAACTAGAATCGTTGGTTACAAATCGAAACTGCAGATGAAGCCAAGTATGTATTCTGGGTTCCTCTAGCTTGACGTTAACCGTGGGAAGGAAGTGGCAAAATCTGCAAAGTCAGAGTTTTTGGAAACTCTGTTTCGCTTCAGAGTCTTAAATCCTTCTCCTCCGGGTTGTTTTGGGTTTCCTTTTGGGTTTCAGTTGTTATTTCTTTTTTGTGTTTTGTTTTTTTAAATAAAGATTTTAATCTTTAGCTCTTTGTTTTCTTATAGGCTTAAATTCTGTTTATGTTTTAACCTTTAGATTCTGAATTAAATTACACAAACAGCTACTAAATGATACTAACAATATGTAAGATTCGATGAAGAATGTTGAAATATTGTAAATCAGATTCGAATCACGAAAGGAATACTTTTTTTTTTCGGATGAATGTTAAATTTTATTCGAAAAAAAAACGTTTTCTACATCGATGATGCGAGCGTTTTAATCAAAAGAAAGCTACAGAGTTAAAAAAAACAAAATTTTGTGATCTCGATTAGAGTATTTGAAACTACTCAGTGTCGTGAGTTTGAGGCGAACCACAGCTGAATGCCATCCGCGTATTTGGTGTCTCCCTGGGAGCGAATGGAGCTTAGACTATTTCTGATCCCCTTATCAATATCCTTCACTATTCTGGTCCAATCTGAAGAAGGCGAACCATGCCTGCAACAGTTTCTCTCCCTCTATATTGCATGAATTGTCTGCTGGAACAGGTAACGAGTGATAAACCCCTTAACCAGATGCTGCTGACGCCGAGAGATTAGAGTGACTAGAGTCGTCCAATCTGTGGTGAACTCTTGTTGCATAATTCCTTTAGCTACAGTTGTCCATATCCGCATCGAAAAAGGACAGGAGAAGAATAAATGGTCTCGCGACTCCAATGTAGCTTGACAAAGAGCGCACGACACTGAAATATTTGGGTTCCATTGCTGCATTCGATCACCTGTTGAAAGTCTATTGTGCAGAGCCAGCCAAGCCATGAACCCGAACTTCGGAGAATGATGCTTGAACCAGATCCCTTCAGCCCAAGGGACTTTCGATGAACTTATAAGCTGGTCCCGAGTTGCTTTTGCACTGAAAATCGTTTTAAACGAATCCGCCTTCGATTTCCATAGGAATGTGTCATCCTGTGTCTGTTGATATCTCCTCCGTAATGCCTCTAATTCATCCTCAACTTCATTCAATTTCTGAACTCGATGCCTTCGTCTTCGATGCGATAGTATTGCGTCCTCAACTGTTGCCGTGTGGGGAATTCCCAAGTCGACACAGCCTCGGACTCCAAACAAATTTAATAGATTCCCAAGCGACGACCAATTGTCGTACCAGAACAAGGCCGATCTACCATTACCAACTCGCACTCTTAGAAATGCCTCTGCGAGGTGCCTAATGTGCAGTATTTGCTTCCACATCCATGATCCCGTAGATTGGGTAGTAGGAGGTGGAGTAAGCCACACCGAACCATCTCTCATTAGATTTACTTCTGTCCATCGAACCCATAATGATTGCTTTGTAGTGACTATCCTCCAAAACAATTTCAGAATACAAACATCATTTGCAACAGCTAGATTCTTCAGGCCCAGCCCTCCATCCTGCTTCGATTTGCACACTTCCGACCAAGCTATCTTGGCTTTCCTTGGTTTTAAGTCCGGTCCTGACCACAGGAAAGCAGAGCTCAAACTATCGATTTTATCCAAACATCCTTTTGGTAATCGGAAAGCTTGCATCCAAAAGTTCACAAGACTGGCGATGACTGACGAAACCAGTTGAAGGCGACCGGCGAATGAAAGCTGTCTTGCTGTCCATGAATTAAAATGAGTCCTGATCATATCTATTAGAGGAGCGTAATCAAGAGATCTCATCTTTTTTGTAAGCAGAGGCAACCCCAAGTATCTAACTGGAAGCTCACCTTGCTCAAATCTGTATCTTTGACCGAGAGTTTGACGATCAGCTTCAGAAACACCAGCAAGAAAAGCTGTAGATTTCTCCATACTTATTTGCAGTCCTAACATCTTTGCAAAGTCCTCGAAAACCCCTACGATTCCTTCCATTGAGGACAACTTCCCATCCGAAAAAATCATTATATCATCCGCAAAACATAGATGAGTAAGCTTGAAAATAGAACACTTTGGGTGAAAACCAAACTTTCTTTCCACAGCAGCCTTATCCAACATATGAGAAAGAACATTCATGCAAATCACATACAGATATGGCGGTAAGGAACAGCCTTGTCGCAGACCCCTCGAGCTATTGAAATATCCAGCTAGTTCCCCATTCACCTGAACAGAAAAAGAAGCTGACGAGACGCACAATCGAATCCAGTGAATAAATCCTTGCGGAAGATTCATTGCTTCAAGAACTGTTAGAAGAAAGCTCCACTCAACCGAATCGAACGCCTTTGAGATATCAATTTTCAAGGCACAGCGTGAGGAAACAGATTTTTTGTGATATCCGGCAACAAGTTCCGATGCAAGTAACAGGTTTTCCAATAACAGACGGTCTTTAACAAATATACTTTTTTTTTTTTAAATTACACAAACTGATTTGTATTCAGTACAATTAAAAAAAAAAAGTATTCCTTTGGTGATTTGAATCTACAACATTACAACATTCTTCATCGAATCTTACACATTCTTAGTATCACTTAATCTTTTAAAACAATAATATAAAGCTTTTAAAATGAATAAAAGTTTATAAAAGAAATCAGAAAAGACTCTTGAACAGGCAATCTTCAAAAGGGTATATATAGTGTTTGATCTCAAGCCAATAGATCAGTCATGATGGGACGGTGATGGCAAACGGCTCGTAACGGCACGAGCTTACGCATAGCCATCCCAGGATTCTCTGTCATATCAATTTCCTCACCGTTGACTTTTTCCCAGTCAAAGCATTGAATCAACGATCCTAAAGCCAATGACACCATCCTCTGTCCCAAAGCCGCACCGGGACACGTCCTCCGTCCATTCCCGAACATCATAAGCTTATTAGTGTTCGCAGCTGCTTGGTCTTCGAACCGCTCTGGCATGAACCTCTCGGGCTCATCCCAAAGCTTCGGGTCTCTCTGGATGGCCCAAGAATTCACTAGTACAATCGTGCCACGTGGTATGTCGTATCCACCAACCTTGAGGTCTTCAGAAGGTGTACGCGGGACAAGGAGCGGTGCGGCCGGACACAACCGAAAGGTCTCGTAAACTATGTTTTGGAGGTAAGGGAGATTCACAATGTCCGGTTCGTTGATCAAACGTTCTTGTCCAATCTTCTCGTCTATCTCAGCTTTGGCCTTTTTCATCACTTCAGGGTTTTTCAACAAATTCGCCATGGCCCATTCTAGCGTCACGGCTGCTGTATCCGTCCCCGCAAGCATCATACTCTATAATACATACATTCAAATCATCCACAATTTGTTAGTCCATCTATATATACACATATTTTTGTAAATATAATAAGTAATATACACAAACCATCTCTCTTCTCTCAAAAGTTAACTAAAACTCAAAATATTGATGTTTAATTGGAAGAGAGAAAAAAGACATTATGTTGTAGTATGTATGTGATTTTTTAGGTTGATGGTATGTGTGAATATACTTACGAGCATAAGGCCTTTGATGATGACGTCACTGTAATACTTGGGTTGGTCTTGTTGTAAAGACAACAAATGACTAAGCATTGTGTTGCTCTCTCCATCTCTTCGGCAATCGTCGAGCAGTCGCTGCAAGAAAGTGTCCATGGCTTCGCCGAGTGCTTTCACTTTCTTCTCGTAGCCGTGTCCGAACACTTTCAGAATCGGTAGATAATCTCCAGGATGGCTCGCACCACTATTGTCGTTGATCTGTGTCACTAGTTTCTTAAACAGATTCGCTTCTTCCTTGTTGTGAACCTTCAAAGAAATAATCATTTAAGAAAAAATAATTAGTCTAAATAATCCACCATAAAAAAGTAGGGAACAAACAAAATACATATAGGCCGCATATGTTTGGTAGGTAAATATTTAATAATTTTCTCCAAGAACAGTAAAAGTGTGAAAAGAATAGTAAATTGATTAGTATGAAACGTAATTATATGTTTATTTATAATTAAACAAACCTCGTCTCCGTAGTAGCGTCTCCCTGTGACCATACGGACAATATTATTGAACGTTAAATCGGCAAGAAGAGGTTCAAGCTCAACGACACGACCATTATGGTCACGTAAGAGTTTTGTGAGCAACCGTCGGATCTCGTCTCTACGGACGGAGAGGAAGCCGGTGAGACGGTGAGAGGAAAGGATCTCGAGAGAGCAAATACGGCGGAGATTACGCCAATGGTCGCCGTAAGCGGCGGTTCCAATCGTGGTGTAATCGTAGGCTACGTATTTGGCGGTTAGAAAATGCGGCCGGTTTGTTAAAACGACGTCGTTTTGACCTGTGAAGCATTCTCTGACGAGGGGTAAAGAAGAGATCACGACGACTTGGCGAGAGCCGTAGAGGAGGGAGAAGATATCGCCGTATTTTGCTGCGAAGCGACGGAAGAGACGGTGAACCGGCGGTTTCACAAGGTGGAGATTGCCGACGATGGGAAACGGAGTTGGTCCTGGCGGGAGATTAAAACGCTTCGTTTTGGATGAGAATATGAATTTGTATGCTAAGAGAAACAGAACGAGTGGGAATAAAACCAAAAAGAAATCCATTTTTTTTTTGTTTTTTTTTTTGGATTTGGTTTTGCTGTATGAGCTCACAAAGGTTTTAAGTGATGAAGGTTTGTGGTTTAGTATATATGTCTATATATATATATATATATGGATTGGTTTATGAAAACAAAATAAAATAAAGAGTGCATGATTTGAACGTTGACTCTTGAGTTTCAATTTCTTGTATGTACATAATGAATCAAACTTCTCAAGTGATAGTAACTTGTTTGGACGGAAAAAAATAATTATTCTTTCATACGACTTTTCTTTGACTTTGACTGGTTATTGTAATGTGTGGTTTACTATGGCGGTCCACCAGAAAAAAAGTGGACATAAGATTTATAAGAACGTATGCAAATATGCAGTGGATTTATTGTTTGACACTAGTCCGAAAGATCATAGGGTGAGTCTTCAATCTACTTGAAATGAATTGAGTTTTTAGAAAATTTTATTTTACATGATTTTGAAAGATCTTGGATAAATTAAAATAATAATATTATGATAG